TCTCTTCTCTTTCTTTTCCATCCTGCCTTTTATCTTTACCCTTCTTTGAGTTGCTTTTCTCTGAGTGGCCCTGCTCGGTTTTCTTCTTGGGATGGACTTTGCGTTTTCCTAGCGGGTTCAAGTTTAGTTTAACCTTCAGTAAGCGGCTTGACTGGGCTTTGTGTCTTCTTACTCTTCCTCTCTCCTTGTCTCTGTCGGTTCCCTCTTCCTCCTTGCGCTTCCCTCTTCCTCCCTCCTCACCTTGACTTTTGACTTGCTCTAGTGTCCTCGGGCTCGCCAGATCAAACGTTACGTTCCTTGTTTCTCTTCTCCGCTCTGCGTTCGTGAGTATGTCTAACTGATTGTGGTTAACATTCCTACCCCGGTCAATCTGTCTGTACTGAGAAGGGAAGCCATCGAACCGAGCAGAGTCTCCCATGTTGGTGTGAATCCTCACTTGTGTCATGTTCTGCTCTGGTGGTCTGTATGTCCTGTGGCAGCTCTCGCAGTGGAAAGTTTCATGTCCTCTGCTCTTACCTTCCATGTCTGTCCTCTCTCCCATCTTTCTGTTTGTCTCTGGTCTCTGACTGAAGGTTTCTTTCCATGGATGAGAAGAAGCGTCGGTGTTGCTACGAGAAAGAAGCTCGTTGGGAATGTCTCTGCTCAACTTTCTCTGCTGAGTGCCAAGCCTCCACCTTTCTTCCTCTGCCATCATCCTCATTCTCTTCTTCTCTATTTCCTGCTCTGCTTCCATCCCTCCATTTATCCTCATGTTCCCTCTTATCGAGTTCAGCCCCATCCCTTTTTGTCTTTCCGTGCCACAGTCTGGGCACCTGAAATGGCTAAGGTTTTCAACAGCTCTGGACCTAAACGGGCCGCCATGACTATATGTCCTTGTATCCAACGCCACGGCTTCCCTGTCCCCAGACTGGCTGCTATTTGCCTGCAAGAAGAAGTCTCTCGTTTTTTCACTAGCATCTAGGTGATTCGCAATTGTGCTGCTTCCCTCTTCCTCCTCTTTTTGTCTTTTACTTTCTCTCAGTTTCTTCCTCCGACACACTCGATAGTAGATAAACACTACCAGCAGGGTCAAGCCAACACCACCTGCAGGACAGCAGGACAGGTAAGATTTAAGACAGTGACGACTTTGCTGGTTATTCACAATCATCTTCACAAGTTTACATAAGGGTGTTTTGTGTAGTGTTTTTACAAAACAAATAAATTGATTAATTTATTTGTTTCAATGCCCTTATTTCAACCTGCTGGCTCACCATGGAATTGTTTTTTATTGGTTCAATGTGAAACAAGCAGTAACAACAAGACAAAACAGAAACTGTGATACAGTAACAGAGGTTACGAGCTGGATTTGTTTAGCTGTATAGTTGCGTATATTACTGTAAGATATTACTATAATTAGATCATTAACAGTACATATGTATATATCAATGTTGTCAATGTAGTTAATGTCACAATGAAACACATAGATACTAATTAAGAGGTAAGACACGAGAGTCACAATCAGCTTTGTGTATTATTTTAAGTATCATTGGTATCAGTTTATCCTCAATGTGCAGTTGAAATTGTATTTCAAGGTATTTTAGCCCAGTGGTTCTCAAAAAGGGGTCCGGGAACCCCCAGGGGTCCTTGAGGGGGTTCCAGGGGGTCCCCAGAAAAAAGGAGAATAATTTCTTTTTATTATAATTCCATCCGTAAGTAACACAATGACAGAATTTATGACGAGTTGTTCGTTAAGTTTCATACATTTTCTGTAATTAAACATCCAAAAGCAAAAATCCTATGAGATGATGGACTCTGGGATAAAATCGTATCAAATGGGGGTCTAATTCGTGTCAGTTTAGGGGTCCTTGATGTGAAAAAGTTTGAGAACCACTGTTTTAGCCAACTCAAGACTGCAACAGTGTGTTTTGTATGTAAGAGACTGCAGAGCTGTGCAGTTATAAAAAAATGTCTTCAGAAAAAAACATGCTTAATATGCTCTAACTTCTCTTTTTCCTTTTTTTCTGAATAATGATTAATAATAATGACATCATGGCACAGATAAACTCAACAGATCAAATCAAACTCCTGTCATTGTGTTGTGCATCATTCTCACCAATAAAGCAGATGACTGCAGTGATGGCCACATCTCGAACATACAGTTGAGGAGTCATGCTGCTTCTCGTCTCTGTCTGCACTGTGATGTTCTGATTGGACGGGACACAGTTGACACACACCATCCTATGGCCATTATAGAGAGTCTGAGACGGAAGTGGGGTCAACAACAAAAAGTATGTCAGCGTCTGTGTTCCTGTGTTGGTTTTGGTGTTTTTATGACTAGTGGAGGTAAATTTGTGTTGCAGCCTGAAGTTTAACACCATGGCTGGTTGATTTGCTCAGGCCGTGCAATGTTTTATGTAATTAATCAAACTACCACAAAGTAATTCCCACACAAACACCGTTGTGCCTTTCAGGCCCCTGAGGTGTCTGGTGCCCCAGGTCCACGTTGCCTGGTTGAGTCCAGTCTTGGTTTACATTTCATGTCTGACCTGAGAAACCCTTGTCAGTTGTGTTAGTTAAGGAACTACTGCTGAGTTTCAGACACGTCACATTTTTCTATTAGGTAGAAGATTTAAACATTTTTGTTTTTTCCTCCCATATTTTTAGTCTTGCGCAAAATCAAAAATTATTCCCTCAATTCAAGTTGTGTGATCCCCAGCATCACCTAAATATCTTCTCCCTCCGACCTGCGAGCTTGTGACGAGACTGATATGATATTTGTGCATAAAGACGAGTTGAAGAGGATGACGTGGAAATTTTATGTTTTCTCCGCTGTTTACTTTCCAAGCAAGAGAAGTCATTACTTTGGGTTGTAAATCTATTCCATTACAGACGAATAAGGTCATTAAGGTGGGACGATACCTTAACAGTCAGGGAAATCTTATCAAGAAGCAATTTGTTTTGGCAAATATTTACTCCCCAAACATTTTTTCCAAAACCTATTTCTCACTATGAGCACTCTTCCTGATTGCAGGTGACTTTAGTTGTACTTTGGATCCGGTAAGGGAGAACAGCTCGGGAGTTCAGTCTCGTCCTCAAAGTAGGGGAATAATACTCCACTTCATGAAAGAAATTATCCAGATTGATACCAATAAAGTTTTTATGCACACAACTCAATGACTGATGATCAATCAATGATTTAATCAACATGCAAGCTATGTGTTTTCAGCAAGTCCATAGCATTGCAACAATTTCCTGGACCGGACCTAAAAAAATCTTTGTAAAAACCTAATAACTAACAAACAAATGATGAATTCGCTGAGCTTAGATGAAAATAAAATGCACATTTCACACTGGAATCTAAAAATATATGCAGTTTATTTTGAGAATAAAAGAAAAGTCTGCCATTTTTTAACAGAAAGAAACTTGACAGTCATGTGATGTGGAAGCAGGCCAATAGAAAACAATAGTCCAAAAACGTGGGCATCTCACAATTTTAGATCGCCTTTATTGTGAGACTAATATTTTTTGTGGCTGTGGACCAAAGTAGCTATTCCACATGTTGATGTTAGTCTGGGTTGTTCAGTCACTATAACTGTCCCCCCTTATCAAAAATATAAATGGTAACGGTAACGGACTATTTGAGGAGGCATATTCTCCAAGATATATGACCTTCTCGTAGGTGAGTCATCCGTAATGAGGCCAGAGGCATGGCAACATCTAAAATGACTGCAGTATAAATGGCTCATGCTAATGTATAAAAGCTCAGTAAATACAATAGTGCTATACCTGATATGTTTAAAGTGTTAAAAGGAAAAAAGTACACCTTTCCAGTCTTTGACAGTGTAATCAAATATCAAATAAACGTCTGGGAAGCAGTATGAATGATCCATTTACATCTCTCTGGACCCAAAGCTTTTCTTATATCCAGCTAATCATAACATTAGGAGACAAAAAACAAGTATGGTTAAATAGATTCTTAAATTATCTACAATTCTGCCCTTTAAAAAAAATACCTTTTTTTTGAGGTGGGGTTGAATTTGTTTATGGGAGGAGGATGTCAAGGTTAAATCTTTCGTTGTTGTACCGGAGATTTTGTCCAGGAAGTCCTGTCATCTTGTGCGTACGTGTACATATATGTGTGTTAAGTTGATTTTTAAATCAATAGACCAAAAGATAGACCAATAGAGAAGCAAATATACCCACAGGTGATTAACATTCGCCACAATAAACCCAATAAACCCAAAGAAAGCACTAAACTTGTGGAACCATTTATTCTTCGATGTCACAGATTTGCTTTGTGCTTTCTGTCTGGCTTTAGTTCCTGAACATCCATCCACGTCTTCCTAAACAAATAAATACGTGATTATGTTGCTAGATCATTTAAAAACGTCATTACATAGTGCTTACCTGCTGGACAGAACTCAAAGGTCCAGCCCACCTGATGACATGGTACACTCCACTCATATATGAATCCATAAGAATGATATGTAGCTCTGTGGTTGGAGCTTCGAGTTTAAGTCCACCATCGTTCTCTGGTTGCTCCAGGTACTGTAGATGTGTGTGTCTAGCTTAAGTTACCTGGCCCTCTCTGGAGCATGCTCAGTAGAGCCGGCTGTCACCTGAGAGGCACAGATGTCATGTCCAACAGAAACGAGCCTTTAACTTCAGGCTTTCACCTTAATTCCTTTTTCCTAAATGTCAATATTATTTAACAAAACATAACTCCCCCCTCCCAAAAAAATTATGATTCGGTTTTATTTTCATTCAGAGTTTACAGTTAATGCATTCTTTTTGTCATTTATTTTGCTTTCTTTAGATTCCTGAGCACAGATCACAATTGAGGATTTTGGTCTGACCTCTATGATCATTAGTGAGCAAATGAGGATAATATTAGAATTACTTGCTCAAAGGCATGATCGTATTTGTAATTGCTAATCATCTGCAACATTAACAGTGAGTGTAAAACATGCAATATTACAATTTAATTCAGGAATATCATTTCATTCAATTAATGACCAAACTCTCACTCCTCAACTCGTGTGCTTTTATTTGTCACTTTCACACAGCCTGAAAAGTATTTTGGCACCTTTGTGATTAATTAGACGCGCCGTACGGCAGGAAATCATGCAGGGTCTATTATTTAATCATCACAGTGCATTACATATTCACAGCCCGCTCAACCTACTTTAAGCACCAACCCACAGCTTAACTTAGGGAGACTCAAGGAGCTGCTATGACAAACATTGCAAAGGTCATGTAACCGACAAAGGCATCACAAATACTTTGTTGTTGTAGCCTAGCCTAGCATGTAAAAAAGCCAAGTAATCAGACCAAGCGTAATCAGTGAGAACACAACAGTTTCTGTTATTTACACATTATTCCTTGTTAGTAAGATTTAGTAAAAACAAAATACAGTTATAGTCAAAGTCAATGCCTCTTGTGTAATCTTCATTAATTATTAACAATATGGTTTAAGTTTTCATAAACTTGTTTGCTTGTTGTAGCTGCTCCTCAAAAGTTTCCCCTTTATGAATATCCCCAACCCTACTTGGCAACCTTTGGCCTGTGATATGACCAAGTCATCACATGGTCAGGACCATCTTCCCAGCAGCCCCGGGAGACTCAATGATGTCATGGTGCGCCTGGGCCACCTTGTCGAGAGGATGCTGGGTACCAACGGCTGGACGGAGCCAACCAGCTTCCATCCCTGCATAGAGCAGCGCTGCACACTCCTTATTCTCCTCCTGAAAGAGGAGGAGGGAAGGAAGAGATGTACACATTTATTACATACAACATTAATTTGAACAAACTATAAAAATGTATTTTGGATTTGCTTTATTGTTGTTTATGCTATTCTGTGATCATTGTAAGTATTAGCACGGTCTAACTTTAGCCAACTGAGAGTCACGTGAGGTGATATAATTTTTTTCAATAATATAAAAAATGTTCAATAAATATTCAATGAATGTTTGATTTTTTTCACTCAAATCATACACGAATTAGGATTAAATTTTTTTATTGAGATGTTTATATTGTTGAGGAAAAAAGACTGCAAAAAGCTTTCACTTAATTTACTAATGCATATTTGTTAACAAAGATTTCATCATAATTGTTTTGAAGGTTCTACCTCATATTTGTGAAGTGATCCACTGTTTGGCCTCAAGATTTGACCATAAAGAAGTGTTTAAACCACAATTAACCACCAGGTTTCTACAACTTTCTCTCAGCAGCAGAAATCAGCCTTTAAATTCGAAAGAAATAACGATTTGATACTTATCGTGATAATTATCGATATCGAAAGATATGAAACTTTTTATCGTGATAACATTCTTGCCATATCGTCCAGCCCTATCTCAGCTGCATACAGATATATCGCTCACACATGTGCTGCATCATCATCCAAAGTGTGTGTAGGCTTTGAAACCCTCGTTGTGTGTGTGTATGTGTTAGGGCTAAACAATTACTTGTTTGTGAATCGGAATTGCAATTTGAAACGCAATTAGTTGATCGTGAAGACGGCGATAAAAAATTTAGGTTAATTATACATCTGACCGTTTTTAAACAGTCATGCAGTTACATATTAATACCGTTGTCATACTTGTTTGACAGGCTCGCCAATCACAATCACCCCCTGTTATGGTCCTACTCACCAATCCGAGCGAGCACAGGGCGTGTACATTTTACAACCAACGACAAAGTGTTTCAGCAGCAGAGCGTTAGCCTGCGACACACTGTTGACATGTTGTTCATTTGTCCTTTCTTGGGCTTCTACTCCGATAACAGCTCTCTCTGAGACGGTTTTGTTCCGCTCTCTGCACGATTTCATATCTCACATGGAGCATTTCAGCCTGATTTTGCTAACTTGTTTACATTTTGTTGATTTGTTCAGTTGTCCTAAATTTTTGTGCTTCTACCACAGTTAAGAAGGCTACGTAGTTAAAGTGTTTCTGTTTTGTCTGTTTTAACTGCGTTTATTGTTGAAATACGATTGGGAGTCTGCACAGGTTGTTTTATTTTGAAAATCGTGTCACATCACAGTTTTGAAGGTGTCTCATGTTGCAATGCTCCATGACTGTTTTATCTAATACACAGTAAATATTAAACTTTAGCTAAACTTAAAAAAAAAGAAGTAAAATTAGATGTTTTCCCCAAATCGTTCTGCAGCCCTAGTATGTGAACATGTTTTGTACCGGCGTAGCAAAGAAAAGAGCCACTCCCATGATGCTGCTCTCTTTAGCCATGGTGTCTCTGGGGTTGATCTCTATGGGGCCTCTGGAGCCAACAATCTAAAAAGAAAGAGAAAGAAGGATGTATGAGGAGTATATAGAAATGGACTACTGTAACTAACTAACTACTGTATAAAACTATGAGCTAACAATGCAAGAGACAAAGTGCTCTACTATTACTCCAGAAGGTACTACAGCCCATCTGTGATGCTGGGATGTGCTATAGAGCTTTAGCAAACTTCACAAAACAAAGGCTAAGTCAATATTTTACTTTGTGTCGTGTATGAAATCTGTGATGCAGTTTATATTGTACCTATCTAAATGGAATTGAACATGTTCCTTACACTCCTGTGTATTATTTTAATTCTCATTCACTGTTACCTGTCAACCAATCACGGCAGACCTGAAGAGTAATTCATTAAACATGATGTCATTAATAGCAACGGGGTCAATCCTGCCCTCGCGTAGAGTGCTCTCAGTTCCTTAGGAAACGTGTCACTCAGCAGCTTTGTGAATAACTCTCAGGAGGAAACTAGTAATTGGAAACTTTTAGGAGTCTGTTAGGGGTAAAATAAGATCCTTTGTGAGTACGGCCCCTGGACTGTACTCCTACTGACCGCAACACGTCCTCCATAGGCCAACATCTGGAGGTCTTTACTGAGGTTGACATTTGACAGCATCTCCACTATCACATCTATGCCTCTGCCCTCTGTGGCTTCCTGGAACAGACAAACATACAGTATACACACACATTAACAGTCCTTATTCTGAGACAACTTAAACATAAACCTTTTCTATAGAAATACAAAACAAGGAATAAAGGTTATTTAATGTTTAATGCTTGGTGAGCTTCATCCAGGACCAGGTCCTTTCCTTCTGATGTTCCTGTGGGGTGTGTGTGTGCATACCATGATTTTGTCTGTGTAGCTCTCTTCTCTGTGGTTGAAGGCCAGGTGAGCTCCGTTATTGAGAGCCAGCTTCATTCCCTCTGGTGTCCCTGCTGTCCCCAGCACCTTGAGGCCCAGAGCGCGAGACAGCTGGCACGCTGCAACACCAACCTAAGCACACACGGTGCAAAATTAACTTTTCTGTCCACCAGCCAAATGAGTATTGAATGTTCAAAGTGTGCCACCCACTCAATAGATTACCATTTGGTTTTTTTTGGCTGGGGAGTGAAGTAACTCTAACAGTCATTTGCATATTTTTCCAGCATTTGGCTGGTGCTAATTTTTTGCCCTGCATACACACACACACACACACACACACACACATATGCAATATAATTAGAAAAAAAGAAATAAAGACAAAAAATGCGCACCCCTCCACTGGCTCCATGGATGAGGACCGTCTCTCCTGCCTTGGCGTGAGCTCTGCAACCCACATCAGTTAAAGCACACGTTAGTCATCTATGATTAAATGGCTTGCTTAAGGGTCCAGTGTGTAATATTTAGGAGGATCTATGGACAGAAATACAATATAAGATCCATAACTATGTTTTCAGTGGTGTATAAAGACCTTACATAATGAATTGTTATGTTTTTATTACCTTAGAATGAGACATTTCGATCTACATACGTGGAAGTCGCAATGTTGCCGCCATGTTTCTACAGTAGCCAAAATGGACAAACTGCTCTACAGAGCGCATTCTGTCACTACGTTGAATACGTACGAAGAAGAAGGACAAAGACGAAGTAGTAGAGCCAACAGAGCGTGTTGGCCACTGTAGCTTCTCCTATGCGCTTCAAAAGGGAGAGGTGAGCAGTGAGTGAGTCGTTGGTTGCAATTTGAAATCCTCACCACTAGATGCCACTAAAACTTACACGCTGAACCTTTAAAGGGCAAGTATGGTGTTGTTCTATATTTTCCTTACTGTAAACAAATCCCATGAAAAGGTTAAAACCACGCACTGTATATAAAGATGGACCCTGCGTCTCCACTACCTCCCACTGTATTTTTATTTTTTCAACCTTTATTTAAGACCCATTGAGATACAATCTCTTTTTCTGGCCAAGAAAGGCAGCAGGACAGCAAGTCTGACAGTACAAACATAAAACTGGACCATAATTTACTAAATTAACATCATGTTGTGTTGAAGAAGACTTGAAACTAGCATCTGAGACCATAAACTCATCAGGAAAGTGTTTACTGAGGTAATTATTCAGCTGAGAAGTAGCCTCATTTCACCATTATTTTATTTGAAACCAGAAGAGTGGACCCATGCTGGCCGTTCGGTAGAATGCAGATTTAAGAGACTTCCACGTTCGCATCAGTTTGCTGACCGGAAATTTCCCGCTTGGTCCGTTCCAAGAAGTTCCAGGTAGCTGTAGGAGGTTTTAAGAGCAGCAGCCTGCTGGACCAGGTATGATGACTACTGACCACAAAGCTGAGGAGGCTATTAATGTCATATATACTGCCAATATATCCCAGATATGGGTGCTGCCATCTTGCACAGGGGATGTCATTGAGAGTCAGAGTCCATGCAACAGGGTTCGGGGTTGGAGCTGAGGTATCGAGATCCGACTGACTTCATTGCGAGCAGGGCTCAGTTGTCAGTCATGATGTCACCAGAGCAATAAGAACTACGTAAAATGACAGAGTACTCGTAGGGTCTGCGCTGCGACTAGCAATACCAGTGCAACAACCGATCTACTGCGCATGTGTGGAACGTGTCCGCCAGCTGACTGCAGAAGGTAGTATAAACAGAATTAATTCTGCATATGTCCGTGTTTGCGTGCACTCCCCAGTATAATCGAGGCTAATCGAACTATACTGCAGTCAACCACCAGGGGGCGATTGAGATGATTTTGGCTTTATACACCGTCCATGACTGAAACCAACAATACCTTAGTGTGTCTCTAAATGCCTTTCTGACTTCCTCACTCAGCCTCAAGACCTTAGAACAGAAGTCTTTAAAAAGGGTCCATAAATATATAATGTCATTTCATTCTTTTAAAAGGCTCAGTCATTTCAACAGCTGAAATGGTGCATTTGTTGGGGACTGTTTTCAGTAGTGATTTATACACATTTGATGTTCTGAAGTGGACAGCAGGAGCAATTACAGCAACCAATAACACTTTCAAGTAGGGCTGGACGATATGGCCAAGAATGTTATCACGATAAAAAGTTTCATATCTTTCTATAGCGATAATTATCACGATGAGTATCAAATCGTTATTTCTTTAAGATTTTCACTCCTGAGTGAAAGTTGAAGAAACCTGATGGTTAATTAGGGTTTAAACTCTTCTTTACGATCAACACTTGAGACCAAACAGTGGATCACTTTACAAATCTGAGACAGAACATTCAAAACAATTGTGATAAAATCTTTACAAATATGCACGAGTAAAAGCTTTTTTCAGTCCTTTTTCCTCATCAAAAGAAACATCTCAATAAAAAAATTAAGTCCTAATTCATGTATGATTCAATTGAATAAAATCAAACATTTATTGAATATTTACTGAACATTTGTTATATTGTTAGTGAAAAAAATTATATTGCGATAATTATTGTTATTGTTTTATTGTCCAGTCCTACTTTCAACATACATATTGGCATCTTCGTACTGGTTTTAAAACTGAACCTATACTTTAATGTACAGTAGCTTAACACTGACAGTGATGAAGTAACACACAGTGTGAAGGTACATTAACGCTTCTGTGAAAACTTTGATTTGTGCTAAAATTTTCATCTGAGCTTTTGAAAAGTTGTTTTTCAGAGCCTGCAGTTGTTAGTTGCCTTTTGTGATCCTGTATACAGAATTTTGAATGTTAAAGATATAAAGAAAAAATTTGTGCAAACAGATGCAACCTGGAGAGGTGTTGAAAACATGTAGTTGAAGACTCACTCTGAGAATTAGCGAATAAAACATGCGCACACACATTACAGCGAAAGTAAAGGTACACAGTAAGTCGCTCCGTTGTCACATAAGGGCACATTGTCAGGACCTGTTGGCGTCAGTTTGTAACGCACAGGGAAGCCTCTTAGCATCATAGTTCAACTCACTGGGGGAAGCCCTGTAGAGTCATTTATGAACGCTAAAAGCAGGTCTTGGAATATAACAGAAACGTCGGAGCAAGGAGGTGGTTGGGGTGGACGGGTGGGCCAGAAACCGGACTTTTGCCCAGGAGAATGGTGTGAAACAAAAAGTCAACATTGATTATTTTTAGTGGCATGACATAGGTTATACAAGCTATGTAGGTTAGGTAACTTATGTAACCACTTGTTTTATTTTGAAAGTCTGACCAGATCTCCAAAAACAATGCTAAAGGGAACCCAAGGCATTAAAAAGCAACGCTAAGTGTACATATGTTACGAGTTGGGAGTAGGGGGAATGTGTTGACCAAACAGCTGCAGTGGCGTGGTCTTACTTGTGAAGCAGAGCTCTGTAGGCAGTGAAGTAAGGGATCCCTATGGCTGCACCCTGGGCGAAGTCTAAAGCATCGGGCAGTTTGTGTACACAGTCGTCAGCTGCTACAGTGTACTCTGCATAACCTCCAGACTCTGTGGCTGTGGTGAACACACGATCCCCTGCCTAGAAAGCACACACACATAATTATTTACACATGGAAAGGATTTACTGCACTAGCATGACAGCAGCCTCGCAGAGATGCAGATTGTCCTCTCATTAAACAAGTTAACACTGTTGGCCAGTATAGCAGCACAAACCGCAGGACAACCAGTTCTACATGTTCTCCTAGGCTTATTTCTTATAGTTCAGAGGTTTTTCAAGCTATGCGACATGCCTGTATCACGAGATACATTTGTTTAGCATCAGTGGGACTTGGATTTCAGAACGTGACTGGTTTTTTATGTAAATTTGTCAGAAGTGACGTCATTCAGCTGCATCACCCTCTACAGTATAACAATATATATTTAACGCTAGATTAGATCTGCTGTCATTTAGGAGAAATTATGCTGACTGAGGAAATTTAGGTCTCCAAACTAACTTTTTCAGCACCTTCCCAAAACTCACAAGGGTGGAGCGCTAACATCGTTCCACAGCAGCTCACTGACGAGGCTACATTTTTTGTTTATCGGCCGCGTAAGTGTGGACAAATGCCGATTAGTCGGTCTATCACTAGTCGGCTCTAGAACATACAATAACAATGTATTTCTATAACATTAGGAGTTAAAGAGTTACATTTACAATTAACACAGGCAGAGGGAAACGTCAATCCAAAATCCAAAATGAATTTTTGCTGTGCTTTAGAAGAAACTGTCCAGGATGCCGTTAGGTCTTATAAGCAGAACTAAATGAATCCACAATGTATTCATTTTGTATTACTGTGCATGCCATGCCAGAGTTTTTCGCTCCGACCTTTACTGCAGTGACTCCCTCTCCAACAGTTTCCACCACTCCAGCTACGTCTGTGCCTGGTGTGTATGGCAGGGTGGGCTTACGGGCGTACGTTCCAGCCCTGATGTAAGTTTCCACAGGGTTCACTCCACAGGCATGCACACGAATTAACACCTACAGCAGAGACATCATGGAAGTCAGACCAAACAGTTGGAAAACCATAATGTAATACATTTTAGACAGATAGCATATATGCAAGGTTTGATTTTATTACTGCTCAGGGAAAGAAGTTGTCTCCTGTTATAAATATCACCTTTCTTTAAACCCCAGGCTGATAATCTTCTGAAAAAGCTGAGACTGAAGCTTTTATTCCACAAACAAGTCCTCTGGTTCTTTATTTTGGGGATCTGTTGTACATCAATGCATCTGTACACTGTTTGTACATGTTAGATACTGCATATCGCAGTTGACTGAGATGTGTTTCAAACTGTTAAAACCTCACTCATCATTGTACGCTTTAATCCAGGCTGGTTGGCCATCTCTGACCTTTCATAGACTCAGTCATGTCACGTCATTTAAAAAGTCATTCTTCTGGGTGAACTCACAAGATGTGGTCTTGTTGTCCGTTTCGGGTGTACGGACAGACCTGGAAGAGAATTTGTCTCTCTGCCAGATTTTAAAGCTCTTAAAAGTTCAACTGTCAGTGAATTGTTTGGTCCTTCATGACAAGTTACTGTGCATAGGTATTTAATTTTGTTTAATTATCAACACGTAAATGTATCCTTATAGGTTTTCTTGCGGCTGTTGTCCTCTGCAGCCTTGAATGTGCTGCAGTCATGGTCAGGTCTCCCTTGTAAAAGAGATAGCTGATCTCAATGGGTCTTTTCTTTATCTCAGAAAATATATATAAATATAAAAGATTGCAAACTGCCAAAGCCCAAGCACAACATACTATATGTTCACCCAGTTTAACTGCAATTACTCAATGGCAGCCTATGTCTATATAAAAATGATCTCTAATATCTTACTCTACATATATTACTTTTTCATGGCTTTAATGTCAATTTATTGGGCTGTGCGCCCTAAGAAACTTTAACATTACTAACTGTAACAACAGAGGTGAATCAGCCCTGTCTAAATGTGACCCGGCAGTTCTGCACAAACCAAGCTTAGCTGTAACGTTAGGCATGTGTGTGCACACATAAAGACCTGTGACAGATGTCGGTGCAGTCTGTCTCACCTGTCTGAGTCCAGGCTGCGGGACAGTCACATCTGAGCAGAGTCTGAGGACTGACGGAGCCCCGAACTCACTCACTCTGACGGCTCTCATCAGCCTGCAGGCCGACATAGCTGCACACTGCTGTGGTTTGTGGGGCCGACGGGTTCAGGGACTCAACAGACAGGCCTCCCACTCTTTAGAACTTCTGAACCAGAGAGCCACGAAAGTGCAGTGCTGCTGCTACAGACCGGTTATAAGTGCATTAGCGCCATCATCTGGACCGGAGTGTAGGATATATCTAATACAGTTTAAAGTTATCCAAACAACAGCAGTGTGGTTTATCCAGCTAGAAAAAAAGACAAATTATTTCAGAAACTCAGAGGGTCAAACTCAAAGCAGGAGGCAATTGTAACCCCTAGAATGGGATGAGCTCCTACTATAATTTCCTAAAATGCAAGCAGTTCCTTCTTTTGTAAAACACCGGGGACCCTCAGTTTGCAACAAGTTTTCTTTTATGATACCAGAAGGAAAAAGACGTATTTTTTTTTTTGTACAGTTGGAATTATTATTGGGAAAAAACTCCAAACCACACTTTGGACACTTTCTCCAAGAACTGCATCAATATAGCACCACAATTAAAAACATGAAGAACAAGAAGCCAATCAAGACTAACTGTGTGTTGGACAAATTCCTTTTGGACAGATTATATATTAATTTTAATCCACGTTACCCTTTTTATTTATTTCGCTATGTCCTTCCTTTGGTATTATTTAAGTGATATATCTTCTTGTACAGCTACCCCTGATTGTTTTGTGTTTTAATTTCAATAAATGTCTCTACGAGCTCAAGCTATTTAATTCATTCAACTATTATTTCTTGTCTGATGTTTTTCACATATTCGAAATAAACACTTTAGAAATAAATTACACAGTAAATGTGCGCCTCAACAGCTGACTGACTGACTGACTGACTGACTCCGATCGATTATGTTGCGGATGGATTACATTGGTCTAAAGATAACATGACGACACATCCGCTTACGGATCGCCGTCTCCTACATGTGTGTTGCGGATGAGCGTTGTTCCGATAAGGCAACATCCACAGCAGCAAAGAGGACCAGAGGAGGTCTGAGCCGGTCTGTAAAGTCCGGGTCTCGGTGTCAGCACCCTGGTGCACCTGGTGATGGTGTCAGGACATCAGGAAACTCTCTCAGTGCTTCATCCAAACAGGAAGACATAACGTTACTGTCTCCGTTTCTGACTTTGACTGCCTTAAATAAACTGAAAGCTGCTCCCTGTCTCACTGGGTGTTGACAGAAAATGGCAACAAGGAGCAGATACCTGCTGCAGAGAGTGTGCAGTGGACTCAGAGCTCACACAGTCCGCTATCAGAGCTCCACTTTGACCTCAAGTCAAGGACGCCTGTGGAAACCTCCACATAGACATCTGAGCTGCTCATCCAGACTCTACAAGTCGGATTCTCCCACCACAGGTACTCTGACAGTGGTACACTGATCACGTGACTGATTGATTAGGTTGTGGTATTGCATTTGCACAGTGACTCCCAGTAGATCCCAGGATGTGCACAAGCAAAATGAAGACGCGATTTTCTTGTTAGTTAGCCCAGAAACTCATTATAGAGAATGGATTATTCATTTGTTTTTGCTTTTTCAAACGCCCTCAAATGTCTTGTTTTGTCCTCCAACCCAGAGATATTCAGTTTACTGTCATATAGGAGAAAAGAAACTATTTACATTTAAGCAGTTGAAATCAGAGATATTTTACTGTTTTTTGTCTGAAAAAATACTCAAATTATTTATTTCAAATAATCATTTATTATTAATAAATATAGTTGCCGATTGCATTGCATGAACAGTAAATATACATGTGGTATCAGCTGACCGGAGGGAAACGGCTCACTAGGGCTGCAACTAGTAATTATTTTCACTGTTGATTTTTTCTTGATTAATCGATTAGTTGTTTGGTCTATAAAATGTCAGAAAATGGTGAAAAAGTTGAAGCCAAAGATGAAAGGTCTCTTTTTTTCTGTTTTTTTTTCACAACCTAAATATATTCAGTTTACTGTAATAGAGGAGTAAAGAAACCAGAAAATAATCACATTTAACAAGCTGGAATTAGAGAATTTTTCAGTTTTGTCGTCAACCGCTTATCCTGCGTACAGGGTCGTGGGGGGGGGGCTGGAGGCAATCCCACCCAGCTGACATTGGGTGAAAGGCGGGGGACACCCTGGACAGGTCGCCAGTCCATCGCAGGGCCCCAAAACAGTTGCCGATTGGTTTAATAGTTCAAAACTAATGGATTCATTGATTAATCGTTGCAGCTCTAATTACAACTGTATTAATCTGCTGGAAAATTGATTATTACACTTATAAGCTCTTTATGTCTGGTTGGTGATGTGTTATTACAGTTTTTGATTAAAATCAGTAAAAGCTTGTTAACTCTCACGATGGGTCACTATTCCACTAAAATTATTAACAGACCTTTTTCACAGCATTTTGTCATTCCATGGCAGGAAAAGCACATGTTTTAAGTGGAGAGCAGCCATCATTTATGTTAATAAATACCTCTGTGCAATGCCAAAAGTCTACCGTGGAACTAGTCTATCACCAAACTTTTTGTGTATGATGGAGGTTAACTAGGGATGTCTGATATAGTTGAAACCATTATGACAGGTTCAAGTCAAGGTTCATGTTTTTTTCATTTGTAATTCTACTACACAGGGCAGCTCAATGAAATGTAAATGCTTATATACATTTATTTTACAAAGGTAGTGGTAGCGTGCTGGGCGATATGGCCAAAAACGTGATCATGATAAAATAAATAACTATATATAATAATTATATTTTGATATATATTGAGATATAACAAATGCAAATTGTGCTCCATTGAAAACTCAAATGTGTTACTCAAAACTAACTTACCGGTAATTTACAGCTCACTCATTTGCATAATGGACATTTGTAGAAGATAACATCACATGATCGGTTATCTTCCAGCCAGAATCTTAACTCTGTTCCTTCTCCAGGTCCCAGCAGTCTGTCATTCAGGAGCCACACCTGTGGAGAACTGAGATCGGATCATGTGGGAGAGAAAGTCACTCTGTGTGGCTGGGTCCAATACCTCAGGTATTATTCTGTTACACTTATCAAATGAGTATTAAATTTGAAATTAAATGTTGCCCTGCCCCCGGTGGGAAGTCGGAGGACCACCAAAGGGATTACAATGAATCCTGGGAGGCAACATGAATGTCTGCGCAAAATCTCATCGAGATCCTTCCAATAGTTTTTGAGATATTTCAGTCTGGATCCAAAGTGGTGGCCCAGCTATCCCTTGAGCTGCACCTAGCATCAACTCAGTCAGTAAAGCCTCATATGAAAATGATCAGGATTCTGATGTTTCCTTTGACGGAGCGCTCACTCACCACTGTCACTGTTAAATTTTAATTCTTGACATTTCTTTTATTTCCTTCTCCATACCTAACTCCACAATTTGATATTTGACTTGATATTTGTTTTTGAGTTGTTGGTAGTTTTGCTTTAAAGGTGAAGATTAAATTGTATTTTAACCATAGACTTAGATTTTAACCATGTTTTCTGCCTCCAACAGGCAAGATCTGTTCGTCATCCTGCGAGATTTCAGTGGCTTGACACAAGTTCTAATTCCTCAGGAAGAAGTAAGGATGAAAATAACACAAATATTTTTTCTGTTATTACTATTAAACCAAATAATAAAGTCATTAATGATAATGTAAAACGATTTCCAGCACAGAGAACAGGAGTTGACCAAAGTCAATAAACAGGAAAATAAGAATGGTAACGTCTGTATTTTTCAACCTGGACCTTATTGTCCCACGTTTTTGTTTCTATGTGACTAACTTGGATGACATTTTACTCTAACAGTCACTATTTCTCTTTCATCAAAGCCACCAGACTCCATTGATAAAAACAGTAATTTTACCTCACAGACCACAGGATTTGGTGGTCAACCGCTGCCTCAGTCGGATAGTTTGATTGTGTTATTGCAGAGGTTGGCAAATAAGTCTGGCATCAGGCCAAATTTCTTTCAAGCCGTTGCATGATGGGCCATTGACAAGTTAAATTATTTCTAAGCATGTGCACGTTTAGCTCAGTCGGTACTGTGTGGTCGATATTTTGTTCTCCCTTGTTAAACAAATTGAACAAAAGGACACTTTTGCACATGCTCACAATAAAGCATGTGCTGCAGTGATCCACATTCATAAACCTATAGACTTTCATTTCCCTGAGAAAATTCAGGGGAATCCGATCACACATTAACCGACAGCTTTTTCTGAGGTGTGTCAGTCAGGCTAGAGACTCTTTTGAAAGTCCTTCAGAACTCTTCAAAGTAAAAGCTCTTAATAAACTCAACATGAAGCATTGCTGCAAAAGACGTCCTCACCCTTTTATTTTGTAGGCAAAATCACTTAAGAGGGAGTGATTATATGAGTAACTGTCATGACTGAGATCTATTCTGGCCCGCGGGCCGCCTATTGCGGACCAACTGTGTTATTGTTACAGTTACAATAACACAAACTAGCCCCCCAGGCAGCGGTAGACCAGAGAGGTAAAATTACTGTGAAGAAGAGAGATATAGTGACAGTTTCAGGTTAAACAAAAAGGATCTTACTCTTTTAAAAAAAGCTTAATCTGTCGGGATCCTTTCGATAATGTTGTCAGATACTTGTGATGACAATCTGAGCCTGCAGCACTTCACAGGGCGCAATTTCCCTCAAGGATTATGTTGCAGCCCTGTTTCACTGCTGCTGACTTCAGCGCACTTGCTCAGTACTGGACCAACTTAACAAACGGTTGTCCCAGTTAGATAGACACAATAACGTGGGGAAAAAAGGTTGAAAAACACAGACGTTACCCTTCAAGGCTTCGCCCCAGTCCTATTTGTTCAGAGTTGGGTTTTACTTGACTTTAACCAATACTTTTTCTATTTTAAGTCTGCGAGTAATTTGAAAGCAGTCCTGTGTGACCTCACAGCAGAGTCTGTCATCAAGGTTGCAGGAACAGTCAGACGACGCCCGGCGGGACAACAGAACAAGGTTTGTGTTTGCCTGTGTGTAACTCAGATCATGACGATCAAAGTCACTGATGAAGTCCAGACATGATTTCACTCTTCAGCTCTTATTGGAGAAGAAGGTCTCAGGAAGCTCAGGATGTCTTACACAGCATTGTTTATTGAAGCCAGCCAGGGAGAATGGCAGCAGCAGTACAGAGTGATTGATTGCCCCTCTGCAGAGTGAAGACTTTCAAGCTAAGATGTATTAAAAAGGCCTGATTGGACTGATTTAGTGGGGTTTTTTGTGAGCAGAGCCAACCAGGACCAAGCCTAGTGTGATATGATTCCCACTTTTGAACCTGCCTATAAATAAGAGGCAATTCTGAAGATGCTTTAATAAGAGAAATAGTACACATCTGTAATCATATCAAGGATCTAATTAGGGCTCCACGATTTGGAGAAAAAGTCATATTGCGATTATTGTGGACAATATTGCGATTTGATTGTATTGGAACAAATAGTACTATAGGTCTACTTGCTTGATTATCAAGGAAAATGCACAAAATACTGACATTTTGAAATGTGTTTTTGAACAAAGTTAAACGATAAACAATATTTATATCAATAACTAGTAAAACAGAACCAAGGGAGCGTTTTGCTCTACTGAGGAGGCAGCTAGAAGGAGCAAATATTGGCACACTGGCATCCTGGCTCTGGATGGATAAATCTACTTCTGTCCACTGCAGAGACTCTATCCACAACCTGGAGGAGGAACTAATGTACATGACTGTATTAATATAATATTATGTGGCGCTGGCTCATCCTGCCTGGGGTCAGAATATCTGAAGTTTCTTCTTATTTAATAATATTTAAAAAGGAAGGCTGTCGTTCAATCCCAGGCTCCTCCTGCCCACGTGTTGAAGTGTGCTTGGGCAAGACACTGAACCCTAAATTACTCCTGATGGTCAAGCCAGCACTCTGCATGGTAGCTCGTTGCCGTGTGTGTGTGAATGGGTGATTCAGAGGCAAAATTATAAAGCGCTTTGGTTATAAGTGGCTTTATAAGTGGAACCATTTATTTAGAGTGCTCCATCTTTTCGTTCTAACAGGAGATGCCGACAGGAGAAATAGAGATCCTGGCTGAGAGTGTGGAGGTTTTCAATGAGTGCCGGAAGTTGCCTTTTGAAATCAAAGACTTTGTCAAAGTAAGTAGTATATAAGTATTTTAGAAATCCTCAAGCAGGTAAAATAATTGTTAATAATCATGAATGATTTTGCTTTATTTTTTTTTTATTGTACAGAAATCTGAGTCTTTGCGGATGCAGTATCGCTACCTGGACCTGAGGTCCTCTCAGATGCAGAAGAACCTCCGGTTGAGATCACAGCTGGTGATGAAGATGAGAGAGTACCTCTGTAATGTGCACGGTATGAAGATCAAGATTAATTTTCTCCATTAAGTTAATCTTTTCCAGAACAGTGGTTGCCCATCCATCACACACAGACACAGTGGCTCTTCTGAGCATACTTCCTTTGAGTCTCCACTTAGTTTAGTAGAATAATAGTACTCAGAGGAAACCCATGCACACTACAGAAAAACTTCAACTTCAACTTTACTTGTAGGGCAATTGATTTTGCAGTAAGACATGGATGACAGACAAATACAAGACAAGATAAAATACATAAAATACTGAATGTTGCGTACTCCTGGTGAACAACAGTGTATTTAAAGAAACAAAGTGCTAAAGTGCTCGCAAGAATAAAATGCTAAATTTCAGGACATCAACTACACATTCATGACAACAATCTTAAACACAACGTCGATATGTAAGTAGGCCTAAAATTTAACAGCCGTATGTAAAAACATAGCCAACAATGTTAATCATAAATAAAAAATCGACATTGTTTGACAGCAGCATCGTGAAACATACACACCATCACAAACAACATCACCATCATCGTCGTCATTGTCTCCATCAGTAACTACAGCATCACTACTAAATGAGTTACCTTTACATTACATTTATTAATTTAGCTGACGCTTTTCTAATATAATGATCTTTATTTATAGAGCGCTTTTAAAAAAACAAGTAATAAAGTCGTTTAACAAGTGCAAAGGTAATAAAACAAAGAAAAACACATGCATGATGAAAGCAAGAAATCACTTAAGAGACTAAAACACACGTTTAAAGTAAATATAAAGAATATATAAAATAAAATAAGATCGGGAAAGGCTCTCCTATAAAAATATGTTTTAAGAAGGGGACTTAAAAGAGTTCACTGACTCAGCTGACCTGATTTCCTCGGACAGGCTGTTCCAGAGCCGACTGTAAATGCTGTATCCCCTTTAGTTTTCAGTCGAGACAGCAGACCTCTGCCCGAGGATCTCAAGGTACGTGTCGGTGCCTATGGGACTAAAAGGTCAGAGATATAACAGGGCGAGAGGCCGTGAAGAGCTTTAAAAGTGATCAATAAAATTTTAAAGTCATTTTAAAGCTGGTAAAAACAACAATCTCTGTGGTGTGCTACTCAAAACTTAAATTTCTTGTCGTACCAGACACCTTTTATCCAAAGCGACTTACAATTGCTATACATGTCAGAGGTCGCACGCTTCTGGAGCAACGATGGGCTAAGTGTCTTGCTCAGGGACACAATGGTGGGAATCAAACCTGGGTCACTCACACCAAAGGCATGTGTCTTCTCCGTTGCACCTACCTTAAAAAGTACAGAAACCATTTGTAGAATCCAAGTTCTCTTTGCTGAAGCATGACTAAACAGTTTTTCTCATTTGTAGGTTTTGTTGATGTGGAAACTCCTACCTTGTTTAAAAGAACGCCAGGGGTAAGAAGGTCCTGGATTTTCTAAGGAATACAGCTACGTAGAATAAAATGTCGCTTTAACGGTTCTTCACCAAACAAAGAATTTGTCTCCAGTTTGCTGTATTATTATAAACTTGAGAAAAAGATAATGTCTCTAAATTTTATGGTCTGGACCAAATTTAGTTTCTCTTTTAATGTGTTACTCACTTTGTAAGAATGGGTCTCAATTTGGAACAAAAACTCCCAAATGCTGACACAACTGTATAATAGTTAACACAGATAAACACACATGACGCCCAGACATTGTTCATTCTTTCGTGTTTCAGGGAGCCAAAGAGTTTGTGGTTCCATCCAGAGAGCCGGGCCGGTTTTACTCTCTCCCTCAGAGTCCACAGCAGTTTAAACAGCTCCTAATGGTGGCTGGGATAGACAGGTGGGTACGGGCTTGAGCAGTAGTTTGACGTTTGCACTGTTATAGTTATATGTTTGCTTTTCTTTTTTGTTTTGTGGTTTCTCTTGACCTCAAGTGAGACTGTGTAACATTTGCTGATAAGGTTATATCATAAAGTCAAGTGCTATAATACATATACTGTTTCTATTTAAAATCTGCTAATCTCAGCTCCCTTAGGCAACTGGTCCTACCAAGAAAGGCTGTAGAGGAAAAACCTGTACTGACTTTGTATTTGTAAGAGGAACGATGTAATATTTATTCTTTTATAAGTCGCATAGTGTCAACAAATACGTATTACTGAAGTGTAGAAATACATGCGAGTCCTGCATTCAGGACATTACCAAAGTGCTATCAGTATAATTTACTTACTTTATCAAAAGTAAAAGTATTCATATCACCCCGAATCGCCCCTTTCTGAGTGTTGTCTATGTTTATATTAGATTATAGGGCTGCAACTAACAATTATTTTATTTATCGATTTAATCTGTCGTTTTGCATTTAATCATTCAACTATTAAAATGTCACAAAACTGTGAAAAACTGCAATCATAATGTGAGATTACGTCTTCAAATGACTTGCTTTAGCTGACCAACAGTACAAAACACAAAGATATGTAGTTTCACAGTGAAATAAAACAGAGTAGTTGGAGCCACAAGTTTGTCTAGAAGACTTAAATGATTTTTTGATTATCAAAATTGTTGACAGTTTTCTGTTGGAGCTGGTCGAGGTTTTGAACGACTTCAGCATTTAATGGCCAGCAGTTTTAGTCTTTGTCCTTTGTCGCCACTGAGGCAGGTACTTCCAGATGGCCCGGTGCTACCGAGATGAAGGCTCCAAACCAGATCGACAGCCTGAGTTCACCCAGGTAAGAAGGGTGGGCGGGAAAACATTTACTTTTCTTACCACGCAGGTTTTATGTTGCCACGGCACTCTGCTCTCAAAGACCAGTGTCCAGTATGATCAGCTGAAATATTCAAATCTGGTCTAGGAATCGAGACCACCTTTCTGACAGGAGAGTTAGGTACACATTTGTAGTACTTAGATAATTCTATTTGTCCTCCACTTTGCAGGATTTCACCCTCCACCTCATTCATCACATTTCAATTCATTAGTTAGCATGTGATGGGGTGAAAAGTACAGAAAATGTAGCTCACTCATGTGCATAGTTTCTTGTTGCTTTGGTCTATGTGCTGAATTTCATATAATTTCCCTTCATTCTTGGTCCCGGTGTTGACTTGGAGCTCACTATGTGTTCTCTGATTGGTTATTCTCTCGTTATCTCTCCCAGGTAGACATAGAAATGTCTTTTGTGGACCAGGCAGGGATCATGTCCCTGGTGGAGGGTTTGTTACAGTACTCCTGGCCAGCAGAGAAAGGACCCATTAAGGTTCCTCTCCCAGCCATGACATATGAAGAGGCCATGAGGGAGTACGGCGTAGACAAGCCTGATACCAGGTTCACTATGAAGGTGGGTGATTGTGGGTTGTTTGAGTTGGGTTTTTTTTTTCCAGGGGCCTGTCTCACAAAGCAAGTTCAACTTCGAGTCTGGCTCTCTTTGGGTTACCTGGCTTCACTGAGTAACGGTGGTGATCCTGGATAACCAGTATCATGACGCTGGATATCAACTGGCTCTGTTAACTCTGGGTTTTCCAATTTTCACTAGCAGTTATTTCAGCTGTATCTGTTTGTCTTCTGACCTATAAATATATCTATTGCTCTTTATTACTGGTCACTTTATTATAAAGTTAGTACTTTTGTCCCTGTGGAGATCCTGTTGGAACTAGAGCTCAATTTTTTCAGTGAGCGGACTGGTCAGTGGTTGGACTGTTGGCAGGTTTTGATCTGATCCTTTGGCATTTTCTTGTAAACAAAAAGGTATTTTTACCTTCAGTTTTATTAACCAAAATGCATTGTGTCTGTCCTTGAGGTCCAACACGTGTTAAGTCAGTTTTGTTCGCCTTAAAACATTTTCAAAGCCGATTTTATCATTTTAAATCCGGCATAGTTTACAGGCATGTTTCCTCTTCCATAGGTTAGGGTTATTTGCATTGCATCTTGTCTCTTTGTCCATTCATGTCTCAGAAAAGGAGACCACATGTCAGTCATCTATTGCACAGCCCACTTGAAACTACGCCGGTCCTGAACATGGCGGTTGATCCTTGCCAGACCATAATGAGCGTGGGCTGTGTTTGGCTGTTGACTAAAAACTAAAAATCAGGAAATGCTCTTCTGGGTATTATGTTCAGGAAGGTGTGAATATGTCTGTGGGACCAGCGGTGTTTTTAGCTGAATCCCTGTCTTTGGTCTTATCTGTCTGTCTGTCCAGCTGATCGACCTCAGTCAGGTTTTCCTATCCACGGAAATTGAATTCCTCAGATCAGCTCTCAGCCAACCAGGAGGCTCTGTTCAGGCCATCTGCGTCCCCAGTGGAGCGGTAAGAAACAAACCATTTCCTGTTGAAAGAAGCACACTGTACACACATTGTGAAGTACAACTCAATAATAACAAAAACAAAACAAAAACAAAAAACTGTTACATTTCAAACAAAACCACGTGTGATAAGAAACAGGTTTGCTGATATCAGTGTTTTGTGGTCCGTGCCTTTGCTCACCCTCAGCTGTCTGTCTCAAATGACGTGTTGTGTCTTGTGTTTGACTATAGAAAATTTTTACTGGGAAAGATTTGGAAGAACTGAAGCAAACAGCTAAGGCTCAGTTTTGCCAGGTAGGTTTGCGTTTCCTTCTTTTTCTCTTTCCTATTTCCAGGGGAAAACTTTTCACAGGTAGAAACCTCGAGAAGGACCTAGACTCAGGGTGGGACGCCATCTGCTTCGACCGGGCATCAATCAAATCAGGGTGGTTGTAAATCAGCTTTATATCATTTTACTTTTATGGAAAAACATTTAGGGGTTGTTGACCATACTGTACATCATAAATAGGGCTAGCTTATGCTAAAAATATAGTAATTATTGTACACCTGGAAACACTGTAACCCACCGACAGTCATCAGATTCTGGTTCAAATTCAAAAGTCTTTTTCTTTGTTTTGTCCCAAGGAGCTCAGCGTGGTGCTGGTCAAAGCAGACGGGACGTTGAAGTCTCCCCTGAAGAAGCTGCTGTCTGTCTCGGCCACAGATGAGCTACTGCAGAGGACTGGAGCCAAACCTGGAGACCTGCTGCTGGTGGCAGCCGGTTCCCTCCACACCGTGGTAAGAGACTCACTGACATCAAACTGATAAAGGGAAAAGTTATACAATACAGCGAGGAAAGAGAAAACTGAACATGACGTGGATTTATGTTGATTCCTCTTCTCTCTCTCAATACTACCCTCGCTCTGCTCTCAGCGCCCTTTGCTGGGTAATCTTCGCCTGCGGTGCGCAGAGCTCCTAGAGACTCGTGGCGTTTCAGTCCGTGACCCTTCAGCCTTCCACTTCCTGTGGGTTGTGGACTTCCCTCTCTTCTTGCCCAAAGAAGAGGAACCAGAGCAGCTGGAGTCAGCCCATCATCCGTTTACTGCTCCACTGCCAGAGGACACACAGCTACTCTACACAGAGCCACGCAAGGTACCTTAGTGTCTTTTTTATTCCTGTTTGTAAATAATCATACGTCGAGTGGGACGCATCGAGCCTTATGGGTTGTATTCTGTCATTCCCAGGTACGTGGTCAGCACTATGACCTAGTGTTGAATGGCTGTGAAATTGGTGGAGGCTCCATCCGCATCCACAAAGCCTCGGAACAGCTTCATGTCCTGAAGAATATCCTGAAGGTCAGTTACAATATATTTTGCCAGTGTTCAGCCTACCTTTTGGAATTGGGTTTAATCAATCGTTTTGGACTGCGGCAGGAGGATCCCAGTCTACTGTCTCACCTGCTGGAGGCGCTGGACTCAGGAGCACCACCACATGGAGGGATTGCTCTGGGTAAGGTTTACATTCTTAAGGTTAACAACCGCCGTCACTACGATTGAGTATGTGACTGCCAATATGTTATAATATTTTATAAAACTACAAAAATGCAATATTTAAGAGCTAAAATGTGAAAATGGTTTTATATTAAGCTGCCTTCTTCCATGCTTTTTTAGGTTTGGACCGGTTGGTCTCCATCATGGTCGGGGCTCCTAGCATCCGCGATGTCATTGCCTTCCCCAAGTCATTCCGGGGTCACGACCTCATGAGCTGTGCCCCTGACTTTGTATCTGAGGAGGAGCTGAAGTCTTACCACATCTCTGTCAAATGGCCAACACAGCGAGGAGGAGGAGAAGAGGTTAAGTAAGGAGATAAAGAAGGAAGAGACATCCGAGGAGGTGGTGCTGCCTTCCCAGAGCTCTGTAACCCACGCATCAGAGGAAGGAAGCGCGAGGACGAGGAGACAGCGGTGAGCAGGTGTAAAGACCGAGGTCTGTGACGATGTCTGCCAGCTGGCTGGCAGATATGAGGAGGAGGTGATGTTGTGGCTGCATCATTTTGAAATGGAAGAGAAAAGGCAACGTGCCAACAGCCACAGCGTTTGCAGAAGGAAATCTGCAACAAAGAAGAAATGCTTACTACTGAAAGCGAATGACACTTGAGGCTTGACTGATATGTTGGTTTGTGGAAAGTGAACCTCTGTTAAGATTCTTCCAGACCAATGCCTCATATAATCATTCTTTAAATATTATTTCAGAGTGTGTTCCACCTCCAGAAGAAAAAAACTCTGGAGAAATCTGTAATTTGTTGGGATGCAAGGCAAGTTTAAGCACACTGCAGGTTACTGTCACAAATACAACCAACAGGAGATTTATTATTCTCAGGAATTTGTAGATGGCAAAAACTGAGCTGCAAGAGAGCAAATATTGGACTTTGTTCGCCAGATGGCGAAAACATGACTCCGAATGAATGATAATGTTGCTCGGTAATTACTGGATGTATAAATATGGGCCTAACAAGTTTGCCTTATAAACCTAAAACGTGATGATGCATCAATTTTGTGTTCATAACTTGTTTCCGCTGCCCCAAGAGGCCACAAAGTTATTGCAGGTTTAAGACATTAAAGTGTGTGTTTGACTTAACATCCATGTTATCACCGTGTTCATCCCCGTCTGTTCCACTCTGCTGGACTCGCTCCATCCTCCTCTCTCTGCCCCCACTGTGGGTACCTCCGCTGGCAGAGTGCATCTGGAGGTTCAGTACCAGGATCCGTTCAGAAGCTGACTGCGCAGTCAGCTGCTGCCTTAATAAATCAGGTGCTGAATACTTGCAGATTGTGATTAAAACTCAATGAAAACTGCAATGCACATTTGCACAATGCGATTTTTCTTAGGGAATATGTCCCTCCGTTTCAACAGCACAACATGTCACACAATAAATAGTAATCGCAATATTCCTCGGTGAACTGCTTGTATTATTTTGCAAGACGCTGGAATTAGAAATTAAGAGTCCTTATTGCAGCAGGGAAGAAGCTGATGACTGCTGCTGCATCAGCAGATGTTTTTTTAGGTATTTAATTAAAGGAAACTTTAAAAAAATAATAATTAAAGGAAACTAACTCACTATTGGAAAGCAAAAAAATGTTTTTTGAAAGTATTGATAACAAAACTGATGATGCTGTAACTGCCTTGAAGGGCGAGGGAAATGACTTGGCGTACAGGAAACATGTCATTTTGAAATAACGGCTATGACATGAACTCATCTCTTATAGATATCTGATATATGAACTAGCCAACATTGTGCTCTAGAAAACAAGCTTTCAACAATATTTATTTAGCAGAATTACACTGGGTCGCTCACTTTGTGTTGACAAGTGGGCTCAGATTAGGAGCATGATATTACACTTTTGTCACGAGACCTGACGATGCTCAAAAAACAAGATGAGAAGATTTTTAACACTCTTTTCTATAAATATGAAATGCTGAAACATATGAGTAGTGGGTCTGGGGGTCCTCCCCCAGAAGATTTTGAGCATTAAACACTTAATTTCCTGCATTCTGGAGACATTTTCTGCTCCAATTGACGGTGGAAATGCCTTCATTTATGAAAAACAAAGAATTCAGCTGGCAGGTGACAATGCATTATGTAAAAATATAAATCTAAAATGCAGTAATTAGCCGCTTGTTACTTCTTTGGACAATGAACATTTGTTTCTTACATTTTGTTTAATTGCCATGCATGTATTCTTATTGTGCAAATTAACTTTTTCATTTTTTAGTTGACTTGTCTTGGTGCAAGATATTTTTCAATAGATTTTTAACAAATGCTTTCACACAAATAAACACATCTTAACTTGTTTTGGTTTTTTTTTTCACAACAAGCCGGACTGAGCACAAGATTTTAAGTGGTATTTAACCGGGATGCAGTAGGTGGCGCTAACGCTCCGTCTGGCTGCGAGTTGAAGAAGAAGAAGAAGATAACCCGGAAGAGAAGTGAGCAGCCTGTGACCTCCGCGCTGCGCACGTAACACCAGGGAGGAGAAAAATGACTGAACAGAGATGTGATTGTTCCGTGTTGCCTTCGACACCAGTGAACTCTTCTTGGCTCGCTTCAGAGAGTTAACAGCGAGAATAAGGAGCGGGCCCGAGCTGTCCAGCCAGCGGAATGTCGTCACAAACGGAACCGACGGTCGGTTAACGTTAACGTTACCCGGTGAATTCCTGCGCACAGACGTCGGACGATGCTTATCGGATGCCTAACCAGCCCTAGTGTGTCTGATCTTTTTGACGGCTACATGACAGTGTTTATCTATAAAAAGTGAACTCCAGGTGTGAAGCGGAAGGTTTCTGCGGCGGTGACAGCCACGTCAACTCACGTTATATATCTGTTTAGTGCGTTATAGTGTGCGCACGTGTGTTTTTAATATAAACAACAACAACAACAACAACAACTTGTAGGGTATTTTTGCTCGACAATGGCTCCGATGGGGATCCGGCTGTCCCCGCTCGGTGTGGCGGTGTTCTTCCTTCTTGGACTGGGAGTCATCTACCACCTGTATGCAGGAGTCCTCTCCACCCGCTTTGCTGCTTTCAGGTCAGACTCATTTCCACGCACGATGTAAGGTGACATTATCTCACTTAGGGCAGGGCGATATGGCCAAAAATGTCCCCGTGATAAACTTGCGTTGCGCCGTCAACACGCCGTGTAATGTGTTTCTCAAAACCAAGAATGCGCAACAGCCCCGGCACAGAGGCCGCGTGCAGAGCTCTAATATATATAACAGCCAGGCTTTATCACCAAAAACTTAGAAGGGATTTTGTCAAGGTATATTGTTGCTTAAATAAGAATTATATAATATAGAAGCAAATAAAAAATAAGTATTAAAGCAGTGTATTAATTCTAACGGCAGTAAAAAAAAACAACCTTTTGTACTTTTTCTCCATGAGATTGTACATTTATATCAATTTAATTTCTAAATCCAACAACAAAAAGGCTGTGAAAACATATGGTCTATTTTAATATCTTTATGTAATATAGACTACCCCTGGCAAAGTTTGTGTCTTCTTATATAATTGTATACTGTTGAATACTTCTTCTAATTTTGTTGAGGAAAAGGGACTAAAATAGATTTTATCACATTTGTTTTGAATGTTCTACCTCAGATTTGTGAAGTGATCCACTGTTTGGCATCAAGTGTTTGTTCTGACAATAAAGAAACCACAATTAACCATCTGGTTTCTTCAACTTTCACTCAAAAAAACTTAAAAGAAATAATGATTTGATGTTTGTTGTGAAGAAAGGTAAAGGCTCCCCCCCCCCCCCCCCCAGTCAGTGCTCATTTGAGACTAACAGATTCGTGTCCTGTCCCTTCGTCTCTGCAGACAGAGGGGGAAAGTGGATCTGCGGGACCTGCTGGCGGTCTCTGTGGAGGCCGCAGTGCTCGGTGGCAAAGAGGTAAAAGCGTTGTTTGTTTTGTTGAGTAGGCTGTCATAATTCAGACATTTAACTAAAAACTATTAGAAAGTAATTCACTGTTAAAAGCTTGTAATAGCTCGCTGAGTCAGTTGTTTGTTTGATCAGGGTTTTGAATTGGAGATAATAAATGATCTGACACAAAATCAGCCCTGGCACACATAACCAACACCATGCTGGTAATGACCAAATAAAGCTGTTCCATCTCATTTCAGTTCATACAGATTCCAAACTGTTTATTTTGACTATTGCATAAAGAGTTTAATGATTAATAGATCACCTTTTGTTTTATACTAATGTTCAGAGAGGAGCAGTAGACCTGCGTCTGGGCAATGAAATCAAGGGTGTGCTTGTTTGGCAGAGTGAAATGCTTCCTTCTATTTGTTTGGAGCATGTGGCCAGGAATTACACATTGTACCTCACACATTGTGTATCAGCACGTTGGATGTTATTTGTTTTTTTTTCCTTCCGCAGGTGAAGACGGTGCGTGATGAAAATGGCCTGAAGGAGAAGTCGAAGGGCAAGACCAGGGAGGGAGCCAACGAGCTTCTGACTATGGGCGACCTGCAGTCTCACAGGAAGATGTTTAACCTCATTAGCAACACCTTCCCCGAAATCAAGGTGAGTACGAACACTGTTTGCAGCATGAACTATCTCATTTATGACCATGTCCACTAATCTAAGTCAGTTAAATCACAAACTAGAAACTATCTTGACCTAACAACAAAGCTAGAACCAAGGCTTTAATGTGATGTTAGAGGTGGACCTGCTGTGTTACCGGATTTCACTGTTAACCGCGTCACAGTTTATTAATCGTAAAGCCTCCTCTACACCGAGTGTTTCTGTTGCACGAAACGAAACTGCTGCAACTTGCACAAAACGAAAACAAAGTTACACGAGCGTAAAGTGCCGTGATTATCAGAGACATGGAGGCTACTACTGCTCCCTGGCTAAACTAGGAAGAGGCTGGTCAGAGGGACCAGAGCACGGCGAGCTCGCGCGCACACCGCTGCCAAAGTAGTAGTTAAACTTTTGCGCTGAACCCAGCTTCCACGCACTGCAAATTGCTTCTTTTTTGAAAGGGTCTTTATGAACGTAGAGCTCTCAAGACCTTCCTAATCGTACCAACAAAATCTTTCAAAATCGTTGCATCCCTACTCATATTTCCTGTACTTGCTTCACTTACATTTCAGTCAGACTGGAAAGACTGGAAAGCCTAGTCTTGAGATGCCTTCACATTGTCGGATTGATCTTAATTCAGGTCACAGGTGCAGTAAGGCTCATGTACAGGTCACATTCGGGGTCATTCTGACTTTCCAGCCATAGTTCTGTGCCTCAGCTGGCTGATTGGGAAACACGATAGTTCAGGCACCAGACTCGCAGATACCAGTGTACTTCGGGGATTCTCACAGAATAGATTGCATATACATTACAGTATTAGATTTCAAAGTGACGTAGGTAACAGATTTAGGCCAGGTAAAGATGATCTTGTAAAGAGAAACACATAGACGTTACAGGATAGCACAGGGATTAATTTAGTGGACCAGGACGTATCCAGCAGATTGGTTTTTGTGTCGCATTGTGTCTGTACTTTTATCATTCTCCCTGGCGGAGCTCAATAAACAATGTTGTGTTTGTCATCGAGAGTCTCCCGAGAGACACCTAGCTCACATTATTTTCATAACAAATACAGTGTAAAGCTTAGAATAAGCCAATGGCACAGGACTACACATGATATTTCTGTCTGCTTTTTTGTTTTCAGGTGAACAGCGAGGAAAATGACAACGTGTTAGATAAGGCTGCGACGTGGAGCCGGCAGATTCCAGCTGACGTACTAGACAAGATAGAGGGGGGCAAGGACGTTCCCTCTGGGAGCATCACTGTGTGGATCGATCCTCTAGATGCGACACAGGAATATACAGGTGTGCACGTTACTGACGTTATATCATTCATTCATTTTCATGATCATTTTAGAAGACAGATTGGACAATAATAAGTCCACCTGTAGGGGAGGTACAGTATCTCACACAGGTGAGTACACCCCTCACATTTGTGTAAATGTTGGATTATATCTTTTCATGTGACAACACTGAAGAAATGACACTTTGCTGCAGTGTAAAGTAGTGAGTGTGCAGCTTGTGTAACAGTGTAAATTTGCTGTCCCCTCAAAATAACACATCACACAGCCATTAATGTCTAAACCGCTGGCAACAAAAGTGAGGACACCCCTAAGTGAAAATGTCCAAATTGAGCCCAAAGTGTCAATATTTTGTGTGGCCACCATTATTTCCCAGCACTGCCTTAAGCCTCTTGGGCATGGAGTTCACCAGAGCTTCACAGGTTGCCACTGAAGTCCTCTTCCTGATTTGATATAATCAAATATTTACACCAATCTGTGGGGTGTACTCACTTTTGTTAGATACTGTACATCTTTTGCTGCTCCTCCTAAATGGCAAGCAGTTAAGTTAAAGTGAAAAATTGGGCTTTGATTTGCCCTCACAGGCCAAGATCCTTGCACTGTACATTGTAAGATTAAATAGATATGTAAGATTTGGTAGCCAAACCTGTTTTAGGTATGTTTTTTTTTGTTGTTTTTTTTACTGTTGACAGATCATGCATTGTTCTTTGCAGCAACACCCTTGTAACATTCATCTAGTTTATCTCATACATCCGGGAGCTGCCCAGTAGAGCTGCTGTTTGCTCTGTGAGGAAGTACATGCACACTAAGCCAGTTTGTAAACGCATACGGTCGCTCAGTGTTTCAGTGTGTATGGAGTAAACGGAGCTTTTGCAAAACAGCAACCTGAGCTATCTACACATTTGGCTGACTAAAGTAACATAACTATGCCCCCCCACACACACACCAGAAAGGTTACCTACAAAGCATCTTCCCTGCCATCCAGACGGAGGAGGTTACTCACAGGTCACGTATTCAGGTTGCTTAAGCAAAAGTACTAATACAAACCTCACTTTGAAAATACTCCACTACAGGTAGAAGTTCTGCATTGTCACATTTGACTGCGTGACTTTCTGTCAAATCTTAATGAACATTATTATTATTATTATTATTATTATAAATTTTAAATATGCTTCGCACCTTCCTTGGAATTCTCTTCTCCCCACACAAAACACAGAACTCGTCTTTTTTCCATATTTTCTCCACAACCGAAACCAACATCTGCACCCTGTGTGGTCACTGCTGCTTTACCTGGTCCGTGCTTGTAAAATTTCCACCGCAACTTGTAACGTCATAGGCTACCGAGTTTTTAACCGAGTAAAGTCTTTGCGAGGTAACACATGCACATAAGACGACCGCTACCAACTAAAAATAAAGTATCAACAAAAATGAAGGTCAACCTGTTGTAGCTGCTGTACAAAAGAGATCTTGATCTCTGCTCGTGGTGGCCTGACTCCATACTGGAGTACCTACATACACGCTTTCTCACCCATCTGTACTGCTAGTTCAAAGATTTCAAACCCAGAGTTCAATTTTAAGGTAATTACAGCACAAAAGGTTTATTTTGGCCTATAAAATTATGTCATTATTGTTATGCTTTTATGCATGTAATCTTCCTGTGGCCCAGTAGTAAATCTCCCTAACCCTTTCTCTCTCCACAGAGAATCTGGTGAAGTATGTGACTACAATGGTATGTGTGGCTGTAAATGGTAAACCAGTCATTGGGGTCATACACCAGCCGTTCACTGGGTTCACTGGTAAGTGTGTGTGTGCTTCCATAACTCCACATTTTGAACTTTACATGGTTAGATTTGGATTGTGGCGTAAAAAATATGCCTGTTTGAATAACAAACATTTTTGTGACATAAATATAATTTTTCTCTCTCAGTCAGTCCATGAGCCCTTTGTAGAAATGATCACATGTCCTTCCACATTGCCCTTTAGGGAAAGAAACTGTAAAATCAGCTTTCCTGGGCTTTAAAGGTTAAGATGTTGGTCGACAAAATAATATGAATTTTAATTTTCTTCCTTTGTGTGTGTGTCTCTCTCTCCCTGTCACCTCTCCTCCAGCTTGGGCATTTGTAGGTCAGGGGTCAAATATGCGTCCCCGGTCGTCCTACAGTGTCAGCCCTCCAAAGGTGATTGTATCACGTTCCCACTCTGGAAAAGTTCGAAGTTTTATCCAGGAGGCTTTTGGAAACAGCACAGAAATCATTCAAGCAGGTGGAGCGGGTGAGTGAAGAATGTAAAGTCTTAATACTATTACTCAGTAGTAACAATTCATCTCTTTGTTTTTCTTTTTTAGTCCTAAAAGACAGTTTTAGAGATGGTAAAGTGTGAGATAAGACCTTTCAGAGCTAAATCGGTGGACTTGAGTCTGAGTTTGAAATGGGATTCTCCCACAACAGTAACATCTGCTTCACCCCTTTTTATTTTTACTTTCCCTTTTTAGCCATTATCTATTATTTATTTATTCCAAATTTCCCTCCATTAGCTAAATGTTGCATTCAAATTAGATGCACTAGTTCCATGTCTTTGATATTGTGCATTCCTGATCACTGGTATACAACTAGATGCACTGCTGAACTCCTGTAAAGCTGATCTCCTCTTTAGTAGAAACAAAGCCAGCTGCAGCATTCTCAGACTAACCATTGACCGTGGTTTCTATCTCTCTCTCTCTCTATCAGGATATAAGGTCCTGTCGCTTTTGGAGATGCCTTCACTTCAAAGTGAAACGGGATCAATAGACCAGGCAGATGTTTACGTCCATGTCACCCGTATTAAGAAATGGGACATCTGCGCTGGTGCGGCAATACTGAATGCACTGGGTAATGTAACAACTAATATATTCCATTCTTTGGTTTTCTGTTTATTTATTTAACAAAACTCCCTTTTGGTAGGCACACATTCTTAGGTATTGTTTATTAATAGTTAAACATTAACACTCTACTCCGCTTCATCGGGACCTTGTAGGTGTGGTTTGATTTAAATGTCAGTAGACTGGCAACATAAGCAAATAACCTCACAATAGAGGGTGAATTTGCACTCCTATCCCATCCCACTCCCACAAAAATACTCCTGTCCCAATCCCATGACCAGTGTTGGGCAAGTTACTCAGGAGTTGTAAAAAGTTACTTATTACTCCTTTAAAAAAGTAATAATAGTACTTTAGTATTTATTACAGGGTATTTTAAAGTAACTAGTTATGTTACTATATTACTTTCACAACCCTCGCTGCCTGCCCCATCCTAAAAAATGACACACAACCTGTTCAGCAACTAATTTCAGAATTGAATAAGATAAGATATTACTTTATTAATCCACTTTACTGGAATAATAATTAAGCTTAGGAGTCAAAAATCTGCCAAATTGACACATCTGGTGGACTCGCAAGCATTGACTAGAATGGCCAGGATTAGCGCAGCCTGTAACGCGCCGAAAAAATGTTAGTCTTAACCGTCATCAGATTGTGATTCAAATGTTCCACTGTACGTAAAGTCAGGTTTTACAGAAGAACACAAATGCAGAAATATCGCATGGAATAACCAAAAGGGTTCAGACTTTGGCAGAAAATAGTGTGTTCATATTGGAACCCATCTCTCATTGTCCTTTATGTATTCTGCTAAATGCATTGATGTTTCCTAGATACATAAGGTATCTTGCACTGCCCATAGAGAGAGATGCTAAAATACAGCAGGATGTGAATTATATTTCAAAAGAGATTAAACACTAAGCCGTATTTTATGCGTTTTTAAAAGTTATCATCTCTGAAATGAATTTTTGATGGGTGCACTGTACCGATGATGTAATCACCATGATTGTAGGAGGCCACATGACAACCCTAAAGGGAGAGGACATCGACTACAGTGAAGAACCAGTCAACGCAGGAGGACTGGTGGCCAGTGTTGGTGTGGACCACAAGGCCTTACTAGAGAGACTACCAACCCTGGATCTTGAAAAGGTCTGAGAGGCACAAACACAGAGCCATTGGTAGTCTGGTCAGGTTGTGTGGGCAACATGTGACATCACCGTGGGACACGAAACATCTGCCAATCGGACGGATTGGAGTCACTGTCGCCGGCATGAGCAGGACTGTGGAACCAACATGGCTGCCACTGGAAAGCGCAGTGGCTGACACAATGGCTCTGAACGCACACTACCGTACATGCATACACACTTGCAGCTAGGAGAATCGGTACATCATGCATATACATACAAACACATGCTCACAATGAACACCGGACACCTGCTGCCCTCACCCTTCACCGTCAGAGGACAACGGGACGACTCTAATGTGAAAATTTAAATCACTATCTTTGCTCACTATCTGTAATTATTCAAGGCTGGATAGAAACTCACCCTGAATGGAAACATTGAGCCTCAGCGACCTAAACATCCAGTGTAATATGGGGTTACTCGCCACTGAGTTGCATTTCATCAACAAACCCTGTGTTCAACAGCATCATTCTGCCACAACAATTCACTTCACACTGTCTTAAAATGATCTACTTCTTCAAAGTTGTTATCTGACGTGGATTAGAGACGGAACATTTCCACTTTGAATGGACAGTGAATACATGGCATGCCACTTTACATTTCCATTCGTTGGCCTTGCTCACACTGTAGATGCAGGTCTCTTAAACTCTTACTCGGGACCCGTGGTAAATTTTAAAGAGCCTGGGCCTTAATGTAGTTGCACAGATTTGATCTTTGCTTCAAGTTAAGAAAACCTCATTCAGATAAAAAAAAAAAAAAAGCATAAAAACCTTCCACCCTCGTACTTCCCCCACTTTTTCACCAGAGAGAAAATGCAAAATCTTTCATGTGAACTGCTAAGATTGTTTAAATTAGTCTGGACTTTTCATCAGTTAGACTTTCATCAAGTCGTTGCAAGGCCCAGAAAGGCATCAGACCTATTCAGATTTACTAAGTTACAAATATTACAGAAAATAATGTTTCATCACCATTAAATCTAGATTAAATGCCCAAATGGAAAAATTGGGGGAAGATTGAAGGACAAGTTTCTCTGTTTTTCATTTTTTTTACTGTGTCTCTTTTGTGTGAGACAGATACACAAACATAGCACAATATGATAACAAGAAGAGAAGCAGCATAGTTGAAGAGATGCTGCACGGCTGGCAGTGAGTACTAGGATGGAGGATGACTAACAAGTGTTTCATGAACCTGAGCAGAGGCCTAATCAATCAGAAGAACATAAAATGTGTGTGGGTGTACATTTGCTTGGAGTTGTCTCTTTTTTTGTCGTCTTTATCTTCTTCAGCATCCTTCACAGCCTGATCCCCCACATATTATCATCGTCAACACCTCTCCGGTACAGACAGCGTTGGTCGGCTGTTGCATTAAGAGCAGGTCCTGTGGAACCAGACTAAAGACTGGATTGCCGCGTGGTCTCACCTCTGCTGAGAGCGAGGTACAAAAACAAGCCTGATCCAATATGTACAGTCTCAATCAATGACTTTAAAACTGACTACTCTGGGTTACAGAAGAAAGTCATTTGTGTTTCCTTAGTGTTCTGTCGCCAAGAATTAAATGGAAGTTTAAAAAAACTAGACCATGGGAAAATGTCATGTTGAAGACTGTGTCTAATATTGACGCTTAGCAGAGCTGGACTGGGACATTCTTTCCTCCTGGTTTCCAAATAATTCCTGGCTCTGTATAATGTACTGTGCACTATCCAGACCTGGAAAGTTCAGTGATGCAGAAGGACACCCTGGTACTAGTTTGAGACTGTGTTTACGTACATATGTACTTGCATGGTTCTGTATTTTAATTAACTTTTGGTCCTCTTAACACTTTTCACCCTTCTGAAAATGTCGCTGGCTCAGTTGACCTCTGCCAGACTACTATAGATCCTTCTGTACCATCAGTCTGCCAGATGTGTATACAGCTTGCTCTGCCACAGACTGCAGCTCATGAGGAGACATCAGTTAGAGGTTGGGCCTTCATGTGCTAAATTTCATTTTTATGGTTGGAGTGCCTTTTGATCTGTGCAGAACAACATTGTCCAAGGATGGCGTGTTTGCCACAGCGTTCAGGATGAGTTTTGTATATGTTGCTTTGGTAGCGATGGTTAATACGCAAGTATAATTCCACAAAAGCAGTTTAAATGGCTTTACAGTGATGTGGAAATTGCATGTGTACTAATACTGTAGGCTACATTCCCAATTGGATTGTGCTCCTTGTGTCCTGTATGAAAGAAACAGTTAAGTGAGTTTGAGCAAGAGATGATTATTAAAGTGGAACTCCACCAATTTCACACATCAAATCATTTCCCAGTCTTGGGGAGGGCTACTGCATGTGTGGGGGGGGAAAACATGTAATAAAGTAAGTTTAATTAGTGTCTCCAGAGGGAGCTGTGTGAAGTCTGATTAATGTCCTCAAGTGATGTCATTTGAGTCATCAGTGGGTCTGAAGACTACACGCTTGATAAGGACTTAACTCTGGAGGTGTGAGCTCACCAATTTTAATGTCACATGACATTAAAACCGCACGGGAGCAAGCGCAGCTGCAGTCACTGAGTCCAGTGAAGGCAGTTTCTTTTCTCCGACTGCACAAAGTTGGAACCACCTTTTGTCGTTCTAAGCTCACTCTAAGCTCCCGCAGGTACATTGTGTCTGATTTGACTGCAAGTTTTTTAAGCCTCCCTGCAGTCGCCTGCAGCTGATGCTTGACTATCAAGCGCAGTCATCTCAAACGCACCTGATATCTCTGGTTCTCCTGCATCAATTTATATCATTTTCCTTTTGTTTGCTGAGATCCTTTTTAAATTTGTGGAGTACTCCTAATATATAAACCACAGACTAAGATTGTACAACGGGGGCACCGTGTGTTCTGCCTGTTTTAAAAGTGTAATATGTTCATTAGGCCTCAAGCCTTCAGCAGCACAGTGGACCCAGCATGGCTGCCACTGAAATTTACCTGATCCGGTCAGCTGCTGTATCTACAGAGGCTCGTGTTCTTGGTAAGCTGTGATACAGTAACCAGTCACATACAGCAAAAGCAAAACAGCTTTTTATCATCACAAAGTGTGAAGTGTTCTGTGACTTTACAGGATCTTCCCAAATCCAGTTCTAGCAGCTGTCAAGTTAAGATATGACTTGGTCCAGGACTCGTGTTAACGGAACTGACATGTTGTTGGAATTTAAAAAACCTAAAAGTTGTATTGTCCAATTTCTTCCCATCTTAAGTTTACGCTGCATGGTAATTAAAAAAGAAACCTCATTACATCCCTGACCTTGTGAGTAGGCTTCACTCATTTTCAGTTCAGCCTGGGGATTCTCATTTATTTCATATATTGCAAAACATAACAGGAAATGAATTGCAGTAATTTGAGGGGGAAGTTAAGCAAACACTTAAGTATACTTTTAAAGTTTGTGATCCTGCGTCAGCTATGTCTTCTCTTGCTCTCTCTGTATGTGTGGGGAGTTAATGATACTGTAATGGCTCAAATTACACAGAGATAAAAACCAGTTGGTGGTTCAACTGACCGTGCTATCTGCCTCTAACCACTGCAGCAAGGACAGGCAATATTCCCTTCACTTTGCAAGTGAAATTGCAGCAGGCAGTAAATACAAACCTAAACCTGAATATTTTCATTTGGCCAAATTGAGAGGCTGTAGATAATGATGCGAGAGTGAACGTTATGCTATAGGTTATCGTGCCATGTACCACACTGTTATATGTTTTGCTGACCGTGTCTGTCAGTTGATCTAATAACCAGGTTGTTGTGTAGCTCCTCTGTGAGTCTCTTTCATCCTCCTTTGAATTTCTAATAAAACACCAGTGTGCATGATGGTATGGGCTACGTTTCACTTGGTTGTAGCAGGCAGTTAAGGTGACTTTGCAGGGTACATTTTAAAAACAACCCCAACCCAAGTGTTTCCAAATTCAGGATGCACAACAACAACACATGACAGAAACGGTAGAAAATGTCTTCAAACTTCACTCTGTTTAAAGACCATTGAAAAGAGGTGTCTTTAACAAGGACTTGAAATTGTCAGCAGTCCGAGCAGTTCTTATAAGAACAGGTAACCTATTCCAAAGATGAGGAGCAGCCACTGAAAAGGCTCGGTCACCTTTTATATTTTTTTAACCTGGATCTGGTGACAACAAAGAGCATCTGATTGGATGACCTCAGTGCTTTGACAGGAGTGTGAACATGTAAAAGTTCTGAGAAATAAGAAGGCGCCAACTCATTTAAAATCTTAAAAACGAGTAATAAAATCTTAAAATCAATCCTAAAGTGCACAGGAAGCCAGTGAACAAAGCTAAAACTGGAGTTAGGTACTCAGGCTTTTTAGTTCCAGTTAGAAGTCGAGCCGCTGCACTCTGGACTAACTATAATTAGTCCAGAGTGCATATAGTACATTTTTGTTTAATTTTAGTTATTCAGATCCAAACATGGACTTATTGTATAACAGTTTTACATATTTGCAGATAATTATACACAGAAAATCCTTTTATGTTTTTCAGACATTTATTGGAAAGCTGACATTGCACAGATTTGCTTCTGCTTTAGACCTTTCCTGCTGGCTTAACAGGCCCTTCAGCTGCTGCAAACAGAAATAAGACATTGGTAACAAAACATGATCATCAAAACATGCAATTATGCACTTAATAATAAACCATACTGGAAGAAGGAATAAAGGATCTGTAATATGTTTGTGAATGCCCATTGACAGTTTGCTGCAGTAGTAAACATTCACAGCTGTCTCCTTTCAGCAGAAACTACAGCTTCTGTTGCAAATAAATACAAGATAAACACATTCTGGTTGAGAACTAACACATTTGGAAAGCACAAAATCAGTCCACAGTAGATTTGTTTGTGTTCCCATTCCTGTAATCCCACTGCTGCACAATAATATGAATGCTTACACTGAGCTGACAGCTTGTTGAGAATAGGCTGAAGAGTGTCCTCTATGTCTTTCTTTTGGGCTACGAAATCTGAGACTGATGAGTTTTTGACACTCTGAATCCAGTCTGACTTGGCGGAGCAGGCGCGCGTACAGATGTTCTGTGCAGAAATGTACAGAAGAAACGGGAGAGACGCACTTGAAGCATGTAGTGAAGCTGGATTATATTCTTTGCAGATGTTATCGTAGCGTGACTGAGAAAACTTACCTTTTCCTCCTTTGAGAGTTTCCTCTCTGGGTCCGAGATGAGGTCTTTAGCAAAGGCGACGTATGATATCAAGTCCTGTTTAGCGTCTGCTCAGAGATGAACACACATACAGGTTGATGAACAGTGATACATCAGAGGTTAACGAAGACAACGCCACACCATCAGCTACACACACCTGCCAGGACGAGACAGTCAGCACAGTCTGTCTTAGAGTACCTCTTTGCCAGGTCTACAGGCCTCTCCCCTCTGAAGGTCTTGGCCTGTATATCAGCTCCCAATTCAAGCAGAGTCCTCACTGTCTCCAGGTGGCCCCAACAAGCAGCAAGGTGCAGCGAGGAATACCCTGGGAACAAAGAGTAAACTAAGGTCATTTGGATTTATTAGTCTACTAGTAGATAGATAATAGTGTCCGCTTTCACACTTAATTTCTTCAAGGTTTTGTAATTATTTAGTATTTAGTGAATTCCAGCCAGAGGAAGTATTAAGATGCTTCATTTAAGTAAAAGTATGAACACCACACTGTAAAAAGAATCTGTAACAAGAATTAAAAATGTTACTTAAGTAAATGTATATAAATATAAGCAGGAAAATGTATTTCAATTATCAAAAGGAAAAGTACTCAATGCAGATAAAAAGTTCCCCGTGACTGCTATATTAGATTATTATTCCTCGTGCATCTATGTAAAAGCAGGACTTTTCTGCTGTAGTTGTGGAGGTGGAGCTCATCTTGAATTTATTTGTATCAGACTGCAATTACAAATTTTTTTCATTATGAATTCATCTGCTGATTATTTTCTCCACAAATTGATTGATTGTTTGTATAATTCTGAAAATAGTGAGAAATTCCCTCACAATTAAGAATTAACCCAGAGTGATGCCTTCATAATGCTTTGTTTCCTCCCACAAACAATCCAAACCTCAACATTATTAACAAACATTCAAATAATTCAAATTATTAAAAGGAAAACCAGCAAATCTTCACATGTGTGAAGCTGAATCCATTAAATGTTTTTACATTTAAAATAAAATAAATGAACAATAAAAAGTATAATCGTATTAGCTGTAGGCTACTTGTATAAAATAGTTAAAAGGTAGTTTAATTTATAACAAAAAAATCATCTTTTATAAACTCTCTTCATATGTTTTTGTGTGTAAAAAGTTTAATTTGTAAAGTAATTAAAGCTATTAGATAAATAGTGAAGGTAAAAGTACAATATTTCCCTGTGGATGTGGTGGAGTAGAAGTAATAATAATAATAATCTTTATTTGTAGAGCACTTTTCAAAAACAAGTTGCAAGTGCTTTAACAAGTGTAAAGACAATAATAATATAACAATAATAATAATAATAATACCCAAGAGACAATAATACAAAAACAATACAAGATAAACATTGAAAAGACTAAAATACAGATAAATATAAAGTAGAAAGTGGCATGAAAAAAAAATACTGGTAAGTCACCTCAAATTTACTTAGTTAGCCTACAGTCCACCACTTATTCCAACATATCTTTAGGCTGCTGTAAGCCATTTCTTTCCCTTTATTGCCCCACTTTTAACTTAATTATGCTCCTTAAAACATTTCGTTCATGTAAGCCTACCCACTTGCTCAACAAACCAGTGTGCTGTACTCACCCCTGACAGTCTGCTCGTCCACGCGGGCTCCGTGTGCGACCAGTTCTCGTGCCATGTCGCTCCTCCCCAACATGCAGGCGGTCAACATGGCGTTCCTCCCGACCTCGTCCCTCATGCCGAACAAATCATCTCCCTGCGAGTCCTCCGTGTCACCGTCGCGTTTAAAATGCTCCCGAATGGTTTCCAAGTCCCCAGACACCACACATGTAAAGATTTCTTTCTGTACCGAAGCCATTTTTCGTTGTTGCACGCACTCCTTCCAGCGCAGACAGGTGTGTACTGTTTCCATGGTTACAACGTCACCTGCTGAGCCGGTGTTGTGCCGAGTTCTGTCTGTCTGCCTGAGAATTGCATGCACCTCGCGAGTGATAAAGCAAATCTCGGCAGGCTGCAAAATGTGTTCTGCAGGATTATGCATCCACCTCTTTAGGTCCTTTTCAGACACTTTGCTGTGCTCACTGATCAAACGCGGTTATCACCACATATATTTACTGAATCTCAAGGAATGGTACTTCTTCTAAGTTTATTAAAATATTAAAGACTCTAAACCATCATAAAATATATACTTCGAATCATTTATCACCATTGATGAAACCCACAAAGAATGGTATGGCGTTTAAAAGCAGTATTTGGAGGTGCATGCAATCCAGGTGACCCGGAAGGAAGAGTAAACATTTTAAAATAAAAGCCAAGCTTGTAGAACGGTCAGACCTGTAACATTATGCAGCACTAACGTTATACCAGGGTGACGTTAGATGAAAATAAATAAATCAATAAACATGGACCGAGAGAAATGCGTTAGAAACAGTAGGATTACATGCACTATAATATTGTGCAGTTATTCATGAAAACAGCAAGAGTCACGTTTTTTGAGCGCATTGTTTGGTGCAGTACAGTTTGTAGGCTAATATAGGTTAACCTAAGAAATTATTGTGCGTGCAGAGTTGTTACTGTCAGCTCTATATTTTTAATATTAAAGTCATATAGTCATAATGAACAAAGCTGTTCCCCCTTTCTACCAGCAGGTGGCAGTATTTCAATGAAGGCCTGTACTGTGTCTTTGTTAAACGTTTTGAATCCAGATTACTGATATACATGGATTTATTGTTGGTCATTTCATTTGTTTTTGTGATATTTATTTTTTATTTGCAGCTTAGTTATCATCTTCATCATTCACCTTCAGCCCAGAGTTAAACCTGCATGCCCTTCTGTTCTAACCTGCTTCTAACACTGCTGTCAGCTTCTCAGCAGCTCTGACAACAAACTCACACTAGAAATGTCCTAATGTAGGCCATCTGGCCAAAAGAAGGATTTACCAGTGCGCTATGTACTGTGTGAATCTTTCTTTTCCATACACATTCCAGTGTGTATAACATATAACACTCCCATTGTGTCATGCAAGTGAAGAGAATCCATACAAGTCTTTCCATACAACATTTATTCAACATATATTGCACATACATGCTTTCAAAGGCAACATTATAACAACATTTACAGTAGGTTTTAGTCTTCACTCACCCACTATGCTTGTAAATCATTTAAGGGCATATGGGAGTGAAAGAGTTGACATCATCCTTACCCACTAAAACAGTGCCACAATTACAAGGCGTGGTTACCATAAATCATGATGTAAATATCTGAAAGTGACCCTGCACAGACTCACATCCTCCAAGTATTGGTGAAAATCTGTGAGGTGTTGAGATGAGTACCAGGGAGACAAACTAAATGACTCAACTTCGCTTTTATTTTACTATATATAGGTACGAACAGAGTAAGCTCTGCCTTTCCCTGGTGGTTCATCAAACAGAATTAAACCCAAGAAAGGCAGTGAAAGATTCTTTTTTACTCAATGGTCTCCAGGTTTCACATATAAGTAGGCCTAATAATAATAGTATAACTAATTTGGAGGCTGCATGAACAGGCTGCATTAAAAATATTTAATCTTACTTAATCTGAGTAACATAATACTTTATATTTCACTGACAAATTAAATGTCTCAAAATTGCATAAATAGAAAAGTATACAACTCCACAGATTTGTTTAGGAAAAGTTTTGTTTTGACCTTTTTATATACAATCTATGGTTTTGACACAGAAGAGACAGCAGTAGATTGTTGAAGTTGAGAGTTTTTAACAGTTATAGTGCCATAGAAAGAGGAGCTGGAAGGCAGGTGAAGTTCTGCAAATCCTTCAAACTCAGTGATTAGCTTCCTGAGGTAGCAGTGCAGCCTTCTCTTTGATATAAACACAAGTCAAAAGGTCAGAAACTTGCTGCCTGTTGGCATCACAGAAGGTGGTAGAGTGACCTGTGCTGGTTGAGCTCCCACATAGCAAGAAGGCCTATAAATATGTTACGAAACTAAAATATGAATGAAATAATAGAAACTTAAATAAATAGGCTATCTGCTGTCCTAAGCTACATATAACATTACATAACTTGTCTTAATCTGAAGTTACAGGTCACCAATGGCTGTTAGGGAGAACTAAACATTTGTCAGAGTTATTATTATATTAGTTTTTATTTTTATTTCAGTTAACTAAAGTTTTTTTTTTTCACACCCAGAGTTAGTTTAGTTTTACTAAAAAAAAGTTATTTTAGTTTTATTAAAAACGTCATTTTATTTTGCTTGCTAATCACACAGTAGATGGGCTACTTTTATTTTGAAGGTTTTATAATAGATCAGACCACGTGGCTTCCGTTTATGATCTATAACGAAAAACGAATTGACTGAAGTTCACAGACCCTCTTTATTATTTATTTAAAAACGAATAACGATAAAATGAACCGTAAAAAAAACGGAAAATTCGTTTTTTGATTCTGACACCAAAAACGGTTATTTTGTTTTTCGTTTTGAAACAAAAAACAGATAAAAGGTATTTTAGTTTTTGAATTACAAACGAATTACGGATTATCCACAGATACCCGGACCGTACATGGACCCGGTCGCCACGCAGGTCAGGGGTATTTTATATAGTCACGGTCAGCAAAAATGAGTTTTCTGATGCGACTTTGTAGTTTGGTCGTCAGTGCGTTATGTTTGCCCCTTCATCTGATGGAAGCGGTAGGCCTGTATCAAATATACAAACGTTTCTTACCATTTTGTGTATACCGCACTTCTGTAATGTACAACAAAAAATGCACGACAGGAAAAAGGAGCTGTTTCGCAGCCTCACGGAGTTCAACAAGCCTGGCAGCGGGCGGCTGACAATTTTGGAGATTGGCTGCGGCACCGGCACAAATTTTCAGTTTTATCCGCCTGGCAGCAAGGTGATCTGCACTGACCCGAACCCCCACTTTCAGAAATATCTGAAGAAGAGCATGGGCGAGAATGACCACCTCACGTACGACAGATTTGTGGGGGCGTCGGGGGAGGACATGGGGTCAGTGCCGGACGAGTCGGTAGACGCTGTTGTCTGCACCCTGGTGCTCTGCTCTGTCAACAACATACCGCAAACTCTGCGAGAGGCCCACCGCATACTCAGACCAGTAAGTCATCTGTGGCTCCCGAAAAACCATTGGGTCAAAATAGGTATATTCCCAGTAGGCTGCAGCCATAGCCTGTATTTGATTAAGGCTCTACTGTTCAAATAATGCTGCGCTGCGGTTCAACTTCTGGATTAATGATCCACCAGTGGAAACAATCCCTAAACAAACAACAAGCAAATAAGTGTGTTTTTTTTTGGTATTGGGTGATATATTTCATTTTGTATGTTTTTATGTGGGCGATAGAATTTACTGATAATGAAATAAAATTGAAAATGCTAAATAAACCTTGTGTGCTTGTGTAGGTTAGAGAGGCGTCTGCTGTGTAGTACACATGTTGATGTAAAACATGCAAAGCAGAGAAATGATCTCCCGCAGATGCACCACCTAAGTACTAATTATTTCATCTTTAGGTTGTTGCCACTGGATTCCCCATTGACTTTTATTAATAATCCTTCACTGCTGCTACCTTTGTCCTGAGATGATGCCAGTGTGTTTTCATAATTCATGTTGATGTGCCAATCAGTATTCTCAGACTTTCACTCCATAATATCAACTTGCATCTGATATTCAACTTGCACGTTTTTGTACGTGACAGTTTCTACCAGTAGACCTCAAAGTAGGCCACACACAAGTAGGCTATGGGAACCCCTTTCTGCAAGAGAGTTAAATAAACAACATGTATTAACAGGTGGAATGGATACATTTATTCCATTTGCATACTATGTTATGCTGCTACACATAACCAATCTTTGCTTTGCAGGGAGGAGCCTTCTTCTTCATCGAGCATGTTATGGCTGACCCCTCCACCTGGGCCTACTTCTTCCAGCATGTTCTCCAGCCTGCGTGGTACTACTTGGGCGATGGGTGCATGCTCACCCGGGAAACGTGGAAGCATCTGGAGGCGGCTGGATTCTCTGAACTCAAACTGAGACATGTTGAAGCGCCGCTCATCTTCTTGATCAAACCACACATCATAGGCTACGCTGTGAAATGAAATTCTGTATGGTTAGCTTCGTAGCAGCGAGCTTGCCTCATGACTATAGGGTGTGAATATGCCAAGTACTAAATGCCTGTCCTCTCCCATGTGACATGATCGATCACCAGTGACTTTGATACTAATTTTATTTTTGTATTGAAAACTAATCCTAATTTAGAATTTTTCACTTAAGTAAAAAAAAAAAAAAAAAAAATCTCCAAGTAGCTTGTTGATACATCAATCAATATAATGCTACCATAGGAAATTTCAGTGTTTATCTGCTTGGTACTTTTGGATTTTTTGGGTACCTTTTATGCCATGATAGTTGTGTCACAAAGTACTTATTTTTGCTGTGATTAAGCTGATTGTGTTTGTGATTAAAGAGTTTAATCCTGTTGCACGGTTTGTTTGTTTATTTTCCTATTGAGATGACTGAGTTGTTCTGACTTGTGTTTATATGTGTCTGTGCAGGGTTTGAGGACTGATGATAGTAGCAACGCTGGTCCCAGTCACCTACCATCATTCAAATAAGTGCTGGACTGTCAGGACAAAGCAGAACACCACTCCTTCCTCCAGCACAATAAAAGGGCCCTGTTGTCACTTTCGGATATTTACATCATGATTTATGGTAACAACGCCTTTAAATTGTGGCTCTGCTTTTGTGCATAAGGATGATGTCAACTTATGTCTTTTTATACACATTTATATCATATACAGTAGGCTATAGTATGAACAACAGTACAGTGACGCAGGGCTCTGCAGTGCAACTCTTTCACTCCCATATGCCCTTAAATGATTTACAAGCATAGTGGGTGAGTGAAGACTAAAACCTACTGTAAATGTTGTTATAATGTTAATGTTATATTATACTAATAGGCATTTATACTAGTTCCTCCTCCAGGTTGTGGTAGAGCCTTTGCAGTGGACAGATGTAGATTTGTAGAGGGCCACCAGGATGCCCTGACACCGCACACTGCTGCCACCTAAACACAAGTCCCACACATAAAACACCACACAATAAGGCTAAGTTGAAGGCACACCACCTGTAACAGAGTCTCATAAAAAGAATCCACATTTAATACCAGGACACAAAAATCAGCAGTTGATCAGGCAGGCAAAACAGCAGTGGCTATAACCCTCGACTAATGCAGTAAATCATCCACCCAGGTCTGACTCCACCTCATTCAAAGACCTGACTTTTAAGGCAACTCAGAGTATCAACCTCCACGGCCGTCTCCGTGGTGAACTCTAGAAAAAATAGGCCATGCAGTCTACAGGGTCTTGGCGACAGGTGGCTTAAAAGGCCTGTAATAAAAGCAATTTAAAAAGTGTTCACAAAAGCTAAAACAGTTATGCATCAGCCTTTAGGCATACCTTCCTAACTTGCTCCCTAGCCACACTGCAACACAATGCACAAAGAAAGATCCTGAGTGCTCCCTGAATATCAACTCTTCCTAAAGAGGCACTTGTCTCCAGTTGTGTGCCCGCTAATGGAAAGGTGGAGCTTCCAATGCACAAAATAAGAATACAAAATGAGACTTTTAAATGCTTTAGAAGCAGTTCTTTTCTTTTAAAGTTGAAAGCCTCATGTATTAGGTTACATGTGAGATGTTGTCTGTAAAGAGGGTGCAGCTGATTGGTACTAAAGGTGGGTGACCCGGGTAAAGTGGACAGATTGGAGCTGTGTACAGTTCACCCATGTATTTCAATATCCTTATGCACAAAAGCCGAGCCACAATTACAAGGTGTGGTTTACCATATTTTGTGATCTAAAAATCCGAAAGGGACAACAGGGCCCTTTTCTGGTGCTTGAGGAAGGAGTGGTGTTCTGCTTTGTCCTAACAGTCCAGCACTTACTCGAGAGAGTGTGGTGATAGTGACTGGGACCAGCCTTGCTACTATCATCAGTCCTCAAACCCCGCACAGGCTCACAATGAAGACTGGACCCTGATCCTTCTCACAAGAGGCGTTACAATAACTATCACATTAGAAAGTAAACTCAGTTGCGCGTGTTTTTATTCCCCTGCAGCAAAGTCGCAGACATCAGCCCAAGGATCGGTATGTGATGTCACGTCACACAGAAGCGCTTCTGCCGGCTGCACATACAGGTCTGTGTGTGGCGGTGGTGTCACTTACTGATCCTTCAGAAAAGCTTGGGAAAATGGTTAACTTTTGTGTTGTTCCACTACTGAAACACTGACTGACAGGGAACAGACTGCACAACAAGTTAAACAAAATGAAAAGTATGTACAAATAAATACAAACACACACACACACACACACACACACACACACTAGATGACAATGCCATGGTGCCATGCAGAGTAAAGGAAAAAGAAGATATTTAATGGAATAAATAAATAGAGACAGACACATAATCAACAGAAATCAATCTGCCAGAAAAAAGCGGGGCAATCCAAATTTAAAAACTGATCTGGCAAATAAACATCAATAAATACTCCAGAACAAAAACTAACAATTAAGTCATATATCCATTTACACAACATAAAAAATGTTGTTTAAGCCCACAGGGTATCTGCAAAACTGTATTTTGCATGAAGCATGTTTCTGTGTGCTGATTTCACCTGTGTAACTAATATGTTTCCTAATATTGTTGAATGTCTTTTCCTATTTGTTCTGGACCAGTGTTCACCAGGAAAAAATCTTTTTTTGTTGGAGGAAAAGGAAAAGCCTAACAATAGTGACACTTGGCTTGCTTTGGTGTTGCAGTACACGTAGGGATCACTACAATGCACAAACTATTCATTCATAAAATAATCTCAAATATAATGCAGTCATAAATATATTCTATCCCAGAGTTCAAACATTAAGAATTTAATTATCTCAGTATCTGTGGATATAAATCCTTCTTTGATCCATTCCTGTCAAATCTTGACAGTGTCCCTGTGACTACCGTACAGTGTCATATTCCCATATGTTTTTATTTATTGTAAATGTAAATATTTGTTTATATCTTCTTTGTGTGTGTAGCATGATTTGGCTACAACTTGCAATTCACTGTGCAACCCTGTGTTGTAAAATCACAAATACGTGACTTGGATTCCTTCATGTGTTTCACAATCTCTAGTCCTCTCTATTCCTGTTGTTTACACATTGTTTGTACTGTAAATCTTCTGTTTAGTGACGAGTATAAGACCAAGAAACACTAACAAGAGATCAGCATTCATTTGTACAAATTAAACAGAAATATAATTTATAAATTAGTTTTAAACTGCAAGAGATAAAGAATTGAGGTGATCAGTGTTGCCTTATGTTAGAAGTCATTAGACAGTGTACGGTGGACAGTGTGGTCCAGCCCTGGCATGCCATGGTGGATCTGATGGTGGTGCATATGATGCTGGCTGGTGGTGGGACCATCATTCATCATCATATCATCCTCCTCCTCCGCCCTGTACCCCCCTGCCGCGTCCTGAGAATAGCTATGCTTCATCACCAGAATGCTCCTTCGACTTGCTGGTGTAGTGTGGTGGGAGAGGCGTGGAGACTGCTGGCTCGCCATCACTGGTGGCAACGCTGGCGGCGCAAGAACCCCCCCGTCTGCTGCAATGGTAGCATCCCTCATGCTCAGATTGCTGCGGCTACCATGGATGCTGCCATGCAAGCTCTCCTGACCGCAGTGGTGGTCGCGGATGCATTTGGAGGAGCAGCGGAGCTTGTGGAACTTCTCGAAGTCCTCAGCCAGGGCGGCGTCAGTCAGGTCACCGGATGGGGTGCGTCGCAGAGTGCAGAGCTCATAGTGAGGAGGCTCAAAACCAGGATGGAGGAGGGCAGGGTCAAAGTCATCTCTGTGGGTAAGTAAAGGGAGGAAGAGACACACAAAAACATCAACACACAGAATAAAGATACAGTAAATGTTCAGAAAAGCCCCCCAAAGCTCATAGTATTGCTCAAAGTGATTTTAAACCTTAACCAACCAGACACTGAGAAATATGTACATATCCTCTCAGTGTAAATATATTCACGTAAAGTATTTATTGTGCATTTTTATGAATGTGCAATTTGAGCCTGCATGCCTGTAATTCGTGCACTTATTCACTTTTTCACAAAACAAATGAGAATTTCCCTGTGCACTGGAATTATTCCAGTTTTCTAACTTTTTTTACTGACATTTAAATATGGGAATCCTGATTAGGGTTGGAGTTAAACAGCCAAAATTCTGCTTGTCGAAACAGTATGTTTTCCAACCCCTTTACAATCATTGTTTGTCACTGCTCTGTGAGATTTTTCTGACTCAAAATTGTGCTTTAAAATGGCATTAATTCTACTCAATCATTTACCCAATGTCAACTAAATTAATTTGGCCTTTACAGTGTTACGCTGACAACTGTGGCCTACTGCAGATGGAAAGGAAGTTGATGAGAAAACTAAAACAAAGAGGCTAAAAGAGGCTATTACAAACTACACTAAACAAAATTACACTGAACAAAATTATAAACGCAACATTTATTTTTTTGCCCCCATTCATCATGAGCTGAACTCAAATCTGTAAAAATCTGTGTTAGTGAGCACTTCTCCTTTGCAGAGATAATCCATCACACTCACAGTTGTGGCACATTTTCGAGTGGCCTTTTATTGTGGCCAGCCTAAGGCCTTTTATTGTGGCCAGCCTAAGGCCTTTTATTGTGGCCAGCCTAAGGCACACCTGTGAGGTGGATGGATTATCTTGGCAAAGGAAAAGTTCTCACTAACACAGATTTTGACAGATTTGTGAATAATATTCGAGAGAAATAGGCCTTTTGTGTACATAGAGAAAGTCTTAGAACTTTGAGTTCAGCTCATGAATGGGGGCAAAAAAAAGTATTGCGTTGATAATTTTGTTCAGTATAGTTGGTCACTCCAAGCGACTTTCACATTACACGTGATCCTCGATTAGTGCGGCATGTAATTCACCCAACTGTCTTGAGTACCTTGCCAAAAATGTTTAATTTTGAAATGAGAAAATGTTTGCGAATTTTATCATGTTATGGTTCGTTTGTTTTTCCCTTTTGTCTCCCTCACCTGCGGATGATGTATTTCTTGCGAGGCTGTTTGATCTGGATGATGACAGAGATGATAAGCAGAATGATAACCAGGCCACAGGTTACACCAATGATAGTGAGGTTAGTGTGATCCAGCGTGTCCAGGATACTGGCTTTCCTCTTCTCTAGTTAGGGAGATAACATGGCAAAGAATGAGTCTATGTTCATCCACAGCCAATAGATGGCTTCTCAGCCTTTGTGTCAGGGTACCTTTGCAGTGATTCTCGTCCCATGGGTAAACACAGTTCTGGATACCGTTGCAGACTAGGGTGTTGTTGATGCACATGTTGCTATGGCAAAAGAAAGTGTCTCCTTCACACGGAGCTGAAAAAACAAAACAAAAAAGGGAGTCATGCAGCTGGTGTACCCAGTAGACTGAAAACAACCACATTTCAAACAGTGACAACCCAGACTTAAAGGGTTAAGGCTTAAATAGTCTCATTTCTGTTTACCTCACTGTCATTGTTAATATTACCACCAGATGGGCCAAAGTAATAACTTTTCTAATGAATGTGAATTTACAGCAGCATTGATTTAGTTTATGTATTAAGGGCAACAATTTGAAAACAAAATGTAGTATCACTTAACATATTATGGAGAACATGTTAGTGAACTGCCAAGTTTGCATATCCAGGAGAAACAGAGCAACATGAGCATTCACTTGGGAGTCATTTTGATATCTGCCGAATGGGAAGTCCAAGAGTCATTATGCATTTAGCTCTGCTTTGGTCATGTCCAGAGGGAAATAATAAATAATGACTCTTTAGCTGCTAAATGCTCCTCTATGTTCACCAGCTTGTTGTTACCTCTGTCATTTGGTGCTGCTCAGGTGACGTAGGCTACGCACTGCAGGCCTTAATGCTCAATTCCCAATTTCTTTTCCCAGATCCGATTCTAATTTTCACGAGAGAGTCCCGTATTTCATTGTTCTCTCCCGAATAATGACAAGTGTTCACAACCTTCTGGCTGTTTAATAATAGCTTTTTGTGGAGCTTTTTCCTTCACCGCCGCGCTGTCTTCAGCAGAAATGTGACAACAGCTGCTCTAGAGTGACATCAAAGTTGCATCAATTCCGACCTGAGTGGCGCGAGTCAGGTCGCATTTAAAAAGATCCAATCTGTATCGGATTTGGACCACATGTGGAAGTGGCCCAATTCCGAACTGGAAAAGATCAGATTCCATGTGACTTGGCCTGTTCACACTGGCATAAAAAGATCAAATCTGAGTCACATATGGGCAAAAAAATCAGATTTGGGTCACATTGGCCTGCAGTCTGAACTTTAGAGGTCCTACAACCTCCAAATACGACTCATCTGAGCGTATCCTAAAATAGCGCCCCTACCGGTGGCATTTGTACATGTCTTCCAAAACGGCAATTGGTTGAAGATACTGGAAGATGTTTCGTCCCTCATCCAAAGGACTTCTTCAGTTCTCTTCTTCAGTAATGGGTAAAAAGCAGCTGACTTACTATCCTTCTACCCAACTCACAACCATCGGAGTACAACTAAATGGACACATGTAATTTATTTTACCGGACCCTCTTGGGCCTCAGACCCACCTGCCATAGTCTCAACACATCCTGTGGGAAACACTGATTAAAAATCACATTTTGACAATTTAATTTATGCAATGGTAAAAAAAAAAAAGGCAAACATTTGAATGTACTTGACAAACCTCTTCACATCACAATTAGACATTTGATCCATTGATAAAACAAAGATTCACAAACAGAGATTCACTCACGTTCATGGAAGGTTGTGAAGAGGATCTTGAATCTGCTCTTCCTGCTCCCCTCGTCTGCCCACAGTCTCACCACGCCTACAGAGGACGCCAGCATGACATCGTTGGCCACCGTGGAGCAGAATTTATTCTTCAGGTGCTCGACCGAACTGCTGCCGTCGTAGATGGCAACAAAGTTACGTTTGCACTCATTGGAGTTGTGCATCTCATATTCTAGAAAACGCATGTAGATCTGTGGGTAAAAAGTTGAGTACAATCAAGAAAAGGTGCAGTGAATGTTTGATGACATTTACTCCTCCACAATTATTTCCTTCTATTGCTTTTTAAAGAGACAGACCACATTTTAGTGAAGAAAGATGTAAACACCAAACTGATGCTATTTAAATCATTAGCTTTTTTTGGCTTATGCTAACATTCAGTTATGTAATGTAATTAAGTTGCTCTACATTCACTCAAGTTCTTGTAACATACAGTACATATTTTAGTTACTTGTACATTACATAACTTATTAGATTTTGTGCTACTTTATACTTCTACTCCACTACACTGCAGAGGAAAATATTGTACTTTTAAGTTCATAACATATGATGCAATGTTATAGAAAAACTACCAAACAGTATAAAAAGCTGTCAAAGTAAACTCCACCTTCACAACACTGAAGTGCTTCTTACATGTTATTCTGTCACTAGTAATATTCCAGTAGTATGTGAATAACAATATAACTAATAATAATCTTAATTTTAAGAGACCAATTTTTACTTTTCATACATAAAAGAACATTTTGCCTCCAAAACTTATGTACTGCATTAAACACACTGACTGAAATGTTAACTGAATTGCCTTAGTGAGTTCAAAAAACTGGATATCCGATAATTTCCTTCAGTTAAACTCAGATAAAACAGAGATCCTCATCATTGGCCCCAAGCATTTGACAAAACATATTATGCCGTTCACAGATTGCCTTGGTTTATCAGATCAAATCAAGCCAGTGGCGAGGAATCTTGGTGTCGGGTTTGACAGTGATTTATGTTTAGAGCATCACACCACAAAGCTGGTGCAATCTTGTTTTTATTATCTTAGAAACATTTCTAAAAATCCGACCTTTTTTAATTTTTAAAGATACTGAGACCATTTTACACGCTTTTATTTCTTCACGTTTGGACTATTGTAACAGTCTCTTTTCCTGCCTGAATCGAAAATCTATTGATCGGCTACAGTATGTTCAGAATTCAGCTGTCAGGCTTTTAACTAGAACCAAGAAACTTGAGCATATCACTCCTGTTTTGGCCTCGTTACATTGGCTCCCAGTATGTTTTAGAATTGATTTTAAGATTTTACTGATTACATTTAAGGCTTTGCATGGTCTCGCCCCTTGCTATACTACTAGTACCCTATATCCTCAAGTAAGGGGCTTTTAGTGGTCCCAGAGACCCGGCTGAAACTGAGAGGGGACAGAGCCTTTGCAGTTAGGGCACTGAGGGTCTGGAACAATCTACCTGAGGAAATTAGGTCAGCTGAATCAGTAAACTCTTTTAAATCCCTTGTTATAACATACTTTTATCAAAGAGCATTCCCTGATTTTACCTGATTTTGTTTGAAGTATATTTTAGTGACTTTTGTTTTTTGTATTGTTTTATATATGTTTTTATGTTATAATTTCTTCATGTTAAGCAACGTTTGGTTTTAAAAGTGCTCTATAAATAAATATTATTATTATTATTACTTTTACTTGAGTAAAATGTCAGTACTTGAGCGTTTTAGCTAAACATTAGCATTACCTGTCAATGAAAATTAGAACTGAATGGGTAATCAAACTTTTTATGAAACAGTAGCCACAGTAGGAAAAATGTAGGTACACACAATGTATGTTAAAGATATAGCGTTGGGTCTACTCTCTCTACAAGCAAACGAGCAGTGGCAGGAAACCCCCCCTGAAGTTTTTGTTCTTTGTTAAAAAGTTGAACATTTGTGTAAAATTGTGAAAATAGACTTGCTTGCATGCCATAGTAGGTTTTGGTGTAACTTCCTGAAAATTACATTCATTTCATACGCAAATAAGTGCAAACTGCAAGTGACAAACAGCTACATGTAACACCACCACCGGTTTGACATATACAGACCCTAGCTCTTGGTGGAGCCTTGATGTACCACCTGCAGTCTACAGCCTCGGTCTGCAGCGCCCGGCCCTCTCCGGCTATCTGTGTGGATTCTACAAAGCCTTCTGGACCGCTCAGCTCAAACTCACAAACTGTGGATAACAACAGGTTTCTGTTAAAGTAATACTAGATTTGGTGGTAGATACCTAGTATTTGACTAACTGTAAAAATGTAGTAACAGTTTGGGCCGTATTATCCCTTCAACAAAAATGAGGGCTCAGACATAAAATAAATATAGGTAATCATTTGTATGAACAAATATGTGATTCAGTTAGCAGTATTACATTTAAACAAAGCTCCTGACCTGTAGCAGGTCTAATATTATGTTGTGACATAAAATCACAAGTTGAATACTCACATGGCAGAGCCGGCAGTTCCCCGAGGTCTTTGAACTCAGGATCTAAAAGCAGAACATAATATTGTTAGAAACTAATAAATCTTTGTAACATGTACTCAAGCCTTTCCACAATTAGGGGCCACATTTCAAAATGGGCTGCAAGACAAAGTCCCACATTAACACAAATTCCAACACTACATACATCAACCCCACAAAATACAATTCATGTTGTTAACAGAGATGAGCTTCAAATATGTTCTTTTTAAAATTGATTTTAACCTGGATATTTATAAGTGGATGTTGTTGTAGATCCTGTAATTGTCGATGTTTAGTATTTTTTAATCAGTGTGCTTGCACTTTTATCACTTTCAGTGGCAGAAGCTGGTCATTTCAGCCATTTATCATCACTTTTAGCGATCGACTTTGACTTCTCTGCTCACTTGCAAGCTAGTTTTCACCAACCACCACCTCCCCTTTATTAAGACGAGTGTGTGCCCTTTCACAGACCCTCATTTAACATTTGCTTTTTTATTAAGCACAACCACAATCTTTATTGTGACTGGACACTAAAAATACAACAAAATCAGCCTGACACAAATGTATAACCTTATCTGTTATCTTATTTTTCTACTAAATGCACACACCTGGTCATCAAATAATAATTTCTATTTTAGTACTTCCTAGTACTAGTACACATGATTGAGAATCACATATGTAGATACTACACAATCCATCTGATCCACTTGCTGAGTTGGTTGGACAGTTTTGCGCAGATTGGTAAACTCATCTAAACCTCATCTGAAGCAATTGAAACGTGTGCATGCAATATTCACTGCAACAAATGTGGTCTAGGAAAAGGTTAGAGATTCAAAAAAAATGTATTACAAAGGGGAAAAAAAACTTAATACCACAAAATAACAATGACAATATTAAAGACATATTTCAAAACACAACACAGCTGGTCAAGGTTTCCATAATCTATGTGCTAGAACATTGCTCTGCCCTCATTTAAACTCTCCTGAAACCCCGATGCCCTTCACCAAAGAAAAAAAACACACACTTAGCATTAGACAGGGAAGAGAAATTGTGTTCTAAACCTTTGTGCTGATGAATCAACGTGCTAGGTGGATTATAAATCCTGATATATCAGCTTAGTTCGGGAGAGATTAGGCTCCACCAGCAGCGACGACGTGGTGATAAAAACATCATTTCTTTTCAAACTTCTCCTGGAAGTACCAGGTTCAATATTAACCACGTACAGGAAAAATGTGTTTTAAAGGACGCAGTGTGGAGTGGAGAGTAAGGATTTATTAAATGCAGTTTATTTTAAAACCATAGTTTCTCTCAAAATATTTGTATCGTTGATCGTTGTTGTGATGTAAGATGTGCAGGTGATGGTTGAGGCTCAAATAAACAAGGACTGTTATTAATCCTCTCATGTTTCCCACCCCTGCTTCATGTCTGCTTTAGACATGTCCAGATTATTCAGATTCATTCCTCTGTGTGTGTGTGCGTGTGTGTGTTGCAATGCTGCATTTCCAGAGGCTTTATACCTAATATGAGAAAAGAAAATGTAAATATGAGATGAAGGCAAGATTTAGAATGTTTTATGTAAAACCTCTCATAATATTATTCAGTTTGAAAATGTTTGGTACACACAAGAACACTGACTATTAATACAACATATAAATTTACTTAACTACCATGGAATCAAATAACATAATTGATATGATATTTCACTATTGGATGTTTAATTTTCCACTTTTCCACTGATATGTCTAAAGATCTTAAATCTCCAGAATTTCTGAGAATGCACTTTGATAAAGGATGAGACTGAATTATGTATATTGACTAGGCCTATGTATGGCAATTAATTTAAACTCCCAATAACAGTTTACTTGGGGACAAGCTATTAAAATTGTTAAGACCTTATATATTATTATGTTATTGCCGTTATGTGGCTAAACAGTTTCCTATTTACACACCCAGCAGATATTAGCAACATTAGCCTTAGAATTTGTCTACCTGATGAATGTAAGCCAACTCCTGAGAAAATAAGGAGCAAAGTTAATCGGGGGACATCAGATAAGGATGAGGCACAGCTTCAGCAGATATATGATTACATTACTAAAGCAACAATGAGGCTGCATACATGAATAACAGGTATTAAAGATACCCTGTGGTCCCCTTTATTGGCACTGTGGAACAATTAATTAGTGAGTGGGTCCCTGTTTTGTTTGCCCAAAGCATGCACACTGAATGTAAACTTAATCTTTGTTTGTTTTTAAGAAAACTCCATGGGGCACCTTTAAGTTTGTTAAATAACTTGCACACACACATAAAAGTCAGCATTATGTATTACTGTGGTTGCAGAATGTGTCTGCAATGTTCCACTGCCCTGCTAACCAGCCTACATTAAATGCATTTTGCTATAATTTGCAGAGCCCCAAATTACCTAAAAGGTGATTTTCTTTTATCTTGCATGCACAACATATTAACTTACGCTGACAACGTATTATCTTGTGCACACACTTGTGTGAGTAGTTTTTCTGTACAGTGTTAAACCCCAAAATGTGCTCATGGTCTTTCACAGTGCTCACAACTACATAAAGAAATCCATAAAAAGTAAAATTATAAATCCTCCTTATATGGCTATAACATGCTTAAATACAAAAGGCATCAAAGTGAAAGTGAATTTAGTATGCATTTACCCTTTTTAAAAATTGCACTTTTTTTTAAATGTGTCTAAGCACGAATGCATGTGGGTAAATTAATTCTCCCCTGCCACCGGTGATGAGTGGAGTAAGACAGGAGATTAGCATTTGGCACGGGAGACTCATTACATTTGATGTAAACAGACAGAAAACAGCTTAATGAAAAGTAATGAAATAAGGGAAAGGGATGGTTCATGTTTTGGGGACAGGCGCTTGTCCAAGTGGTTCTGTTTCTGAAAATGTATACAATTACGTATGCTTAGTAAGTTGTTAACACTTGGTGTTGGTAAGGTACTGTAAAATGTTGTGAAATAATACAGAAACTGTGCAAGAAAAAAAGCACTGGGCCCCGACACAAACAACCTCAGCCCCCAAGCAACTTAAAAACTAGAGTGCGTGGGAAGGACTCACAGGACTGTAGTCTAAAATTGGGACATCCTTTGCAAAATCAAAATGTAATGTACAGAGTCTTAATCATGTTTTAAGAAAGAAAGAAAGAAAGATGGCTGAAGGACAGAGGGATGCAGATTAATCTTTGCCCCTCGTCAGTGTAGGTGGCCTATAAAATCTGCTGTTAATAAAGCCTCTGCCTCGGACTCCCTTAAGCTGCTACTGCGGCTCAGCGCTGACAAGCTGTATTCCCCTGAAGACAAGCTTTCATTAACTGTGTGTGTGCGTGTAACTGAGGGAACAAGTGTCTGTGTGTGTGTGTGTGTGTGTGTGTTTATATATATGTGTGTGTTTGAATAAATGCTCCCCTTCCCTTGTCAGCTGCAGCTGGTGTGCCTGCACTACAAATGGAAATGAGAGTATATATTCCCTGCAGCGTACAGTATTAAAGTTGCAATATGAAACTTCTTGACATGTCATGCAAAATAAAAAACAGCTTATATGGTACACTGCCCCACGTCTTTTAATACAATTTAAATATTACAGGGTTTTTCTGTAGTATTGGTCTTATTCAAGTGCATATAACACTGTGGATAATGTGTGTTTTAATTGGTCGTTTTGGCTACCCTAATGGGGCAAAGACAGAGAGGGAGAGACTGTGTAAAAACGGTAGCCAGTTTTGGCATGTGGCAGCCAACAATGTTAAACTCACAGCAGGGTGGTGGATTGGGAAAGTGCCAAGGAAAGGAGTCGAAGGCTTAGAGCCGTAGTAATACTCTAAATATCATCGCCCCCCCCCCAGCCAGCCAGAGCTGCAGCTGGGATGATACAAGAACAACAATATAGCAGAAGTATTTCCATGCTTTTGCCACACTCCCAAAAGGAAGTGACACCTCTTTTGCTTCCTAAATGCTGTTTACTTCAGTGAAAAAAAGCAAAGCTGGCATAAGGGGTGTCTCCTTTATGGCAGTAGTGCGGGGTCTCTGTTTAAAATGGCTATAGAGCGACGTACGGTCAAGTCGAGTCAACAAAACATCAGACTTTTACATAAGACAGTTGTTTGTTTCCTGTTTTTTTTTAAAGCATGACAGTCATTTCTTAACCTTAACCAAGTGTTTATTATTGCAATTATGATGACAAGGCTCCCATAACTTTAACAAGAGTAATTTAAACCCAAATCCTGATCTTTCCCGGAACCTAACCAAGTCGTGTTTGTGCCTTAAACTAACCAAACCTTAACCAAAGCATCGTCACATCATAAAACAGATTTATTTTTAAAACAAGTGAGTGTTGTTTGAAGTGGCAACAAATTCAACACTCCTTATTCTGAATCAAACCAGTTCCTGACACGCCTGCTTTTTTTTCAGCGATTCAAATAAAAGTTAATTATTATTTATTATTCATTTTTACCTCTGCCAAGAAGGCTATGTTTTGGGTGCCATGAAAACATAGGACTGACACCGGTGTCTAGGGCAAAATGAAAGTTGTAATTAAATGGTGTGCCGCAACTAAACATAAAACAGCTGCCTCAAACATCACTGTAGAAACAAATGCAGCAGGTAAATTGACAAACATAGCCAGACACATCAATGACATAACTAAATAGATTTGGTTGTTGTTTTTTCAGGTTTATCCTTTAATTTGTTTCCTGTCTGTAGTGGTTGCGCTTGCAGATTTGCATATCACAAAAAACTGGACTATTGGCCTTAGCGGAGGTCTGCGCCCTCTAAGTGCCCTTCTAGTTTAAAATAAATGAATTAGGAGTAAATGAAATGGCAGTTCAGACTGATTATCAGGCCACCTAGCCACTGGAATTTTGATGCAAATTTCACAAAATCAGAACAGATTCTGAAACCGAATTACTGATTATGATTTTGAAAAATGCTTTTCAGATGGATCTTTACATTCCTTCATGAATTTGTTCCTCCATAATTATGATTATGTGACAATAGAACAAATTGGACACACTACTTTCCTTTCTCTTGCACTTAACAGCTCTGGCTAGGTTTGGGTAAGGTTAAGTTATGATAAAGCTTTGGTTTAGAGTGAAAGAAGCACTAATTGTTTTCTCCCATTAGGTGCTGGGCAGGTAGCGCACAGTGGGTTTTTTGCATGTTGATGCTGGAAGCAAGGTTGCAAAACTTAAACAATGGAGGAGGGAAGGGTGAGTGCAGAATCAGGTGATAATTCTTAGGGTCATATCATGCATTTTTAATATATAAATATTGATTAGTGCAGCTTATATGATATGCAGCCCGCTCATTCAGATTTACTCACCTTGTGTGAAGTTATACCGGGCAGCGAAACCAATGGCCTCCAGTTCACTATCAGCCACAAACTTGATGTAGAGGTATCTCCCACTGGAGCGGACATATGCTGGGATTTCCTGCCCACAGTAGCGACCGATGATGGGCGAGAAACCAAAGGGCCCATCACGGACCTCGATGTGGTCAAACTTACACTCCCAGGATGGCTCTATGGAATACTTCTCATCAAAGAATAAGTCGACGCACTGTCGGGGAGAGGCTGGAGCAGGAAGAGAGGTTAAGAGAAGGTGAGATTAAGGAGGGCTGGAAAGTCAGTGAGAGGCTAAAAAGAAAGAAGATGAACGCCTCACCTTCTATGATGTAGACACATTCCTTCTCAGGTGGGTATTTCTCAGGGTAGTTGGGTGAGGTGAAATACCCTCCTTCAGGCTCCTTAACCCAGGTCCCACACTCCCCAGCTGGCGTCACACCTGAGTTGTTCTTCACTGGAAACGCAGGTAGACAGTGCACAAACAGATAGACAGACAGATTAAAGTGTTTAGCTCACCACATGTTGGACAGCTGATTTTATTTATCATCTCTTCCTCTTATATGTCTGAAAATGCAATTTAGAATATATAAAGTGTATACTGGTTGTTGTATGGACTGTACTTTATGTCATATTAGAGACAGTAAATATAACTTTCTGTACATTTAAGTTGAGTTTGTTTAATCATGTTGCTGTGCTTGTCAGCATCAAAAAGCTAAATCAATTTCCTAATTTTTACTGTGGAAGATTACACACATAATCAATCCAGCCATTACTCATTTTGACACTTTAAATCACAAAGAGGAAAGATTATTATTTTTTATCATCTAGTAATGTACTTCCAAGTTGAAAGATGATGAATCGGCTGTCGTTCTACCCAATCTCGTTTTCTGGCTTTGTTAGAATATACCAAACTTGCCGATTAGTTAGAGTTTGATCTTACTAGATTGGATAACAGTACTTTGGATTAGACAAAGTGCAGTGATCTCACTCACACTAGGCATAGTTCTGAGCTAGGACTGCAACTAATGATTCATTTTTATTATTTTGTTTTAAGTCGATTAGTCTATAAAATGACATGGTGACATCTCTAATGATGCAGCCTACTTTGTCTGACATTGTTGAGTAATAACTGATTTAATTGCTCACGAATGAACTGGTCAGAGTAACGGATTAATCAACTCTAATCTGAACCACATTCATCTTTGTTTTCATAGTAAGCAATGCAACACACTGATTTATATGAACCACAATGAACACCGGAAGTCATGGTTAAAAGTGAAGAATGAAGGGTGACTCAGGATGTGATATGATACCTTGAGCTTTTGTTTTGGTGGCAGAGGTGCCTGACAGCTCAGGTGAGATGAGGCTTGCTGCTAAAGCTGAGAGAAGAGCAGAGGTGAAACATTATGATGTTTTTTGCAACTTGTCATCAGATGGTGATAATTGGCCTAAACAAAAAAAAAAAGAAAAGAAACAAAGCTGGAATAAATACCAGAAGGGAGAAACTAACAATATAGTCTACAGCATTATAAACCAGGGTGGTTATGATTTTTCAATAAGTGTGATGTGTCTACCGATTATGAAATATAAATACAGCTGTAAACTTACCGATGTGAAGCAGAAGTTTGTGCACCATTTCTGTTCCCTGGGGTGCTCTGTCTGATGAAATATTGCCATTAAATTGTCCTGACTACAACACGGACGTCTATGCTCACGTCCCGTTATTGGGGGGTGGGGTGGGGGGAATATTCTTCAGCCCATCAGTTCCTCACAAAATGCGCCAAATCCGATAGCAAAGTTCGACATTTTCGCTCCTCTCTTTCCGTGTGTCTCCGCAAGAGCTCAAAGGATTAGGCTCCCGTCCGCCACAAACCTTCACAATTTTTGCTCCACCTTTAGGCTGCATTAATCCTCTCACAAGATATACGGCCATTGACAAAGCTGCGCCCGTGTAAAGCGGCCAAGGCAACTGACAACTGCCTGTGCGTGCGTGCGTGCGTGCGTGCGCCCGCGGATCATTAGTCCCTATTCACCCCTCAACACAGCACTATTATCAAAGATACAATTTTTCAAAATCCAATATTTTCGAAATGCTATTTAATTTATTTTAATTTATTTTTAGATGATTGTTAAAGTTTTAAGTAGCCTAAATCAAGAATGCATTAATCATGGACTGAATAAAAGATTTTAATCTCCTTGGACTGAATGTACAGTGGTTGTGCTTCAGTGGTGTAAAAAAACTTAGGCAACTAAATTGTTACCGAAGATTCTTTACTTTCTTACTTCAGGTACAGTATGTGCAATGAGAAAACTTCTGTTTTGAATTGGTGCCACATTAATAAAACTGAACTGAATGCATCGTTACTGGCAACAAATAGGAGGCAGCATTTCACCTCCTTTCTCCTCCTCATCCTCCCCTCAGTCAGGCTACTCTTTCTGCTCTTCTTTTCTAATCACAGAGTTTATCATTATAATAACCTCATAAAAGCTTGACTCACTATTGCAGCTCAAGGCACAGGTGGTATTACTACATGGGGTGGGCCAGGGCCAGCTGGTTAGCATGCTAACTTCAGTAGATATACATACATACATCTTCAACATGATATCAGAGCTATTATGTCTTTAAATTTTGTTTATGTAAGTTAATTTTTTTATGTTTTAAAATGTATTTCTGGCCAAATCTTACACATTGTATCTTTAAGTAAAAGTAGCAATAGGCTACAATGTAAAGGAAGAAGACCAGCACTACAGGGGATGAGGAGAAAAAGTCAAATGCAACAACATTGTGATCCCATAAGTGTCTGGAGTTTCACATCCCTGTGTTTTTAAACCCAAGAACACAGTGAGACAGATCCTGGTCCACCCTAAAGACCGCACACCCAAAAACAAGAAAAACAATGGAGTGTATGTGGTCCAATGCACAGACCTGTATATTGGGGAAACTAAAGCCTAGTTCACACTACACGATTTTTAGCTCGATTTGCCACTTGGCGAGCTCGAGCTTTGATCGGGGGTAAATCAGCGGTTGATTGGCGGTCGCCAGTCGTTGTGTGTGAACTACTCAATGACGCATTTCTGACACATCGCTGACGTCTGCCAGATATCTAGCATGCCAAATATTTGGCAGAGTTGACTGGCCGACTCCTCAGGTCAAGAGTCAGCAGTTTATTTACATCTGAAGGACAGAGGACGTTTGAGGACCACCAAGTGCACATTTTAGACGGAGAGGATGGATGGTTTGAAAGAGGTGTCAAAGAAGCCATCTATACCCCGGTTGAGAAGCTGTGGCTAAACAGGGGAGGGGGTCTACGCCACCACTTATCCCCCACTTACAATGCTGTCCTTTCATCACTTCCAAGGAAACTGACCAAGCATTTCCTCTTGGCCTCACGTGAAGATGCCAACGATGGTCGTTCAGACGCGGCCACGGGTGGTTCTAACGACCATAACAACTGTCGTACCACAGCCAGGAGCACTAACAAACCAGCAGGATCGATGATCCTGGCAAACGGTCCCACAGAGACTGAGTTTTCCTACTGGTCATTTCAGAACTGAAGAAGTTTCTTGGATGAGGGACGAAACATCTTCTAGTGTCTTCAACCAAGTCCAGTTGCCCTTGACTTTGAGCGTCTTTGGCTAACTATGACCTGGATGACAGAACCTTCACAGACATCCTGTATTCAAAAGATCACCGTAAATTTATCTGCAAAATGTTGCCTCATTACCCTGTGGATGGGGTGGAAGGATGGACTTTCACCCAGGAGACATCTGTTTAAGTCCTGTGTGCAAACCAAAAAGAGACTTACTTTATGGCTCAAATGTAACATTTAAAGGTTCAGTGTGTACATTTTAGTGGCATCTAGTGGTGAGGATTGCAAATCGCAACCAGTGGTTCACGGCGCGTTCACGTGCTCCTCGAGTAGTGAAGTCGTTCTTCTGACTTCAGTGTGCGTTCATGTGCTCTTAAGTCTGAATGTGGAATCAACATGGACGCTGCTACAAAGATGTGTTGGATAAACATAATCAGAGTATATAAACAACCCGCAGACATCTAGTTCACTCTACATGGACAGCAAACTAACCGTTATAACCATATTACAAATGACATGTTTGCAAAATATATATAGGCCTATACAATACGTGATTTTGAAAGATTATGATTATTCCGACACCACATCGATGCACCATCACTCAAAGCCAGCAGGAGAAGCTTCAGTGTCCAACACGCTCTGTCGGCTCTTGTGCTAATTAATACGTGTGGGCCTCCATTTGTCCACATTTCTCTTCTTTTCTTACTTCTAATAAACCACCGACTACTACTACTACTAACGTTACTTGTTGTTCTTCTTCTTCATCGTACGTATTCAATGTAGTGATGAAATGCGCTCTGTAGCTACTATAGAAACATGGCGGCGCAACATGGCGATGTCCATGTAAGAGGACCCGTGGTGTGTGTAGATAGAAATGGCTCATTCTAAGGTAAGAAAAACATAACAGTTCATTATGTATTAATATATTTATATATTTATGTACACAACATTATCTTCCGTTGTAATACGTCTGCACAACACAAACCCGGAGTAATGTAAATGTAAATATTTGCGACGTTTTCTGTAAATAGTTGGATTATTTTTCTCTAATCCTTTTATTATTTTTATATAACTTACATTCTTTATTCCATATTTATATATTTCTAGGTTTATTTATGTCAACTGTATGTTTGTCCACGAGTAGCACCTTATTCTTCATACCTTATCATCAAAGCAAATTCCTTGTATTTTTGTAAAACACTACCTGGCAATAAAGCATCTTCTGATTCTGAATCATATTACTGTAGCTGGATTAAAGATGATAATGATGATGATATTCACCATGCACGGACCTAAACAGGAATAACACATTCATAATTGTATTTAGCCAAGGTAGCAGTGTGGCTTCAGAGATGACAGTGTCAGTCTGTCAGTTGATCAACCACTTTGGTCTGTACTAAAATATAGCAATAACCTTTAGATGGATTGCTGTGAAATTGCTGTGAAAAGGATGTGTCCTAATGACTGTTGTGATCCCCTGATTTTTTTTGTAGCATCACCAGCAGGTCAAAGTATTCACTTCTCCTGTGAAATAGATCAACTTCCAACTTTTGTACATTTGGTTACCAAATGATGTATCCCAATGGCCGGATGATGAAGCCCTGACCTTTGCTATTGTGCCCTAGGTTGACTGTTAGATGGTCTGCCATACAATTTGGTACAGACCAAAATGAAGCAAAGACACAAATATTTGTTTATACATAAAAATGCGCACACATGAACGACTAAGGTTTTACAAATTTGGTGTTACGAGAGTGGAACTAAAATATCGACTTTAGGGGAGACATGATGTCACACAACAACAATGGCAGCTCCCATGGAAGAACACTAAAAGGCAATATAAAGTATATTTCTGTGTATATAAATTAGGTATTAAGGTAATTCATGATATGTACTGAAACCTGTTCTGCATGTAAATTGATGTAGAAATGTTGCTAGGTAATGCCAATGTCATTAGGTAGCTGACTGCAGTAAAGAATCGCAGTTATTCAGTAAAATGTTAAAAACGCCAAAATATTTGAAAACATCTACAAAATTTACTGACGTTTAAGGATTACCACTTCAGTCACTTGTTCTGAAAACGGCCATAATTTTAATTAACACCAAGGGCAGTGCTGAGGGTGCAACTGGGCGTACACTTGACCAGGGGCGTTTCCAAGCTTGGGGGCTTAGCCCAGCACAGAAATCTTTCATGTTTTAACCCCCCATTGCCACCTACCCAAAGTACGTCTATAAAGCAACAGGAAATTATATATAGCCTACATTTATTATGAAATTTATAATTACCATTGATAATAATTTACACTGATATTAAATTGAGGGGGTCTGGGGGTCCTCCCCCTGAAAAAATTGGGCTTTAAACAGTTCATTTTCTGCGTTCTGGTGAATTTCTTTGCACAAATTTATTGAGGAAATGTCTCAGGTGACAATTCAAAATAAGAAGAATATAGTGTAATATAATGCATTGAGGCTGTCAGATATGTTTCAACTGTAGATCAATTTTTCTCATTTAATTTAACCACAGCTGAGTCTACATACATGCAGGCATGCCTGAAGTACCTTAAAGTCTTTTGAAATGTGCATATGGCACCTTTTCACCTCAATGATAAATTAGCTTAATTATTAGCTTAATCTGAATTCAGAATTATTTATTGATGAAATATTCGATAGGGGGGTCTGTGTGTCCTCCCTCTGAAGATTTTGAGCATTAAACACTAAATTCTTGAGACATTTTCTGCACCAATTTACGGTGGAAATGTCTTTATTTTTATAAAGGGATGGACAAAATTTAGGTGGCAGGTGACGATTCAGAATATAAAAATATAATATAATATAATGCAGTAATCAGTAGCTTATTAATATTTTTTTTTTTTAGCTCATATCGGTTATTTTCACGCATTTGGCGAATTATCATTATTTTTGGCCCACAACACAAGAAACAGCTCCAGCAGAGGGGGAGGGAGTGGGTGCTGTAAGAGATGTGATTGGGCCAGCCCAATGTCAGTCTAGGCCTGATGCTTTATGGGCCGATCGTTGGCCCATTTTTTAAAAACAGTTAGGACAATATAAATAAATAATTTGACTTGTAGCCTACTGGATGAGATGAGCGCGCTGCTCTTCATCAGAGGAAGAAAACCGAAACTGAAAACACTTGTGATCAGACAGAAATATCACCACAGTTCAACACAAATGTTTACTTCAGAAAGAACACAGAGACAGATGAGAGTAAAACAGGAAGTAAAGCATGCGACAACACACAAGGATGGAATACAACAGAGAACAAGGAACAGGAGCATAACAAAGCAGTAACAGTATTTTTCCTTGCACGTTTGGACAGTTGACCAGTGAACTACTCTGCCCATTTTTTGAGTGCATTGGCCTTCAGGTCAAAATCTTCTCTTTGAGCTGTCAGTGATTCCCTCTGTCTGTCAAAATCAAAAGAGGGACTGTTGACGACATCTAGCCAGACTAGCCTGGCAATGAAATGCAACCATGTCTTTGGTATGTGCCCATTGAATGGCTGACATCGTTTAAAAGCTTCTTGCGTGTTTGATTTCTGCACTTCAGCCAAAAAAATTTTGCTAGCTGCTTCTGGGTCGCAGTTGAGACTGAAGACAACTGAGTTTTCTGGGGGAGGGATGCGTCTCTTTCTGGTTTTGCTGACATGAGCTTCATCAACTCCAGTTTTTGCAGTGCTTTCTGTAGGAAGTGGTTTTCCTTTTGTCTTCTGCAGCACATTTACAGATTCAGTTATCTCATCTACAACTGAAGAGTTGGAAATACGGAGTAGGTGAATACGCAAATTCATTTCAAATAACTGCCCAAACATGTGGTTGACCCCTGTGATGTCACCGCTGTCCTTGATCTCGCTGTTTTCCACAGATTGGATGTCAGTCCCGAGCTGCTTCAAGTACCTTTGTAGATACACACAAGAAAATTCCAAATTTCACAAAATGACAATATACTGCACATGTATTCAGTAATAGCAAACTAATTTGTGCTCACCAATGAACAAATGCATGTGTTTCTTTAATTCAACTAGGTTGGAAAATAAACTATTTTGTACAACCAACTGTGCCTTGAACGCAAAAAACTCTCTCTTAACAATTTCCCATGTCATTTGTGTTTTTCAGTTGTTCCTCTCATGTGTGGTTTAACGGAATAGATTTACTTTTACTTTAACAGCTGTCTAGGCCACATAACTGCCAGCATTTCATGTGCGTAGCTACTACACAAAGCATATTTTTACTCATCAAGTCTATTTTCTTCCTAGTGTTGACCCTGACAGTGTCAGAGCCCTAGGCGAGATTTGAAATGTGGTGGAAACGTCTTTATCTTTATAAAGGGAAACCCAAAATTCAGGCTGCAGGTGACAATTCAAATTATTAAAAATTAATACAATATAACACAGTAAGGTTTCAGGCATTCTGTAGATATTTTAAATATGTTTTCTCCTGTAGATCAACTTTTCTACTTTAATAAAATCCCTGCTGACTCTGTACAAATGCTGAGCGTTCCCTCCTCTTTAAAGTATTTTGTTTAGCAAAGTAACCTCTTTAAATAGGTGGCACCTTTTCACCTCAATGATAATTTAATTCATTTTAATTCAGTTATAAACTCCTGGACTTTAATAGCTCATTTGTTTCAGCAGGTTTTCTCACGTTCAAAACTTTCTGCAAATTCAGAATCCCTCCCACATATCTGTGTTCTCTGAAAAAATGCATCATCATTTAATTCTGCCTGCTCTTTACTTGGCTGTGTCTTACGTTATTGCCCTGCTGGTAGTGTCCACCAAAGCGTTTTTTTCTGACGCCAGCATCTTTTTTAAATTCATTCCAATGGGAGCGCCTCGTTTTTCCAAGCTGGTAAAAACGGCAGGAGCTGAGCGTTTTTTTTCCAGTCGCAGAGATGTTCAACTTTGGGAAAAACACTGCGCTCGTCTCTGTCACTTTTTACCCAGCCGTCCAATCACAGTGCAGGAGCACATCGGATTTTGAACGAAATGTTGTGCCTATTCGCCGAGGTGTTTCCTCACCTGCAAAATCTCATGAATCCACGTACGGACAGTCTGTGCTCTCATGTTTCAGCCTTCTCTTTATGCAGTGCAAGGGCCAGAGCAATTAGGCCTACGTACTTTATGGTGACATTTTTACATTCAGTAAAATTAAGTAGGCTACCCTACTTGTAGCACCTCCACGGAAATTATGTATCATGGGAACCACAGCATCTTGAAAAAAACCACTGCACCTCCAAAACGCACACTAACGCTCCCAGCTAGGCATTTTCAGAACAGCATGTGGCGTTTTCAGCTGGCAAAAAACTCTTTGACTTTGGGCTTTTTCACTTTGCAAACCTGTTACATGCACAAAAAGGTATATAACAGGACTCACAGTGCGAGGTGCACTTGATTCCAATAACAGCTTACTCCAGTGTCGCATCAGCTGTGCTGCAGTGATTCAAATTTTTCTCTTGTGGCGCCCCTTACGTTTTGCGCCCTAGGCACCCGCCTATGTCACCAGGATGGCCCTGTGCATATGTACGTACATCTCACACAGTTTGTTATCAAATGAAAGGAGGGCGAGCCACAACCATACCTCTCTGACTCCTCTCTCATCCTGGTGGGGTTGTTCGCAATGTGGGGTACCAGCCTCAGGTACTCGCTGACTGTGGAGACAGACGGTGGGTAGTACCCTCTCAAGCTTTTGACAAATAAACCTGGAATGGGCCCTGAGTCTGACACCCACTCTCCCCTGACCTGTCTGGCAAGAGTGTCAAACAGCACAGCCAAAGACAGGGCCACTACCCCCACCCCGCCAAGAGTGACTTTGCCCTCCCTGCCAAAAGTGGTCCTCAGGCCCTGGGTGAAGTCGTCCAGCTGCTTGGGGGTCAAAGAGGACTGCACTGCCTCGTAGTGGTTCCTCAGGTGAAATGAAGAATTCATTGACAGCATGTTCATGAAAACCGGATTAGGATTGTAGTTTGGGAAAGGGCAGATATCTCGAGCGACGGAGGCCAGGAGGGCTGCATCCTCAGCAGGGCACTGCATGTTCCCCATCTTGATGTGAATTTGTCAGTCAGAGATTTGATCAGTCTCTGCTAAAAGGATTCAACTAGACAACAGTTCCTGTGTGTGTCTGACAGATTCGTCCCTGGACATTAATAAATTCAGAGTGGGATCATGACGTCAAGTCTGTAATTAATGATTATTTTGCTCCTTCTTCAAACATTTGACTATCTCCTGTAACTTCCAGTAATTTTTAATCTGTTCCTCTTTTGCCAAAGTACATTGACATACTGACTATCTGGAAGTTGCAAAACAAGAAGAAAAACCTTGGAGCAGACAAATAAAGCAGGTAAAACATCGCCAGCAGACAAAAATGTGCAGTCTGCAGTGTGCAGATAGGTTTTATTCATACTCGTTAAAAATGTATGCATAATCCAAAAGAGAAAAATCCAGCCATAGATCAACACGTTGTGCAATATTCTGTATCCATAGAAGAGAAATAATACACTTATTTAACAGAAGTAGGAAATATGTAATTATTAGCTAACATGCTGCCAGTGCTCAGTTGTGCCACCACTTCGGTCCAGACTGAAATTTCTCAACAGCTATTGGATGGACTGCCATTAATGTTGGCAAAGACGTTCCATGATGCCCAGACGATGACTCTTAATGACTTTGGTAATCCCCTGAGTTTTCCTCTTGTACAACTATTGACATTTGTTGTTTTGTGTGATTTTAAAATAATTTGTTTGCCATGACATTAAGTACATATTTTCATGTTCCCCCTCAGGATAATTTGTATATTTGACCAATACTCTGGTTTAAGACTTAAGAAAGTCTTGCAAATACATGACATTAACATCAGCCTTTGCCATACTTTGCTTCTAGTGATAATTAGCAAATGTTGGCTAAACTAAGATGGTAAACATGGTAAACAGTGTACTTGCAAATCCCTTTTGATTACAATTTTATTAAAAATAAATAGAAATGATGTCTTGTCTTCTGGACTTTTTATTCTATGAGGGGAGGGTGTTTCTTCAGAACGTCTTACTCATGACCATTTTTTGTGAGGAAATATCAGACTGTATTTAACAAAATAAATATACACACCAAATCATGCATACAATGTATTCCACAACAAAAATGTAGCACAAAACCTAACAGTCTATAGAAGGAGAAATCTGCTTTCTAAAGATGTTCACATGTGAGTTACTGAAAATTCATAAATTCAGTTTTCTGTGCATGTAGAAATATTTGCCTTCTGACCAGGATCTCTTTTGTGTGTTTTACAGCTTAACCATCTGACCAGTGTTTACCAGCAAAGAGCAAAGGTGCAGCAAATTGAGTATCTACCATATGTATGCACAACCTTGTTGTTGTCAATAACCCATGAGTGATAAGGGCATCTGATGAAAGATTCCCGGCAGACAGACATGCATGCATATCCAGTTCTTAACTAACCTGTGACTGAGTTTGTATTACTTTTAGGTTAAACTGAAACAACAACACTACAAATAATCAAAAGGTTCAACATTTTTGGAAATATCATTATTCATTTTCTTGCAGAGTGAGCATGAGGATCAATACCATTCTCGTGTCTGTAGGCTAAAGCTACAGTTGATTCACTTAGCAAAAATACTAAAACAGGGGAAATGGTTTGCCCGTTTCAGTCCAAATCCACTCTAGCGTTCACTTACTAAGACGTCATGTCTCTATTGTTTATTAAGGTCAACAAACAGAAATGCAAAACCAACAATTTGGAGTTTTAGAGTGTGTTTTATAGTGTAACTACTTCTCAATGACGAAATGTGCTCAGCGTTTGTGTGGAGCCTCTCCGCTGGTTGGAAGAAAAAGTTACAAACTGCAAGTTATCCATTGTACATTACTGTAAGGATATGGATTAAACAAACAAGATACACATGTTACATACTTTAGTGTTGCACACAAACATATCCCAGTTTTATCTTTGCTTCCTAGATGTATCTTTGTCTTCTAATCACCACATTTTGTTTACTGTATAAGTATCAAAGATCGAAAGGGTCCTTTCTGGATGTTTGTTTTTAGAAAATTTAAGTTCTTGTTAGCTAGGCTGCATTAAAATGCCATTGACTACTTCAGTTACATTTCCTTAAAACTTTTTGAAAGATGATGTAAAAAGGCACAGCACCTAAATCACTATATGTTTTCCCAATGGTTCATGTTCTTTCCCTGTATGAATGCAAATAGAGTGGATGTTAGCTCCTTTTTCTTAGTCAATGGATGGCTCTTGTATGTATCTTTCTTGGCTTTTTGCTAAGATTGCAAGGTGATGGACACCACTACTGGCTTACATGGCTCAGCTTGAACATCACTAATGCAGGGATGCTTGCGTAAAGCTCAAGTTTTGTTTTTGTTTTTTGATTGAAAGTCTTTGCTTTATCCAAGAGGGAGCAGCAGATGCTTGTAGAGGAGATCCAACAAATATTGTAGTGCCTTTATCAGTAAAATGTTTAAAATATCCTTGATTCATTCAATATAATGGCCAAAGCATATAAATGTTATGTGGCATTTTAATTTAACATTACATTTATTTATTTAGCTGACACATTTATCCAAAGCGACTTACAATTGCTGTGTCAGAGGTTGCAAGCCCCTCTGAACGAGGGGTGAAGTGTCTTGCTCAGGGACACAATGGTGGATGGGTTACAGTGGGGGATTGAACCAAGGTCTTTCACACCAAAGGCATGCGACTTTATCCATTGAGCCATCACCACACCGTTTACACTATTCACCTAGAATTATTTAAATCTTATGACATTTCCTGACTGAACTAGGTGGAGTAAGGCTTGATACTGGTGGTGACTATCTTCATATGAGTCTGTCCTGACAAAAAATATATATGGTTGGTACACATTTAGCAAATAACAATCTGTATAAAATAACAATAAATGAAACTCAGCTGGCCAGAGAGGGGCACTGAATTACCTATAACTTACAGGCTGCTTGAACCAGAAACAGCACTGCTATCAAATTATACATTTATTTTTATTTTTTGCCACTGTTAAAGCTCCATATTCTGACTGTGGACCAGAATATGGTGCTGGCGGGCAGTTTTGGCGAGGGGCCATAATCACAGAGAGAACTGATGTTTGTAAACTTCATCTATTATGTGGTTTATAATGGACTGTGGTGCAGAAACAGTGACAATGTTTCACACTCATGGCTTACATTTTCCATGTTATCTGTCAGTGGTCAAGTCACAATAACACATGGTTTTACTAAATAATTAAGTAAATATAATTTATTAATATATCTACCTAAAGAAACCTAATTTCTTGACTGGCTACTCTCTGCTGTATCAGAAGAGACACCTTTAGTGCTGTGTCAGCCACTGCTGTCCTACGGTTGCAATGTGCAATCTTACCGCTAGATGCCATTAAATCTTACACATCCATCCATTAATCGTCAACCGCTTATCCTGCGTACAGGGTCGTGGGGAAATCTTACACACTGAACCTTTAATAATCGTGATTTCAATTATGACCCAAATAGTCCTGATTATGATTTTTGCCATAATCGACCAAAGATGTTGTCCCAATTAGTCACAACAAAAAACTTCATTTATGTTGTAGATTATTGTTTAAAGTGTGCATTGTCATTACATACTGTCACTTTGATATATAAATAAATGATAATATACCCCAAAATACACGTGACAGCAACAGGAGAGAGGAGAGGGATGAGAAAGCATAAAACTATGGGATCGTGAAGAAGTGGAGTTATTAACATGTATAAATGGGATAAGAAAGCATGGAGAAGGAGAGGAGGAGAGAGGAGCTTGGTGCATCTCCCAACAGTCTAGGCTTATAGCAGCATCACTAAGAGGGCAAACAGGATTTTTATTCCTCAGACAGCGTAGGTCCCTTAATGTGTATGTAGGCATCCACATGTGCATATTACTGTAGCTAGTTGTGCATGCACTCCTGTGTTTTTATTTATATTGTAAAATATGCATTTCTATATGTTCATTATTATTATTATTTGCCATTGGTGGGAGTGGTACAGTAAGTACATTTAGTTCATTTTAGTTTATTTTAAATGATCTGAATTGTTTTAACCAAAAATAGCATGACAAGATTTGCAGCATGATAAATGGCAGTTCTTATTTGTATTCTTTTTAAAGTAAAATTTTTTCTTGCATGTTTGGACAGATGACCGGTGAACTACTCTGCCCATTTTCTGAGTGCATTTGCTTTCAGGTCAAAATCTTCTCTTTGAGCTGACAGTAATTCATTATAGTTTTCTGCAATAAAGCGCTGGTCGAATATGACATCTAGCCAGGCTAGCTCGGCAATGAATTCCAACCAGGTTCGGCTGAGCTGTGATGGATGACATTGTTTAAAAGCTTTCTGAGTGTCATGTGATTTCTGTACTTCAGCCAAAAAATCTATGCTGGCTGCCTCTGGATCGCAGTTGAGATGGAACACAATGATTTCTGAGCAAGAAGTTTGTCCCATTTTATCATCTTCTACAACGGAAGAGTTGGAAATACGGAGTAGGTGAATGCGCAGATTCCTTTGAAATAACCGTCCAAGCACGTGGTTAACCACTGTGACGTCATCACAGATCGGGTTCTCGCTGTTTTCCACAGTTTTTATGTCGATTGTGAGTTGCTTGAAGTACCTTGGTCAGATAAACACACACACACACAAAAAACAAATTCAAAATTGCACGAAATTAAAATATAGCCTACTGCAAATGTATTCAATGTTAGCAAACTAATTTGTGCTCACAAATGAACATATACATATGATTTTTAAATAAAACTGGGAGGGAAAATAAAGGATTTTGTATAAGTGCACCGACTGTGCCTTGAACTCAAACAAGCCCTCAACATGGCTGGAGTCTCACAATTTCACGTCACATTCATCATTCGTGTTTTTCAATTTTTCCTCTCATGTGCAGTTTAACGGAAAAGATTTACATTGATTTTACACATGTAAATACAGTGATTGTGTACTGGACTCTGAGCACTGCCAAAACATAAGTACGTTACACACAGTACTGTGCCTGAACGCATCCTGTGTAGATGCAGGACTGAAGCTGCTGCTGCTCTAATGCACTGCTTTCACTATGCAGGCTGTGTAGATATCACAAAGTTTGATCAGATTCAACTCTATGTGATCTGATTCATAAATTTGCAGTTAAAAACAAATATGTATTAGATCATTTGTTATCAAATGAAAGGGGGGAGAGTTTAAATTAATTTGAACAGATTAGGTGTTAAATGCGTTTGAATTTCTTTTTAAGTGACAGCCCTTCAACATGCATTGCAATCCTCACCTCTCTGACTCCTCTCTCATCCTGGTGGGGTTGTTCGCAATGTGGGGTACCAGCCTCAGGTACTCGCTGACTGTGGAGACTGACGGTGGGTAGTACCCTCTCAAGCTTTTGACAAATAAACCTGGAATGGGCCCTGAGTCTGACTCCCACTCTCCCCTGACCCGTCTGGCAAGAGTGTCAAACAGCACAGCCAAAGACAGGGCCACTACCCCCACCCCGCCAAGAGTGACGTTGCCCTTCCTGCCAAAAGTGGTCCTCAGGCCCTGGGTGAAGTCGTCCAGCTGCTTGGGGGTCAAAAGAGGACTGCACTGCCTCGTAGTGGTTCCTCAGGTGAAGTGAAGAATTCATTGACAGCATGTTCTTGAAAACCGGATTAGGATTGTAGTTTGGGAAAGGGCAGATATCTCGAGCGACGGAGGCCAGGAGGGCTGCATCCTCAGCAGGGCACTGCATGTTCCCCATCTTGATGTGAATTTGTCAGTCAGAGATTTGATCAGTCTCTGCTAAAAGGATTCAACTAGACAACAGTTCCTGTGTGTGTCTGACAGACTGTGTCTGGACATTTATAAAGTCAGAGTGGGATTAATTAATTATTTATTAGCTCATTCCAACATGTGACTGTCTGTGCGTGTAACTTGCACTAATATTTGATCTGTTTGTAGTCATGCCAAAGCAAAGTGACATACTGACTATCTGGAAATTGCAAAACAAGAAAAATACCTTGGAGCTGACTAATAAATTCAATTCAATTATTGGTATGAAAGTAAAACAAAAATATTGCCAACATGTGTGAGTGTGTGTATTAATATACAAAGAAAATTATCAGTATCAAATGTAAAATTAAACAAAGAATGAAAATAATAATCATTTGAACCTTTTCAGAACATATATTTAATACATATACATATTTCACTCGTTGTCCGCAGTTCGTGGCATGAGGAGATATATTTTCATGCAATTATTTGGCATTCAGGCATTTCTCCCAGTAAACAGGGGAATAAAGAAAATAAAGCAGGTAAAAGATCACCAGCAGACAAATACATTAGATAAGTTGTGCAGATTCTTAAGGTTTTATTCATACCTGTCCAAAATGAATGCTTAATCCAAATGAGTAAAAAATCAGGCAAAAATTTAACATGTTTTGCAATAATCTGTAGAACAGAGATAGTACACTTATTTAACAGAGGTAGCCAGGGGTGTACTGGGACTGAAATTCAGCCATAGAGGCCTTTTATGCGAGCGCCCTTTGGGGGCGTGGAGAAAGATATTTTGCAGTTATTTTTATGCATATAATGTTTTTGTAGTATACAGTAAATCAGATTATGCTGAAGACCTTCAAGAAACGACACCTGCTTGTACAAGGCACCACTGAACTGAACAAGACCTGGTCAGACAAGCCTGAGTCAGTCAGAAAGCTTAAATACCTAAATATAATAAAAAACTAGAATACAGTCCCATAAATTAGAGCAGTGTGTGTATGTGCATAAAAACCAAATCCCTCTTGTAATAATTGTACAGCTACATATGCATGAGAAGAACATCAGTATTAAATATGACTAACAATAATCAATTTTCTAATTCTATTTAATATGATCATCCTTACCAGAAAATTGGAGCATTAACATTAGCATTTACATATGCATATCTGTTTTTTCAAAGATGTTGACCAGTGTTTACCAGCAAAGAGCAAAGGTGCAGCAAACTTGAGCATCTACTATATGTATGCACAACCTTGCTGTATCAATGACTCTTACCCATGAGTGATAAGGGCATCTGATGAAAGATTCCCGGCAACAACAACACTACAAATATTCAAAGAGTTCAACATTTTGTGGGGTGGCAGTGGTGCAATGGATAAGACTATGCTCCAGGGGCGTGCGACCTCTCACATATATAGCAATTGTAAGTCGCTTTGCATAAAAGCATCAGCAAAATGTAATGTGACATTTTTGGAAATATTTTTATTCATTTTCTTGCAGAGTGAGAGGAGAGGATCAAAGTCATTCGTGTGTTTGTAGGCTAAATATGAATCTACAGCCAGCAGTCGATTCTCTTAGCAACACTACTAGAACAGGGGAAAGACTTGCCTGTTTCAGTCCAGATGACGTCATGGCTCTCTTGTTTAATCCATCCACAAACAGAAATAAAAAAAACCCAACAATTTGTTGGTTTAGAGTGTGTTTCATACTGTAACCACTTTTCAATGAAGAAAAGTGCTCAGCATTTGTGTGCAGCATCTCCTCTGGTTGGATGAAAAAGTTACAAACTGCAAGTTATCCTTTACATTACTGTATGTGTATGGATTAAACAACCAAGATACACATATATAAGTATATATATATATATATACTTTAGCTTTATCTAGACACAAACATGTCCCACAATTTATGTTCTTGTTAGCTAGGCTGCTTTAACAATGCTCTAAACCCTTACAGTTATTATGTTATATTTACTTTAAAATATTTTGAGAGATGCTGTAATTTAGTGGATGTTAGCTCTTTTTCCTAGTCAATGGATGGCTCTTGTATGTATCTTTCTTGGCTTTTTGCTAATTTAAGATTGCAAGATGATGGACACCACTACTGGCTTGCATGGCTCAGCTTAAACATCACTGATGCAAGGAGGCTCAAGTTGTTGTTTTTTTGACTGAACATCTCAGTTTTATCCAAGAGGGGGCAGCAGATGCTCAGAGAGGAAATCCAACAAATAATGTAGTGCCATTATCAGTAACCTTTAAAATATCCTTGATTCATTCAATATAATGACATAAGCATGTAAATGTTATCTGGAATTTAAGTGTACACAGTAATCAATAATCATTTAAATCTTTTGACTTTACCTGACTTAACTATGCAGAATAAGGCTTGATTCTGGTGACTGTATGCATATACCTGTGATTGAATTATGAGGCTTACTAAAATTATGAATAATACACATTTTGCAAATAACAAACATACTGTATAAAATAGGAGCTTGGTCTGACCATTAACACCTGCACTGACTTCTCACTGAAACGTCAGGCACTGCCGGTGTATGTTCCCCCTCTACCAGGGACGCCCCGTGAAAATTTTCCCAGGGGTGGCCAGATGGGGCCACTGAAAATCCTGGGGTGGCAAAAGCCATAACTGAATTTCAGGAATTCTAGTATGCAGAATAGACTAGCTGAATACTACATAAAAGATAATAATAATGAGTTAAGAAATCACAGACTTGATATACTTTGGTTTCTTATTTTACAGTTAAAATTGTCTAATGTCTGTAGACTAAAACCAGTTCAGTTAACATTCCATAAAAATTCTGTTTGATGTGTTATCTCTGTGTGTTAGGCAATTAATTGTTCTTTAAATTTAGCAAGTTAACCTTTTCCTTAAAAAGACAAATACTGCTTTTTGTTTGTGGTGAGGCAGGTTGGTGGACCCAAATGCAGGACACGTAGGCTGACTGGTACAGTTCAAAAGGTTTATTAAACCAATAAACAAAAGGCGAGCACACTTACTGGCAGAGTGGCTGATTAACAGAGTCCAAAAACAAGGTAATCCAAACAGAAATCCAAAATCTAAAGAAACAGGGTGACAAGACGAGCACCCATCGTGGTGGAGAGGTTTGCATGCCTGGTGAGCTTGGAGGCTGTGTTGCCTGGAGTCAGACTGAGAATGGTTCACAAAGACCGCTGATGACACTACGAGGAAGAGGTAGAGAGACCCTGCCCGGAGGAAGCCCGGGGCCCCCGTCTGGAGCCAGGCCCAGAGGGAGGGCTCATCAGAGAGTGCCTGGTGGCCGGGTTTGCCATGGAGCACGGCCGGGCACAGCCCGAAAAAGTAACGTGCCACCCCCCTCTCCATCCTTTGGACCCACTATCCATCGGAAGATCCGCAGGGGTCGGGTGCGCTGTCACATGGTTGGCAGTGAAGGTCAGGGGCCTCTACGGACCAGACCTGGGCGGCAGAGGCTGGCTCTGGGGACGTGGAACGTCACCTCTCTGTGGGGGATGGAGCCGCTACGTTGGAGTTTACTCCGGTGAACGAGAGAGTCACCTCCCTATGCCCTTGGGTAGTGGAGGAGAAAACTCTGACTGTTGTTTGTGCATATGCACCAAACAGCAGTTTAGAGTACTCGGCCTTCTTGGAGACCCTGAATGGAGTTCTGTCTGGGGCTTGGTGGTGAGTTGGGTCAGGGGGTGGGGGAAGACTCTGGACAGACCCGGTAAGCCCAAACAGGTAGTGCGGGTGAACTGGGAACGTCTGGAGGAGGACCCTGTCCGTGAGATCTTCAACTCAAAGCTTTTCTGGCATCCCTGTGGAGGTTGGGGACATTGAACATGAGTGGGCAATGTTCAAAGCCTCTATTGCTGAAGCCACAGCGGGAGGCTGTGGTCTCAAGGTCTTAGGTGCCTCAAGGGGCAGTAACCCTTGAACACCGTGGTGGACACCGGTGGTCAGCGAAGCCGTCCGACTGAAGAAGGAGGCCTTCCGGGATTTGTTGTCTCAGAGGACTCCAGAGGTGGTTGCAAGGTACTGACGGCCCGAAGGGCTGCAGCCTCTGCTGTGGCAGATGCAAAGCAGCGGGTGTGGGAGAAGTTCGGAGAAGACATGGAGAAGGACTTTCGGTCGGCACCAAAGTGTTTCTGGAGTACTGTCCACCATCTCAGGAGGGGGAAGCAGGGAACCGTCAAGCTGAACACAGTAAGGATGGGACTCTGTTGACCTCAACTGGGGAGGTAATAGGGCGGTGGAAGGAACACTTTAAGGAACTCCTAAATCCGACTGACACGTCCTTTCTAGTAGAGGCTGAGCTGGAGACTGATAGGGGTTTCTCGTCAGTTTCCCTGGAGGAAGTCACTGAGGTGGTCAAAAAACTCCACAGTGGCAAAGCCCCAGGGATTGATGAGATCCGCCCAGAAATGCTAAAAGCTTTGGGTGTGGAGGGGCTGTCTTGGATGACATGTCTTTTTAACATTGCGTGGAAGTCGGATACAGTGCCCAAGTGTGCCTGGGGTGGTAGTTCCCCTGTTCAAAATGGACGACAAGAGAGTGTGTGCCAATTACAGGGGTATCACACTTCCCAGTCTCTCCGGTAAAGTCTACTCCAAGGTGCTGGAACGGAGGGTTTGGCCGATAGTTGAACCTCAGATCGAAGAGGAACAATGGGGTTTTCATCCCGGTCGTGGAACAACTGACCAGCTCTTTACTCTCACAAGGATCCTGGAGCAGGCTTAGGAGTATGCCCATCAAATCTACATGTGCTTTGTAGATCTGGAGAAGGCGTATGACCGGGTCCCCCGGGAGATACTGTGGGAGGTGCTGCGGGAGTATGGGGTGAGGGGGATGTACAGGGCTATCCAAACCCTGTACATCCAAAGCGAGAGCTGTGTCCGAGTACTCAGCAGTAAGTTGGAATCTTTCCAGGTGAGGGTTGGCCTTCGCCAGGGCTGCGCTTTGTCACCAATCCTGTTTGTGATATTCATGGACAGGATATCAATGCATAGTCGTGGCGAGGAGGGGCTGCAGTTCGGTGGGCTTGGGACCTCGTCACTGCTTTTTACGGATGATGTGTTCCTGATGGCATCATCGGTAAGTGACCTTCAGCTCTCACTGGATTGTTTCGCAGCAGAGTGCGAAGTAGTTGGGATGAGGATTAGCACCTCTAAATCTGTGGCCAAGGTTCTCAGCAGGAAACCGGTGGAGTGCCAACTCCAGGTAGGGAATGAATCCTTACCCCAAGTGAAGGGGTTCAAGTACCTCGGGGGTCTTGTTCACGAGGGAGGGGAGATTGGAGCAGGAGATTGGCCGGAGAATCGGAGCAGTTTTACCGCATCATTGTGAAGGAAAGAGAGCTGAGAAGTTGCTGGAGCCTGCTGGAGCTGCTATCCCGCGACCCGACCACGGATAAGCGGATGAAGATGGATGGAAGGGTTAGACTTTTTCCAAGGGCTGCAATCGAAAAGGCCGTGGTGTCCTTGAACGCACCATGGGCCGTTTTCGAAAGGTTGAACGTGGCGAGTTCTAAGACACCACGGCTGGAGTTGGAAAAGGCCGACCGGGCCTTGAACACACCACAGCCGGTGTGACTGTGGTTGACACATCACCCGGTGTAGACGTCAGCCTCAAGCTCACAGCTTCCATGTGAAGCAGCGGCAGGGTAGACAGCCTCGCCTGCTGCAGCAGGCGCTATGAGCCGCCCGTGGAGGAAACGAAACCAACCGAAGCAGCGAGCGATCTCTTTTGTCCCGCTATACCGAGACAGACCTCACTGGCTGTCTCTCTCCGGCTATAGCGGACTAGCGTAGCTGCACTGTGACCGCTCGGCGAATGAGATGTCGACTCGTCCAGGCAGGAAATGGTCACCTCGCCTGGGTGCAAAGATAATTTTCTAGAAGTGGCAACTCCATCCGTGGAGGTGGTGAATTCAGTGAGCAGTTCACCGTTTGCTGAAGAAAAAAGGATGCTGAGGCAGTAGGGACACTGCTATTTATAGGTCACGCACGTATCGGTAGCGACGTCCTATTGGTTGGCTACGTGCACGATAAAATTTCAGTGGTCAAGTGCATGCGTGTGATTGGAGGAGGTAGTACCCATTGAGTCCAGTAGAGGGCAGAGCCTGTGTGAGATAGAACAACTCAGAATATAGAATTAAGAGATAGAATTAGTGCTGAAATGATGAGTTGATCAACTGATTAATCGATCAACATCAAATTAATCTGCAACCATTTTTCAGTCCCATGTTCTCACTTTGACATGGTATGAAATACTTGCTGATAGAGGAGTTTCCGTAAGAGCATGTTAAGTATACTGGATATTTGCAAGTACCTAAACGGAACCAAGAGCTACTGCTCATTTGAGGAAATTAGTAGACTGTGGATATCTATGTTGCAGGCCATGCCACAATACCTAAATGTGATCCCACTCTCTGTGTCTTTTATGTATTTTTATTTCACTTATTTATCACCTCCATTTCAGCCTGAACAGACTGTTTACATGGCTTATGCTGTGGCTTGTTGAATACATGTTCATTCCCATTTTAGATGTCTGGTCATTTTGCTTTACTTTTGTACCTTGATGACAATTTAAAAGAAACGGCCTTCCTTGTGCTGATGTTAGGCCAGAACAGAGCATGTTGGGTTGAGGAGGCAGAGAGAGATCATACACACACACACACACACACACACACACACACCACAAACCTTCACAAATGTTCTAGTGTGTGTAAAGGCAGATGAATCAGTACTTTGCGGTTGAGTCGCAGGGGAATACTGGCCACCCTGCTGGCGGCTGCTGCCATTCTCACACGCAGTAAAAAATATAATATGATCTCAGGCAAGTTTATATAAAATTTTATTTAACCTATATTTAACCAGGTAGGACCCGTTGAGATCAGTGATCTCTTTTAACACTCACTAAAGCTATAAATGGGATGTTTGATGTATTTTTGCAAAGGATGCAAATAAGTATTAGCCTACTATATAAGATATATATTTACTATGCTGTTCAGATGTAACTGCAAACTGTTTTCTTGTACAATGCAGACAGAGCCCATAAGAGATGGCTATGCTAGTCATATGAGACACAAGGAAAAGTCATAACTGCACATTCTCCTTTTAACCCATAATTTAGCCCATCTAATTGTGTTTTTTCATTTGGGGGAATTATATGGCCTCATAGTTCCTTGGCCCATTTTCACCTATCAATAATTAGTTTTGATCGTGTCTTCCTGTTAAAGAAAAAAATGTGCAATATTTGTAACACAAGTGGGCCGCTGTCCTAACATCTACAAGTTTACCTTCATGTCACTTCTAGTGTGATCAGGTGCCTCCTCAAATATATCAACCCTGGAGTTCCAACAGATCCCTGCCGGCCTGTGTGTGTGTGTGTGTGTGTGTGTGTGTAGGTGGGAGGTGGGGTGCGGTAGGGGGGAGCTAGAGGATTTGAGGAGGCGTGGTTCGCTGCGTTGCGCGTTGCTAAATTTGGCATATAAGCGCAAAATGAACAGCGGTCCCATGCAGCCAGTAGCGCACTGAGCGACCTGAGGAATTCAACAGGTACCTATAGACATTTCTGAGCTGAGTGTCTTCCAGCGTGAATGTACAGTCTGAAAGACAACCGACTGCCTGCACTCATTTTGTGTGATGGATGGAATCAAAGGCTCCCTGGATTGGATAAGTGTCACTCTGCAGTAAGCTCGAGGAGTTCTGACATCTGGAATATTGCACCTGGGAGATAGTTTGGCGGAATTTAAAGGTAAGCTTGTACTATACATTACTGCCCAAATGAATTTATAGCGACCTTATCTCACTCTTTGTCTTAAAGGATTCTTATTTAATGTTATGTGGACATAGTTTTTGTGTAAAAAAATATGACTTAAGTGTTTTAGTTCTTGAAGGGTTTATTAAAAGAAAATTTAAGAGACAGAAATAAAAATAATGCAAGGAGTGCACAGCACAGTAACTAAATCTCCTGCTCTGTAACGTAACGTGAAAAGTCCGTTTACACTGGTCCTACTGTGTGTAGTGATGCAGTGACCTGCAGATGCACTCAGACTGCTGAAAGCTGTATTAGCTTTACTGTTTGAAGTCCCGCTATAATTACTGCATTATTAAACAGAGACAGAGGATAGATGGAAGGTGTCTTTGGGCTCTTTCATAAAGATGCTGTAGCTTAAGTACATTGCTAAGAAGGGAGACAATTAACATAAACACTGATGTATATTTTAATATGCAGAGTCCATGTTTTTGTTAAACTTTAAAAAGTGCCATAAAATGAGCCTAGTGCATCATTACATTTTAAACATCTGCATGCAGACTGTGTTTTTACAGAAAATAGTCTTAATGAATAAAGCTAAAATTCAAAATCAAGCTGTTCTACTTCAACATGCCCTCCCTGTTTTGCAGGCAATAAAAACATTCTTCATTCAGCAGCAGCATTTGCCCCATCATGAAGAGGTCTCTTCCTTTCCGGGGATGGGTTAGAGCTGCAAGCTTGGTCCTGTGTTTGACCCAGACTGTCCTGGCTATGGTCCTCACCAACTCCACAAGACTGGAGTCCATCCTGGACAAGTACAGGGATAAGGCTGAGGAATGGTGGAGGGCCAGGTCGAGAGGAAAGAGGGCCATCAGCGAGGGAGACATGCACCTCATTCTAGACTTGCACAACAAGCTGCGGGGTCAGGTCCACCCTCCTGCTTCCAACATGGAGTACATGGTAAGTCCTGAGGACAAAGCTGTCTATCATGTACTGTAGGTAAATCTTTTCACACTGGAATACAAACAGAATCCAGCCTTGCATACATTTCTGTTATTTGAAAATAATAAAGAGTAACGGTATTAGTTACGGACAGTTGGAGCTAAAGAGTCAGAATTCCTGGAGAGATTCTGTCATGCTAGAAACATGCAGAGCAAGTTCAGTCATATTGGTGAATTTATTAATTAACAAAAAGGGGAGAACAACTCATGGATAGTGTAAGCACATAAGGGCCAAAACACAGAAGAGCAGACCAAATAACGAGGCAAACAAATCCACAGGGTGCAGGCAAAATCCAAAATCCAAGTATCCAAATTAAATCCAATAACGCAGACACAGGAGACTGGCAAAATCCGAAGAGACAGGCAGGAACACTCGAAAAGAGACAAAGACAATCTGACAAATGAGAATGGGAAAACACTGACTTTAATATAGAGACAGGTGAGGATAACCAGGGACACAGGTGGAGCATATAAGGGCAGAATGATTAGACACAGGTGGAACACAATAGGGTGTAGCTCTCAAACAAGCAGGGAAACTGGGGACGCCAGTTAGCTAACCGCTAGAGCACAGCATGTACAAAAGCTGAGTCCTTGCCACAGCCGTCCAGGTTCCAGTCCGACCTGTTGCTCTTTGCTGCATTCAGGTAAACCGAAAACACACAAGCAAAGATACAAGGGTGTAGAATTAGAAAGGGGCCATAGTGACATGACCCTACCAATATCCAGCGACTCCTAAATTGTTCCTAGCAAAAATTTTTTAAATTACCACTGTTGTCTGTCAGTATCTAGTCAATGTAATGACAAATGAAAAACAGTGAGAGAATAACACATAACCAATAGGGGGAGTTGTAGTCACTACTAAAGTGTATTAGGCCAAAAATAATGGTAATCTGAGCTTTTGTGAATAAGTCATTTAACTCTGTGTCACTGCTGTTGCTGCGTCCCCCTCGCTTAAAGACATAATTGCTCTGTTTGGAACTGTTTCGTTCTTCTGTGGCATTATGTTCGCTAAATGTAAGGATGATGAAAATGATGTAATACTGAGTACATTAAGTGAGCACGCAAGGACGATCAAAAAGGTGTTTTACTGAATAAATTGAATGGGAGGATATAAGTTGGGTTGATGGGAGTTAAAAGATACTTAAAAATGTCCATAAAAAGGGAAAATTAGAATGCTTTGAATCATTGCACTGTTTGAGTAAAAACTGATAATTCATTCCTTTATAAAACAGGACAAAGTTAAAATACAATGATCTGTAGATCAGTAATCTATTGCTTTTCGGGTAAAAGAGGCTAAAAAGGTTAGTAGGATAAAAAGACAATCTATGTTTAAAATGTTTTTCTTATTTAACTTCTATATCAATTTGGGGAAATGCATCTTAAAAAACAATATGCAGTGTTTGATTGTTTACATAAGTTTAACTTTCTTTTTGACGTATAGTTTTAAGTACTAGTTTGTGATTGGAGGATCTGTTCGCGATTGCTCATGCCTCGTTCAGCCTGTGTACGGAACGTGTGGCTTACGTTCGTCCATTACAACATTGGACTTGACTGAGGCTACATCGTGTCCGTGTCGTATTTTCTATTTCCCCTTTTTCAGGGGCGTAACATAAACACGTCGGTTAGTTCATATCCTAAATGTCTTTTCCTAAAAAGTCAATACATACTGTTTAAATATGCAGAGTATGTAAGAATAGCTTCCACAAAGGGCTAGGGTTAGAACTATCTCATTTTCCATATCAAACTGAAAATCCTACGACTTACTAGCTGTATACTGTAATACAAGAAGAATGCAATTTCTTTAATTCCATCTTTTCATCTAGTGAGGATGCTGGTTTCTGCATGGGACATGTTGCTTTAGCCTCAGTCTTTTAGCACATTATCAAATATGTAGCAATCAAGTGCATAGTTAAGACCATTTTGCAGGATTATTGTTTTAAAATGAGTTTGCAAACATTAAAAAGTCAGTCGGAGACAATTGTTAGCTTGCTTAACTAGCTAACCATAAATCAGGATGAATAATCTAGATCATAGTGATTGTGCCCCCCGGTCAATATCTGGTGAGTCTTGCCAAATCAGGGATGATTGACACAAAACACACAAGTTTTTCTCAGGGGAAAGTATTTTTCTGACTCTGCCAGTTCAGCTCTGTCAGCTAAAGACAGCAATGTAGGGAAGGAAAGAACAAGATCTGTAAACCAAAGCCACCATCTGGCCAGCTCCAGCTCCTGACTGCTGCTTGCCCGCCCTCGCTGACCCTGGCCCATTTCCAGCTTTCACCCCCGCAGTGTTGTCCTGCCCTCTACCTCAACCATCCTGCCCTCCCTCCCTCCCTTCCTGCTATGCGTCTCTTTACTCAATCTATTTCTCCTCCTGCTGACTCTCTTTCTCCCTGCCTTGCTATTTTGCCTTCTCAATCTTCAGCTTCACAAGCTTTCCCTCAGGCTTTTCTTCACCCTCCTCCACTTCCACTCTCTCACCATCCATCACAGCTCACTCCAACCCTGGCCAAAGCAGATGTTATCTTTTATTTGATCCTCCACACATCTCATTTGGGGTGCCACAGTGGTGAATCTATTTCATACATGTCGAGCCTCACCGTCTGAAATGAGGGGCACTGAAGTGTAAATGTATGTTATGTACACTAATCCAGTGTTTCTTGAGCAAGGGATACTATTACTGATGATAATGATGTGGTAAGGCAGGGAACTGATGAGGGCAAAGTATTTAGTTTTGGTATATTGCAGGATTTGGAGGCCAAAGGGCTTGCACTTTCATTGCAGCTTTGACTTCTTAATTTCATACAAAAGCCATCAAGCAAATGGCCTAAACCACTGTTGCGTCTGTTAATCTAAAGCACGTCACTTCTTGCGCAGCAGATTTTCCTGAGAAATAGAGACCTCTATAAAGGTTCCCATAATCACAACCACTTTCTGTACCTTAGGTTGAATTACAAGCATTTAGGTTAAGCATTTTGCATACTTTGAATTCCAAAAGCAGAGGATGGCTTTTTGTTTTCTTCCTCAATGTTTTTCTTTTTGCAGAGATCTACCTTGAGCATTCACCCTAAATCTTCTGCTGTTAGACTGCACATCTTGCACGTAGCTCTGTAGCAGAGGTGGTCTGGCAGATGGCTTTAAACAGCTTTGTATTTTGGGAACTTAATGCTCTTTGGAATGCAAAAGGAGATTGGTCCTTATTACCATGACCTTTCTCCAAAGGCTGGCGGGCAGTCCATCTTCCTCTCTGCTGGATAATTGAGGGTGAAGAATAACAAGAACATGGAGAGAATAATGAGCTGGCAGAGATCAGTAGTATCCTCTGTAGATTGTTTGCAGTGTAAGCTTTGTGTTGAACTTGAATTTCATTATAGCCTTCAAAACTAATGACACATGGGCTGTGCAGGTGGGCAATATTGCCTTATAATACGGGTTAGGGGTTCAATATAGACTATATTTCCATTTGCTTTGTGAATTTCAGAAAGTTATAGAAATTGCCAGACGTAGCTCGATTTAATTTGACTTTTGGTTCAACTGATAGTTGGTTCAACTGATAGGATGAAGTGATTGTTGCCATTAAACTCCACATAGTATTGTTGGGCAGTTTTTAATTTTTGGCCCTCCGTTAAATGAATTTTCACTCAATCCTGCCTTCCTAGATCATATTTTATTGTACGTGTTGACGGTACCAGTAGTAATACACTTCCATCATTATTATATTTTAAAGTGATGTCTGCAGCCCACACTGAACTGTTGAGGTTGTTTTGAAAAAAAGATAATATGATAAGAATTCTACCTAAAAACTACAATATAATGATCATGGAAAAATACACTATCACATGGCAACCATCCAGGAAGTTAGAGCAGAAAATCACCTCAGTGTTGGTATCGCAGCCACAGCTGGATTGTGGCCGAAGAAATCAAGAGTCGAAATATCACTTCTCCAATCAGGCCTGAACAGTAAGCAGCACCACAGTGTGCACAGTGTGTGAGCCTCACCACACATATGGAACCCATTATGGTGGTCAATCAAAGCAGTTACAACTCCACACTAAAGCATTATCCTATTAGTTTTGATAGCCATGTGACAGACATAATGCAACCAAACAGTATGCCAACCGCAGAACACACTGTACCTATTCTTCTCCCTCACCAACAAAGTCAACAGTAAATTAACTTTGCAGCAACATTTGAATTTCTCAATGCTATACCCATGGTCTGCCTTCCTCCTTTGTTCAAAACAAGAGCTGTGTGAATAGTTTTCAGGTAATTTGACTTCAATTGAGATTAATTTTGTCAAGTTTTTACAGTAAAGATAACATCAAGCCCCCAAACAGAGACTCTCTGTTTTGGTCAGCTTTTTCTCTCTTAGTTTGTTCTATGAGACCAAAACTTACTGGAAACAAGCTATGAAACAACCACATTGAATAGTAGCACAAAGCTGCAAGTTGATGTGGTGGTGGCGATACCTCTGTTTCCCTTCACTCTCATGTATGTGTCTGTGTGTAAGGGAGTGAATGTGTGTGTTTAATGGGGGCGGCGTAGTTTTCACTATACTGTGTTAAATTTGCGACGGGCGTGCGTACAGCCACTGTAAAGCAGGTTCATCTTTCAGGTACTCTTTGCCTCAAGTATGTAAGATTACCTTCACATTAGATTCAGTGGAGTTTATGCTAGTTTCCCCAAAGAGGACGACGTGACACCTGCAAAATTGTACTTGTTACAATTAAAGCCACAACTACAGTAAGTGACCACTTAGCCAAATTAAATCATGAGGGTAATCCAAGGGGGGATTTTCAAGTCTGCAAACATATGTTGGAGGTAGAGCTGCTCTAAAATTGAATTTAACCTGGAACCCAAGAGAAAAATAATATTACTGAACCCGATGCTGTAGCTGCCAACTGAAAGAAAGAATATTAGCAACTTATCCTAGCAGACCTTCAGAGATTCAAAGTTCATCTTTCCAGAGGCAAATAACTTTTTAACCAAGAACCTCTGTGTTTTCTCTCTCTCTCTCTCTCTCTCTCTCTCTCTCTAAAGTGCAGCTCTGTCTCTACCTGTCACCTGTCACACTGGGCCAGGCTGTGTTTACTCAGTCTGTATGTTGTCAACGTTTTTCTTAGTTTAGGACATTTTATTGTGCTCAGGTAATTTGCCAATGTCAATTCTCTTTTTAGGGTCAGATAACATTGTAATTTACTTTGTGTTTTGGTTGTTTCTTTCCAGTATTCAATATATTTTTCTTTCTGCTTGTTGATAATTTGGTTTGGTCTGCTTGAGTTTGTGTTGCTGTCCTGAGGCTGTTGGGGACTTGTTACTGCAGAGAGCCTCAGGACCAGCTGGCTGAGGGGACTCTTCTCTGGTTTCAGCTCCTGGTATTTTAGGGCTTTGTGATGGTATGTCTGGGGGTTAACTGATTTTAAGTGAAAAATTTTAAAAAATTCAATTGATCTTTTGTGTATTTTTAGTAAGTAAGTTTAGGATTGGCCGAGCTCTGCTCTCCACAGGTTATTAGGTGTTTTTCTCTGCACCTGCAGGATGCTCTTACAGAACTCAGTATGGAAAGTTTCTATGATTGTTTTGTCCCATTTGTCAAATTCATTATTAAGTTTTGGCCCCCAGATTTCGCTACCATATAGAATTATTGGTTCTAGTACAAACTGGAAAACTTTAACCCAGATTTCAATTGGAATATAGATTTTAATGTTTCTTTTTATTGAATAGAAAGCTCTTCTTGCTTTGTCCCTCAGATCTTTCACAGCCATGTTGAGGCCAAGGTAAGTGTAGTTTTTTGTGTGTTATAATTTAGTTGTGTATAAATCGAAATTGTGTGTAACCTGATTTCTGTATTGTTTCTCAAAGATCATTATCTTAGTCTTTGCTGTGTTTGCTGTCAGGGCCCAGGTCTGACAGACTCTCTGCAGGACGTTAAGGTGCTGCTGCAAACCTTCTTTAGTAGGTGAAAGCAACACTAAGTCATCTGCATACAGCAGAGCTCTGATCACTGTGTCGTTCAGGATGAGGCCAGGTGATGTGGAACTCTCTAATTGGTTTGCAAATTCATTGATAGATTGAAGATAATTGGACTGAGATTGCATCCCTGCCTCACTCTCCGGCCCTTGGAGAAGAATGCTGTTTGTTTGTTTGCAATCTTTATGACACATTCACTTTTTGTATAGATGTTCTTAATCAAATCATATTTTTTTCGTCCAAACCCACTTTCAAGTAGCCTATAGAAAAGGCCCTCGTGCCAGATGGAATCAAAGGCTTTTTGGAAGTCAACAAAATAGGCATATACCTATCTTTTCTTAATATTTAATTCTTGATCAAATAAAGTCAGGATGGTAAATATATAGTCTGTTGTGCGGCAATTTGGTAAAAAAACAAATTGGCATTTATGCAGAATATTGTGGTCATCAAGAAAGTTGACAAGTCGTTTATTAATGATGTTGCAGAATATTTTTCCCACGTTACTGGATACACATATTCCTCTGTAGTTATTTGGGTCATATTTTTCTCCGGATTTATGAATTGGGGTTAAACCTTTGTTCCATATGTCTGGAAAAGTTCCAGTTGCTAAAATAGTATTAAATACTTTTAGTACAGCCAATCTGGTTTTATGATTTCTGAGTATTTGATCATTTCGTTGAGGACTCCATCAATACCAAAAGCCTTTTTATCTTTCAGCGACTGTATGACTTCTGTTAATTCTTGTTCTGTTACAGGGTTATCTAGAGGGTTTTGGTTGTTTTTTATTACCGCCTCCAGAGTTTTCCATTTTGTGAATATCTTGTACTGATCATCATTTTTTGTAATATTACTTTATAATTCTCTCTCTCTCTGTCTCTCTCTCTCTTTCTCTCTCTGTTGATGTATGTGCTCTCCAGGTATGGGATTATGAGTTAGAGAGGAGCGCAGAGCACTGGGCACATACATGCCGATGGGAACATGGACCGAGCCACATGTTAACACAAATAGGCCAAAACCTTGGAGCGCACTGGGGCAGGTGTGTATGTACAAAGTAGCGAAGGGAAGTGCGTCACTTAAATTTTATACAACAGTATTTTGATGTGAATAACAGTGTTTCTTACAATGTGCAAAATCCTTTTCAACATCAGCTTAATATCAAATGAATTTTAACCACAAAAAACCTGCCTTTTGTTAAGAATAATTTTGAGTTGTGAGGTCTGGAAACAATGTGGTTCTTCGTTTAAATTCAATGTATTCGTAGTGTTTTGTGTATCTTTAAAGCTGCTCTAATCAATATTTGTGGGATTGTGAAAATGTCTAATTAAAATTGTGGGTGTGTTCTGATTAAGCTTCTCAAACTGTGTAATTATTAACAGCAATGATGGGTGAGTTCCATTAAATGTCCCATAAAGCCATGTCAGTCAGCAAGTATGCACAATACCAGGAGAATGGAAATGGCTCATCTTAATTGATTGCAGCCCTGCTTAATGTTATCAATTACAACTGTTCTTTTCCAGCTTAGACGTGTTAAAATGTCTGCTGTGAAAAAGGTCTGTTGAAAACAAAAGACTTTTTGCCTTTATTGGTCCGTGGTAAGTTTTCTGTTGTTTTCCTCTGGAACAGCTGGACTGCTTTCCTCGTGGAAACTTCAACACGGCAGCTTAGCAGCCTGTGTATAGATGATACCAACAAATTAGATGATACTACATTTATTGACATGCCTTCAATGTATTTATTGTCATGTTGTTTTTTGGTAATATAGTGAAGAATACAGTATACAACATATTTTCTGTGACTTTAGGGATCGCCCCCCTACCTACCATGTCCAGGCCTGGTATGACGAAGTGAGGTACTACAGCTATCCATACTCTCAGGAGTGTAACCCACACTGCCCATTCAGATGTTCAGGACCAGTCTGTACTCACTACACTCAGGTAAGGGCTTTTTTATTCAATGCTTTGAAAGTATTTTCGGATGTTAGCTACATTAAATTTGAGAGAAATCTATTATGCATTATTAGTTTGAGTTATTCTGGCTGAGAAGACCTCTAAGAAGACACCCAAGCATTAGTAAATACACCTGTGTGGATGTACAGTGGGTTTAAGAAATATTTTTCCTTTCTGTCAGGTCAGTATGATAGAATTAAGGATGGTCCTGTCATGTAAAATCATGCTATACTGCAGATAGTACAATAGCAATTGACGACTGCTGCGTTTTGAAAATTCAACTACAAGCTCATATGTATTGTAATGTGAGATGACCACTGAACGCTTTAATTTCTTTGTGTATTTTAATTTTCAGTTGGTGTGGGCGACTAGCAATCGTATTGGCTGTGCTATCAATGTGTGTTACAACATGAACGTGTGGGGAATGATCTGGGCTAAAGCTGTCTATCTGGTCTGCAACTACTCTCCACCGTATGTTTTTGCTTTTTTAATACCTTGTGCTCCTCAAAATGACAGACATCATAACTAAATGTATTATTTTTTTTTTTTTACATGGTAATAACAAGAGATACGAACAAGACACATAATGAACAGTACTTAAAAGGACCACTGATTTTATACATCAGATTCTATTAACAGGTCTTTGGGAGTACTACTGCATATGTGAAAAAAGTTGTATAAAGCCTTTTGTACAGTAGTTGATAAAAAAAATCTGGGGTATCGAGTTAGAAACAAGTGAGCATACCTGACCTCTGTAGCCTGCTTCTTATCGCTACGTGAGGCTAGTGGCTTGGAGCTACATTAGCCATTACTACGACTCAAGATCTTCTACTTCAAGATCATAAAATAAATTGCCAAAAATACACACTAAAACTAATCAGGTATTTTGTGAGGTTTCTGTGGAGGACTGTTTAAACCAAAGAATACACAGTTTTGATTCGTTGTTAGACAAAGTAGAGACATGCCATAGATGAATGCAGTAACAAAAACATAGCAACAGGAATTCAAAACATCAGATTGTCTATCAAAATCCATGAACAGTGATTCATTGAAAACACCAAATCTCTGGTCCTTTTGTTAACTATGGCAATTGTTTTTTTCAGGGGCAACTGGTGGGGTCATGCGCCGTACAAATATGGAACTCCCTGTTCTGCCTGTCCAGCTAGCTATGGCGGAGGCTGCAGGGACAATCTCTGCTACAAAGGTGGGTTTGGGACATAGTTGTCGTTTTCTGTCATACCTCCTTACATACTTTTGTACCTTCCCAAAATTGTCGATTGTAGACCATCGAAATTTTCCTCACTATCCTGCCTTGATTTCTTCATGGCAAGATTGTTTTTTATGTGCCCAGTGTCGCATTTCCACATAATAAAATGATTGCCACATTTATTTTGACACAACCAAATCAACCAAAGAAAATGTTAAAAGCTAGGGAACAACACAATGGCAATGTGGTGCGCATGTTTTCAGATGGGGGTGTTGACAGGCGACCAGCTCCTGAGATTGAGGAGACCAACTACATTGAACCTGAAACGGAACCAGTAAGGGACAGGCAGCCCCAACCAAGGGCCCAGACACCAAAACCCTCGCCCAATGAAAACCTAGAGAGAAACCGAGTCAGCACAGAGCAGATGTGTAAGGACTGCTCCCATAATACTACACCACATCAGAATATACATTATTACATTATTACTATTTTTAAAATGAGGCTGTGAAAAGCTCTTGTTTGTTTCTTTTTAATTTTAGGCCAACAGGTCAATTGTGAGACTAAGCTGAGAGATCAGTGCAAGGGAACAACCTGTAACAGGTAAATGCTGAGGAATATGGTGGTGCTATGGTAAATGTTTGTACCAAGATGGATGGGAATTATCAGGACAGTTCCGACATTAGTGCATTATTATGCGCTTATGTTTCTCACTTTACTGTCGTTCCTGTCCATAGATATGAGTGTCCACCTGGCTGCCTTGACAGCCCTGGAAAAGTAGTTGGGACTGGATATTATGACATGGTAAGTGGTTACCAAGAACAGTTATATATTTATTATATTGTATGGTTTACTGTTTTATAGGACCATGTAATAAAGTAAGTCTTTCTTATTAGCTATACCTTGCTGTACGTTAACATTCATTGTCTTTTACTGCAGCAATCCAGTGTGTGTGGAGCTGCATTACACTTTGGTGTTATTGACAATGATGGAGGATGGCTGGATGTAACCAGACTGGGCAGGAAACAACATTTCACCAAGTCTTACAAGAATGGTATTCAATCAATTGGGTATGAATCAATCTCTGTATTTAGTTTTGATGAAAAAGTGTTGAGTGTAATACAGTTTGAATATATATTTATTTCCTTTATAGATGATGTTCAACTAATGATGCATGACTTTACAGCACAGACCATAACTTCATGTTATTTTTAAATTCACAGGAAAAACAGGAGCGCAAATTCCTTCAAAGTAGAGTCTGTGCCTGGTAAGCTGCATACACTCGTTTTTCACTTTGAGGATACAGATACAGTAACACATTGTTAGTATACAGAAAGACTGTAGGGTCATTATGCTGTGCCTTTTTCTCTCCTAGTCAAGGCAGTAACATGCGATACCAGCGTGGCGCTTTTCTGCCCTTTCAAGAAACCTGTACGACACTGTCCCAGGTAACCTTCTGTTCTTTATCACTGCCTAAATCTGCCTCCATATAGCTCTACCTTTAAGACAGTAAGAACATGCTGTAGTTCGTTCGTTGTAAGCACTAAAAATATCATATGACCTAAAGTGAGCTCTGGCTTTTTCTTCAGGTTGTATTGTCCCAGGAACTGTCTACGTGACAGTCAAGCCCGAGTCATTGGGACAAACTACTTCTCAGATGTGAGTTCTTGCATCAGTCATCTTAAATTTGCCATCAACGTCTTTCATTGCTATTATTGAACACGACAGACCTTTTTATTAGCAGATATTTGACCTTATCATAGCTATTAAAGCACATGTGTAATTAACAACATTGATGATGGCTTGATAACATGTCAATTCCCAAGTAAGCCATCCAATCAATGCTGCAAGCCAAACCAGCAAGCACAGTATCGGTGACTTTTAACAGTTTAACCCGAACGAAATCCAGCCTTAATTAATGTTCTTAATTACGCTCATGGTTTTCCCGTTATGACACTCTTATTTCCCCACATGGACCTTTTTCACAGCAAGCATTTTGATTTGTTATTGCAGGAAAAGCACAGGTGTAACAAATTAATGATGGCTCTGTTCCATACCGGTGAGCCAGAACGAACAATACCATGCCATGGAAGATAGTTATTGACACCCGTGCTTTTTGAGCTACAACAAAACTGTGACTCTATTTATTATGTCACCAAAAGTAGAGGGACAATTTTGATGTTTGTATGATGATGCCAAATGTCGGCACCAATCACCATCCAAACTCTGCATTCATTCTCTGGATAACAGGACAGATTCTTCTTAGGATTTTGTTCTTAAATGAATGATTTGATGTAACACCATGTCAACACAAATTGGCCTTTCCTCCAGAAATCCAGTATCTGCCGAGCAGCTATTCATGCTGGAGTGATCCAGAATGAGTCAGGAGGGTACCTTGATGTGATGCCTGTGGACAAAAGGAAGCAGTACAGTGGCAGTTATCAGAATGGCATCACCTCAGAGAGGTATTGTTCATAAGCAATATGAAGTACATATATATGAAAACTGGCAAACAGACAAGATTCTTCTTTATGTACATTTTATTTGATATCGACCTTGTTTGGAGTTCAAATTCTTACCTGCAGTAATATTAATATACATCCCCACATCAAAACCTGTCAGTGCTGTGAAAAACACCTGCATATACCACATCTCTGTTCTCTCCCTGCTCTTCCTCTTCCAGCCTTCTGAACCCAACAGGTGGAAAAGCCTTCAGAGTGTTTGCAGTCATCTGAAAAACCACTCTCAAAGGACAGAGTACCATCAAACATGGCCACTTCACGTCCAGCGAACCCACTCATTACCATCTTACAACCAATAATTACGTTCATTCCTGCAGTAAATAATTCAACCTTACAGCGTCTGACCCTAAAAGTGTAACATGACTTTATTCAAGGCTCCCCCTCTAAGTTTGGTCATGAGTGTGTCCAATAATAGCTTAAGGATTTTTGGTGAATGATGATCTCAGATGTCCTTTACCTAAATTTCTACAACTGACCATAATAATCAATTTGGGCTGCGATGCATTTTTTGCTGCCATGATTTCATGACATCATGTTTTTTAATACTTAAAAGTTAAATATACACCACCAGATGTAGCACCACTCCAAATGCTTCCCACAATTTCAAAACTCTAAGGTTAAACTGTCATATCAAAGGTTTTACCAAAGTAATTTAAGATATAGGATGCATCAGTTAGCACTTAGAGATACACCAGTTAAATAAGGAGCAGTCAGATACAGAGTCATAAAATATGTTTATACATTTTGTGGGACTATTATTTGGTCAGACAGATCAAGCTTAAATTATCTCCGTGGGCATTTGTTGCCCATCACACTTGTTTAATACACTGTCTTGTATATTGCTATGGAGGACCAAACCAGACGTAAAATCACAATTATCTTTCAACAACCAGGATTTCATTTTCTATTAGCAGAATTTATTATTTCACTGGGATTGTTTTCATGCGTGTGATCTGACCTTGTCTGCAGTACGTAAAACTATATATTTTCTCACGATTATACAAACTAAGGAGGCTTCAACCCGTCCCAGATTAGATTTTTGGTCTGGTTTGGGCCTCCATATATCACTTCTTTTCATTATAGTGGTAATATACAGTATAGCAAAAATGCAGGCAGTAAAATATAGATTGTATATTTTTGTACATAAAAATATTGTAAATAATATTGAACACTATATAACTGCTATAAAATGCTTGCTACTGTTGCCTTTTTAATTTACATTTCTAACACGCTGCCAGCCATACAAAGTCAAACAAGCAATAAGCAGTAGATGCTGAAACTAATTCTGCACGAAAGACATTTATTTGTCACTCAAGCTTTAATTTTTATAAGGGACAAATTCCACCATAATTTTAGTATATTAATTTTTTTGTAAATATTGTGTATGTAACATATTGTTTTATTTTATGCTGCATTTCCCAGCTTTTGTTTATAGATTTATATAAATGGATCCTGGCTGGCCAGGAATGTGCATGGCATGAATCACAATTAAAATACTTCAGTTGTTTCATTTTTGTGTTCTTTTTTGTATTCTTATTGTATCAAAAAGTAATTTTAATAAAATCAATAAACTATATTCTCTGTTCAGGATTAATATCTCAGAAAATACCTAACCTATATTCTGTAAAGCCCAAGTTACAGGCTTGACTCTGCTCCTCAGTTTATATTGTATTAAATTACTTGATTTCAGTTTTTGCCGACGTATGGTTGTAGACATATGGTTGAGTGGCCACACTATTTTAATATCAGTCCCTGCAGTGTCCATAAAACCTGAGGAATATGTGCATTGACATTTCAACAACGTCTCAAATTCAGCTGCGTATCAAACTTTTAAGTGAAATGTCTTCCTAGAAAACTGTGGGTGTTTCCAGGAACTTCAGGGAACACAGAGGAAGAGAAAACTGCTTGTTTCACATCCAGAGAGGAGATCTTATCTACCAGTTGGCTTTGCAGGTTTCAAGTGAAGGGTAAAAAAGTGGTCAGCAGTAAATGTCATTAGAGTTTACCAACTAACGTAAACACATAAACCATTCATCTCATGTCAGTCCAACATATGATTTAATATCATAATATCACTCAGTTCAGAAGTGCTGATTCTGAATTCAAGATTCACAACATTTTGCATTACAGGAATAAAAAAGTCTTAAGAAATGTCAGAGTACTGAAGTCCATTGAGGAAAATTAACACTTATAATGCCACCAGGCTGCCCTGCACTCTGTGTTAAACCCTAACCCTTTCAAGTATTCCACCTCATTTTGGATCAACAAGATACTTAAACACTTACTTGTGTTTGTGTATGTCCCTGCAAAGTTTTATACCACTATTCAGTTCAGTGTCGGTGATGAGAGTTAACTGATGTTTAAGTGCTCAGGACCACTGGCTGTGCCAGCAGACGGACAGACAAAGGCCAACTTTGTGTTTTGTTGATCTTAATCTCCCAAACTTCCCAGCATGCATTTCCGTTCTTTCATCTGGACGGGCAAAGATGTGGCTCCAGCTAAAAAGTCCCCATCACTCATCCCTTAACACACATGAAATGCCACACACAGTCTTGGAGGAGTGCACACATCCACTTAAGGCAGACACAGAAAAAACACTCACAGTTACTTTGCAAAATGTTTAAATAAAGTAAACTGGGATTAACTGACTGAGAGGGGATAAAAAGGATATAAAAACAAAAATTAACATTTTTGTTTTGTCGTATATATACTGTATATATATTTGACCTGTTATATTGTACTAATATTGAAAATCTTTGACCATTTTCATCACTAAAAGATAGCCTATACTGGCCAGACTAGCCATCATATAAGATAAGTGACATGGTTCTGAATTATATATGACCCTTTTCCCTGAATGTATCACATCACAAAAAGAAACTATGAACCATGATTAAATATGCTAACTGAGTTTGTGCCAGGTCTCCTGGAGAAAAAGGCAAGCATCGTAGTGCTGTCAAAATTCACAGGACCCTGATGCAGAGGTGGCCATTGGCACAGGACCCCTGTGAACTTCTCCAGTCAGTTAGCCAGCCTGTCAGTCAGTCAGCCATCATGCCAGCAAATTAGAGGCTAATCCAAGTATTTAGAGTAGGCAGGCAGCACTACATCAGCATTAGATTCAGTTTTTACGTCATAGCGTATCTGTCAGTCAGACAGGCGGCCACCTACTTAGCCAAGTAGGCCATTATAGCACTAAAACAGGCTTTTCAGTCAGTCAACACTGTTGTCAATCAGGCAAAGGTATTACAGGGGTTTTCACGATACTGGTCTCTTACTTAAAGGAATAGTTTGACATTTTGGGAAATATATCTTGCAGAGAGTTGGATGGGAAGATCAATTTCCCTCTCATATCTGTATGTTAAATATGAAGCTGGTGCCAGAAGAAAGTTAGCTTAGCTTAGTAGATAGACTGGAAGCAGGGGGAAACAGCTAGCCTGGCTCTTTCCAAAGGTAAAAAACTACCAGCACCTTTAAAACTCCTGGAGTCTTGAAGGTGACTTCAAAACTCCAGGAGTCTTGAAGGTGACTTCAAAACTCCAGGTAGCCATTTCACACAACCTAAAATGCATCAGTGAAGGAAAGCAACAAAGTGCATTTACTACTATACTTAAATTAGAATTAGAGTTCATTTTTTAGTTCTGATCAATCCTATTAAGGCCAAATAACAGGTTGTATTTAAAATCATTTCTCAGTTCCCTAATTTACAACACCTATACAACAGACATACATTGAAAAGCAGTATAAAACAATGCATAACCCTTCCAAGCTGTTTCTGTCCTCTGTGAAACATGGCAGAGTATGCAGTTTTTGAAGGGGCCCAGGTGCACTGCTATAGGAATTCTGGCCCCACTGACAAGAAAGGAAACTTTGCCCCTTGACCATGGCATCTTTGAGTGCACCCCCCACGAGTTCGGGGACGTGCTCTCCGCTCCACTTCTCAGCAAGCCACTGCATACATTAAATGCTTCAGTAAATTGGCATCAGGGCCAAAACCTTCAATGTTCTACTTTAGTTCTATATTTTGCACTTATAGTTATAACTGTCATCTCACGATTCTTTAAATGATGCTCTTTACAGGCCTTGAACACATAATCTATAACATTTAGCTGTAGTATGTCTTTTCATAGCAAATGAATAACTAGTCATGGCTGGTATTTGTGTAAGTCTAACAACACTCTCCTGTGTTACCAGTTTTAGCAATAAAACCTTTTTGATTGTGTGTGTTGGTCAGTAAAATACAGAAATGTCAAGTTGACATAGCAATTATGAGGGTTTTTGAGATATGTATGAAATCTGGACACCGCTGGTCATGCCTGAAACACACTGGTGTGCGTGCATATGTGTGTGTGTGTGTGTGTGTGTGAATACACCTCTGTGGATGAATGTGTAGTTCTGCATGTGTCTGGCATGTGTAGAAGTGAGATACTTTCTAAATATGACTCGTGCAATCACTCTCATGCTTTATAGCTGGCTCTTAGGGCGGTTAACTCCTGGGCGGACACACACTGTGCATGTGGGCTAACAATCACTGCAGACAGGATGAGAAGTGATGTGTGTGTGCTGGTGTTTGAGTGTGTGGTTGCACTTCCCTCCACCACTCATAGATTTAGACTTTGCTATTATTTTAACATAGTTAGCAGCTGTGTTTTGGTGGCAAAACATGGTAATCATCTCCCCTTTGCTGGGATTTCTGTGGATTGAGGTGTATTTATAACTATGGATGGTTTCACTCTACTTTCTCATGACACAACACAGATCTGGAAACTTCTCAAAGTCACAAAATCATATTTGGTTAGACTCTGTTAGGCTCAGCACATTCACCCTAACAGAATCATTTAATGTACCTCATTCTGTTTGACTAGATCTCGAAGATTATTTTGAGTTTACTCATAAACATATAGGTTACTCAAATTTAAAGACAATATAGACATATTGATATAATGAGCCTGCAATTCATATAAATCAGTAGGTATCAGGTTGGTGCCAATTGAAGAAAAAGAAAAGTCAACCTGCTTGAGGAAAAAGTCAGTGTATCACCAAAGTCATTAGGATACACCATCTAGGAGCAATGAATGTCTGTAGAAACTTTTGTGCCAACCCATCTTGTAGATGTAAAGCTATTTCATAAGTTTAACTTTAACCTGCTGATGACGCTACATGAAAAGTCAAGGATCACCAAAATCATCAGGATTCATCCTCTAGGGGCCCTAAATGTCTGTGTAAGATGTTCTGCCAAATCCATCCAATAGCTGTCGAAACATTTCATTAAAAGAAATTCACTAAGCTTCATCATCTGGGGACCATGAATGTCTGTATACAATTTCATGGCAATCAGTTGACAAGGTATTTCTGCACCAAAGTGATGAACTAAACAACCAAATTGCAATCCACAGAGCCATGTCTCTAGCGTGGCTAGAAATTTGCAGAGCTATTGAGATAGAAATATGGAAAGGTATCGAAGCAGTTAAAGGGGCTAGTGTATTCACCAGCCTTAGTCTGAGTGCTTTGACCTCATGGGAATGCAGCACAATATGCATTTAGCTAAACCTGGTATAATATTGGCTTAAAATGGTCCATTATTTTCTGCTACCTTTCCATGCAGCACTTAAACTTAAATCTTTCCCAAACATAATTAGGCAATCTATTGATGGCAGAGCATTTCTATACCACGTTCCACTCCTGGGTAATAAATTACTGCACTCCATCAGAGAGGAACCATTAAAATATATTCACTGAGCCTGAAATAAACACAAGTTATGTTTTCGTCTATAGGTTTTTGTTCCTGATTTACAGATTGTATTGCTTTGTTGTATGAATGTTTTTATATATTTTTACATTTGCTGTTACGCTGCCTCTCTCTGCTGTTACTGTCCTGCGACTGGATTAGCTTGCTGAACTAAATCCTACCTCCTTTTTTTTCACTGAAGATACTAAATTACAGCACTGCCTTATTCTTCAGTGACAAACCACTCAAAGTGGACAATTATCCAGGGCTAAATAAAATAATCTCATGTTCTACAGCCCTAAACGCACAGACCAGGCACCTTCCATGGCCTACGGGCGGTTCCAGAAGGAAACAGGGTTACTGCCGAATAATGCTTTTCTCACTCTACCAGTTAGTGCGTGATGACAGATGACAGAAATATATCCAAGACAGATATCTCTCTCTGTTTCTAAACTCCCTTAAGAAACACTTCTACTGGACTGCATACAGTTAACGGTCAGGGTTCAATGCAGTATCTTCAAAACCTGCCGTGCTTGTTCTTATTCTTTTCAGCCGTGTGCAGTCCTTTCCTATGACACTTTATAATACCGATCTGAAAAATCTGAGGTGAATAATTACAGATGTAATAAACGTTTGACAGATTGACAGATTGAGGTGGGAAATGTTTTAATTTCTGAATTGCGCTCCCACATGGTTGGTGTTTTGTCATAGTGACGCTTGTTCGTAGAACTTCAGTGAACATTTTATTCATACTCCATATACTCCTCATATCTCATTTTCCACCAATAGTTTTCCTCTGCCTCAATCCTTCATCTCCTATACCACTTAGCTAAGTTTTTCTCCTCTAT